TATCTTTTCCCACTACATTACAAGTTTACAACAACTCTTGATGGAATCGAAAGACAAGGGGGGGCTCACCTTCCTCGTTGTGTTACCCACTTGTGTCCATTAGCCCAGTAGAATGCATTCCACAGTTTTGAATCTCTCGGATTCCATTTCAAGCAAACCATGAGTGGTCATAGATGATTAAAAACTCAAGCACTTCGATGCATGTTTGAATTTGATATGGGTTCTAAATTTACATGCTTCTTCCTGCACAAAATTTTGACACGTACTTAAAAATGACACTTGGTTGGTAATTAATAGCCTCAGAATTGCCCTTCTGTGTATGATTCTTTTCCTAAAGATCTTAACACAAGGTGGGTTCTTATCAAGCAAGCACCATGAAAGATGAAGAATTGAGAATTGAGAATTGAGAGCGATATGTTTCACATTCATTGATTCCATTTCTTTCCTTCCACCAATTATTTTCCCCTTGAGTCTATTATTCTGGCCAAACTAATAAAAACTAGTCTCAATATTTCAATGCAAGTTTTGACCATCTCTATAAACCATGACTTTTTCACCACCTGTAATTAATAATAACGTCTACCAAGCAAAACTTTCTTATTTTGTGGTGATATAAGCAGAATTTAACTTATGTTATGTACAACATTGATTGAAGTATAACTTGTGTTGATGTACCTAAAACTAGAAGTAGTAAAGAAACTATAACTTGCTCTGAAATTAACATGTACAAACTAGAAGTAGTTTCTAGTAAGTGTTAAATATTGAGACAAAATTTTACTGTTCACATTAATCTTCCGAAACTCAAATATGACCCCTCTTTACAAGAGATATATATGGTCTAAATTTTAAAAAAATGTAAAAATTCTAAATTGCTTAATTGATATAAAAAAAGGGTACTTGTGGTTTTCCAAAGTTATCCCTCCACGTACAGTTAGGTTGGTTAGGCATATACATGTAAGAAACAATGCCTGGTTGGCCTGAAGAGCAGGTTAGGATAACACGGCATAACAAAAGGACACTAGTTTGTCTTTTACTTTACCAGAGTTACTGTCAATTGAAAGGGAAATCGACCCGAGAGTTTCTGAAAGTGTCTTTCTTTAGTTTTTGAAGTGGTAGGGGGGTTGATGTGATCTTTGACCAAGCACATTAACAAATGAGAGACAAATCCAAAGTCTTATGGAATAAAGTTTAAATTACAGACAAAAGTAAAGCATCTTTTAGATTCACTACTATAGGATGACTACATCACTACTTTCAATTGACTAGATTTAAACAAAGCAAGATTTGTGTAACCATTCGATTCGCTTCATCGGATTAAGCGAAAGCTACAATAATTGGCGTATCAATATGCATTTTCGGCTAAGCAAGAGTGCTGCTTACATACTCAAAGTCAATTTCCAAATCTTTCAATATTCATTTATCAACACATTCTTTTTCTAACTTATCATCCCTTTATAACATATAAAATATTTACACTTCTACTTAGCCTAATACACAACTGAGAATTTTGTGAAATTTTTCATGCATATATATTGCAGCATTTTTTGTTAGCACCTTTGTCTAATTCAATGTCCAGTTTTTGCTTCTTAAGTACATTCTACAGTACCTATGTATCCCTTTTTCCTGTTGCATACCATGCTTGGTTTCACGCTCAAAGAATGAAAAATAGCTTTCATACTAGAACTATGCTAATGCATGGGTGATGGGTCAATAGCACTAGGTAACCCTTTTTCTCCACTTTGAATTCCATAAATTGTGTCAAAGTGGGTAGGTGTGTGCAATATCCAATGGGTTGCACGTGGATCCAATATTATCATTTTAAGTACATTGAAGTCCGAAAACAAAAGCCAGCTGTCTTTTATGAAAGAAGCATACATGAAAATTGTTTTTGTTGTGACCTACAAAGTGAGAAAAGAAGAGAAAAATGTGAAGACATTAACAATTCAAACACTTCTACTAACAAAGATAACCAAAGAAGATGACTTTACAAAAAAAATCAAAGGAAAAAGGGGCTTTTTTGACTTGAAACAATGAAGCCAAAGAACCTTTTGCATGGTCTCCGAGGGCTATAATTGAAATCTTGGGGGGCTTTTGAGAAGAACAACCATCGCAGTAGATCATATCCATGCCAGCCAGACTTAGCTGGTTTGCTCCTCATAATGTCAGCTAGTTTATTTTTTTATGCTTAGACTCATCTTTACTGATGGAATCTTCTAACTGTGGAAACCCTCCAAGAGTTCTGATTGAAGAAAAGAAAAAAAGGATTCTTGCACAACCATCATTACTTGGAGGCCATAACATGAGAAAAAAAAATTGTTTATATGAAAAGGAGGAAAAAAGAAGGGAATTTTTATTAAAAAGAAAGGGAAATCTCAGCACTATCATCATAACATGGAAGGAAGGTGGGTCACAAGAAAGTTTGTGGTCTCTGGCCTGGCTGGGAAGATCCCCAATGTACTACTACTACTACTTTTATCTAGTAAGTGGAATGCATTTAGTGCTTAATCATGCACTAACCCAAGTCAAGATAAGGATTATTTTGAGTCCATATTATGTATTTAGCAACTTACCATATGACGAGAAAGAAAGAAATCTCAAGAAACGTATTTTTGGCTTAGGGTACGTAGTTACGCGATTAGATCACCAATTCTCATCTCATGTTCTCCTAATAAAAAAAAGTAACACATTATTGATTGTTATTAATTATTTTTGTTGACAAGTCACTTTATATATAATACAATAATACAGAGTACAGAGTAATTTGGATAGTCAAATACGGGATTTATATACTTCTACGTCCATGCTTATGACTAATGTTAAAAAATCTGTAAACATATATTTTAACATATTTTATAATCAATAAGGTTGAAGAAGAAGTGAATTCATACTCGACTCTCGTAGTGAGACTCAATTCTCATAAAATCAAAATCCATTTGTTTGATGATTTAAGTTTGTTACGTATGAAAGGAGACCAGACGCCCATCAACAGTGATTGTGAATGTACATTCATCATCATAGATTCAAATTTGCATCATGAACAGAAAAAAGAAAAGGAGTCTCTCAGAAGGAAGAAATCTAATCACTGTCTTTTATCAGTCCTATAATCATAGCCTCTCTAAAGGTATCATTTACAGTTTGCATTCAAACCAAAAAAGAAAATATGCGTCGCCTTATCATATTTAACATGAAAAGTTTCTGTTGAATGTCTGTCTGCGGGTTTGATTTTGTGATTGTATTATTATGACAATCGGAATGTTGAACGCGATTGGCATGATTAGGTTGAGACAATACCAAGTTTAACAAATATATTTTAGAATAACCCATTAATTTTTAAATGTTTATTGTTAAGATGTTCTGGTTAGTTAAAAATATGACTCCTTATAAAAGCTTTGTGCAATCTTCTATATCCTGAGGTAAATTTTGGGATGAAGTTTAGTCCAAATGTCCAGGGCATCAGGGACTTGGAAGTTTTGGACAATTCTCCTTTCTTTTGAAATTGAATTAGGTTTAACGAATACTGAAGCATTTGAAACCTTTATCACTTCCTCCGATTGATTATACCTAACATCAAGGTTGAATTGATGGAAATTAAGATGAAAAATAGAAAGCAGAAAAGGAGTATATTTAGTATGTTACCGATGTATTGTGTATTTTATCATTTAATATGTAAACAAAACGCTCTTCGTTTTTATTAGCAATAAAAAAAAAGTGCTTTGTTTTTGAGATATGGAATGAGTTGAAAAAAGCATATAAGTGGATCGAAGTGTTCCTTGACATTGCTTCTTCCGCTGTCAAATAGTTTCTGCATGCAGCTTTGAGTTGTGTGATGTACACATACTTTCTTTACTTTTATTTATGGATCATATATATCATAACCTTAAAAATCATAAAGCAAGAGGCTTGTAAAAGAAGTATAATTTTCAAAACAAGTGAAGTTCAAGTATGTTACTCTAATTTTAAGAAAAGCTAGTGTAATTATCCCTAAATAAAATGTGGTCCCCCATAAAAATATATGCTGTTGTTATGCTTCCACTCTGATATAAAAGATCAGGGAACATTCATTTTCCCACTTCCACGATCATGGTACTGCAAACTCTTTGCTCTCATTCCATATGGATTGGCAAAGTATATGTGATTTGGTTACTTTGTAAATTAAGACCAGAGGTACATTACCGATAGATTATCAAAAGTAAAGAATATTTTTCTTATATAAAATAATTATAATAACTACTCTAGTTGCCAAAGTTTGGTGATACTTTGGCATTCAATAAAAGGGTGTTATTTGGATGTAAAAAAAGAGAAATAAAGAAAAAAGAAAAAAATATGATGAGTAATATAATAAAAAAAAAGAGAAGTAAAATTGGATAAAAGTTATATGTAAAAAAAGGGTATAAAAATATTATTATTCTAACTTCCAAAAAATAAAAATCCAGAGCCGAATGATATTTGTGGTAAAAGAAAGGGGGCGTGAATGGATTCTATATATATATATATACAATTTCTAGAAATGTACCAAATGAAAATAAAATAAAATAGGAGTACGTGAAAATAATACATTTTAACTATACAATTATATGTCTAAATAGTTAAAATTAAAGGTTATTTAATATCATATAACTATTTTAAAAAGTTGTAAATTTTGTAAAGATATATTTTTTAATCTTAATGATAAAATTAAATTATTAATATATTTTTCCTTTCATGTATTAATATTTATCCTTCTCATTACTTCTTATAAAAACAATTCCCTATTTTGATACATGACTTACAGCTCCCACTAGTTGGTATGCAAACCAGGTAATTAACAGCTAATAGCGTTAGAGAAGTGCACATATCCGAACAAAAGTGGAAAAAAAAATAGGCCACTAAAAATGAGATTTCTAGCTGTTGGGGAAAAGGCAGAGGCAATAGCTCTCGCAAAAGAACATGAGCATATGCAACTGGCTTAAAAAAAATGTTGATCTCACGAGAAATTCTAATTACATAGATTGCATTGATTTCATATAATTAATTTATTAATCACATTCAATTTATTTACATTTACTTTTACACTCATCAGCAGTATGTCAAGCATGCCCATATAAAATATCCAGCAAACATTTCCCTAGCAATCCCTTCATCAACAACTTACTTATGCTAAACTAAAAACTTTAAACAAATTAAGGATAAAAAAGAAAACAAAAGTGAAAACTCAAAAGAGAAAAAAAAAAAAAACAATAGAAAACAAAAACTATAACAAAGGTCAGAGAATGCTCATGAGATATATGGAAAATCATAGCTGAGGTTTTGTATTGAGCACTGAAAACTCAGCAAAAAGTGGCTGTGTTGCTGTGAACAGACTCTAGGGCTTTGAGTACGTCTCTTGCGCATGGCCTTGCTGTGGGATCAGTGGTGGTACAACGCAAGGCCAGATTCAGTGTCTCAACGACGTCGTTCTGATAGGTCAATGCATCTCCACCCTTCATCACAGGATCTATCCACGTGTCAAGATGACAGTCTGAGTAGCAGTAGCGGGCCCACTCCACAATGGTCTTGTGCATGCCATTACCTGCTTCTATGTCCATGGACCTTCTTCCCGTCAATAATTCAATCAGCATAACTCCCAAGCCATATATTTCACTCTTCTCTGTCATGTCCTTTCTCTTTCTTGCCTCTGAAATTGTCGAATTATCATAGAAAATTAAGTTTTGGGATGACATACCATAGACTTATCATAAGACATTTATTAGATTGTTACGAAGGCAGTGAAATTTTGTTCATGTGCATGAACTTGTGATTGAACTCTATGATGCACCCTATGAAAAGGTGACGATCAAAATTTAAAAGTCATGACAAAAGCAATTAATTTACCAAACCAACAGTCACAAAATATAAAGTTAATATATATGAATGATTTTATATTATACCGTTATCATGCAAAACCATAATTTGTTTTTCATTTGAGTATAGTTCTTAATGTCTAGCAACTTCATCGTTGTCACTCTTGTATTGCTCATCACTTTCATGTAATATAAAAGCTAGCTACTACTTACTAAGCCACACAATCAAAAGAAAAGCCAAAAAACAAAGGGACAAAATAGTAATTTAAGTACCTTGGGCAACGTAGGGCGAAGAAACGAAACCTTTGACATCCAAAAATGGCATTCCGAGAGGGCTGAGTTTGACGCGAGGAACGCCATTGTTGTCCACCCAAACCGATTCTGGTGACACCTCTCCAATCAAAACCATGGATGAAGCATGACAATGCAAGAACTTAAGTGCTTTTGCAACGCCCACAGCAATTTTCATTCTCCTTTGCCAACTCAAACCGTTCACAACTTCGCTTAATTTCTTCCCCTCCACGTTTTCATACAATAAGTACCCTCTCTTCCCAGACCTACACATTCCAATAAGCTTAACAATATTAGGGTGCCCAAGTTTCCCAACCTTCACCATCTCCTCCCAAAAACTCAACGGAAGCGAATTCAAGTCACTGATTTCCTCCACCACGAATTGCATGTCACCATCATTCCCCATGCACTTCCCTTCGTAGGAAACCCAGTTCTTTCCTTTCGAAACCACTTTCCCTTCTTTCACCGACGATAAAACATCCTCCATTTTCATCACCCTCGAAGCTTTTGAGTCAAAAGACTGCAATTCCCACGTGCCATCTTCATTCTCCACTCTTCGCACCTCCGAAAAACTCTTCCTTCTACGAACGAAAAACACCAGAAAAGAAGCTGCCGCGAACGCAACCAAAGCTGAGAGAAAACACAGCATGATGAAAAGCCAAGTTGGGTTTTGGTTACCGGTTTTGCACGGTGGCAAGCGACTAGATGTGTCACCGTCACGGTCACAAAGGTCGTTGCCGGTTACCGCACTTGCATTGATGGCAAGGAAAGCACCGGTTGAAGGTAAACTTCCATGAAAGTTGTTGTATGATATATTCACCTGAACGAGAGATTCCACGCTTCCCAAGTTCTGTGGAATCTCGCCGGATAATTGGTTTTCCGACAAGTCGAGGAGGCCAAGAACCGGCATGTCGGAGAGTTTGACCGGAATTTGACCACTGAGATGATTGTGACTGAGGTCTAATGCCACAAGCTTCTTGCACGAACAGAGTTCTTCTGGGATGTTCCCAAAGAGTTCGTTGTTGCTTAGCTTCAATTGCACGAGTTCTGATAAGTTTCTGAAACCAGAAGGAATGGAACCTGAAAATTGGTTATTGGATAAGTCCAAACCTTCGAGTTTGTCACTCCCGAAAGAGTTAGGAATTTCTCCTGAGAAGTTGTTGTTAGCTAAACTTAGCATTTGAAGCGATGGCATGTCCCATTTTCTGTCATTGATCCTTCCAGAAAGTTCGTTGCCAGAGATATCCAAGAAGTATATCTGAGGCAGTTTGGTCAATTCAGATGGTAATTTTCCATAGAGCTTGTTGTTTTGGAGGCGCACTCTGCGTAGGCTTTGGCAAAAGGTTAAGCTATGTGGGATTTGTCCTTGGAGAAAGTTTGAGAAGAGGATGAGTTTGTAGAGATTGGAAGAGTTACATAAGTTTTCTGGGATCTTCCCTGCGAGGTTGTTGCTGGAAAGGTCCAAAACAGTGAGGTTGCTATGCTTTCCTAGATCTTCTGGAATCCCACCCGTTAATTGGTTTGACCAAAGCTGAAGAACCTGAAGGTGAGGCAAAGATCCAATTGCCTTCGGAATCTCCCCTGTGAAGTTGTTTGAGAAAAGGTGAAGAATCTCTAGTCTTTGGAGCTGCGCTATAAGCTCAGAAATCTCGCCAAAAAGAGAATTATCACTTAGATCAAGTGAAATGAGCTTTTTCAGTTCATAAATGGATGAAGGAATTGGACCAGTTAGCTTGTTTTGATAGAGAAAGAGATATTGAAGCTGGGTGAGGTGTCCAAGAGATTGAGGAATTGGTCCAGTGAGATTGTTGTAAACAAGATCAAGGTGATTCAAAGAAAATAAGTTTCCAATGCTACTTGGTATCTCACCTGAAAGGTTGTTGTAGCCCAAGTAAATCCACTTCAAGTTCTTCATTAGGCCAATATCTTTTGGAATTTCACCCACTAACTGGTTTGAAGCCAACGTAAGATACTGTAAAGTGGTGATGTTGGTGATGGAATTTGGAATCTTTCCAACCAAAACGTTTCCTCCAAGATCAAGATACCTTAGGCTGAAAAGCAATGCAATTTGGTCGGGTATGTTGCCAGAGAACATGTTGTTGGAGAGATCCAGAGTTTCGAGGTTGGAAAATGACACGGAAAACAAGGTTCGAGGCAAAGAACCCGTGAGGTTGTTGTTGCTGAGGTTAAGGTAACGAAGTGGAAACAGAGAAGAAAGAGAATAATTGAGGGTGATTTCCCCAACAAGCTGATTGTTGGAAAGATCGAGGCTTGAAACGTGTGGGAGTTGAAAAATGGAGGAAGGAACCTCGCCAGTGATGTTTTTTCCTGATATCACAACAGTGTTAACGTGGGAAGTGTTGTTGTCGCAGGTTATGCCGGGCCACTTGCAAAGAGTGGTGGCTGTGGCAGTGGCAGAGGAAGTGACCCAGTTGGAGAGAAAGTGAAGTGGGTCGTGGATGGAAGCTTTGAAGGATAACAGAAGCTGAAGCTCTTCTTCACCATGGGATGAGTGGAAATTGAGCATGAACATGAAGAGGCATATAAATGTCAGTGACTTTGTCTTTGAAGAATTTGAAGCGCCTTTGGCCATGTCTTGCTTCCTGATTGTTGAGTTTTAATTTCTTCACACAAAATCAGTTTTCTATCTGCCTTGGATTGAACTCCTCGGATCCCAAGCTGTAAAAAGTGCGTAAAATGATTAACGTAGCTTTTTAATAATGTTTGTCATCAGTGACCAAAGTTCAATAGTATGCCAATTAAAAAAAAATCATGGACAGAAAGAATATATATATATATATATATACAAAGTACTATGAATTCTTTTTTATGCCAACGTTTTAAAAAAACAAAGGAATAAATATAATTATATATCTATTTGTAATAAAAATGAAAATCGTATAACTTTTGCAGGTGGCTGTGAATGAGTGATGAATTTGACTTCTAGGTAGCATTGATTTCATATGAATCAGCTCGTGTTAAGGAACATGCATGCGCCAGAATGTGAACTTAGAAGAGAATTGGCAAAAGTAGCATAGATGATGAAAAGGTATATTATCACGTACCTAACTATCATAATTGGAGGAGTACTTAGTTTTTTATATTGTGGATATGCTCTGGGTCAAAATGAATTGAGTAAAGAGAAGAACTTGAATTGAAAGGAAAGGAAGAGATAGGAGTAAGAAGGGGTGAATTCTTGGAAATACTATTTGAAGGGGATGGGTTGGACGAGAGAGAGAGGGATTTGTGCGTGCTTAAATAGATGGGATGCTTGAAGGCATGATGTTGGGCTCAGGGTTGGAAGATAATTACGAAAATGCACCTTGACTTCTTTGAGATTGATGTTTGAACACAAACGGTTGAAAGGGTAACAGGGACAGATGTTGGAAAAGGGCTCTGATTTTGTCGGATTGTTACCAAAATGCTCTTTTTTGACTGACTCACTGGCAGAGAGCACTTGGGAAAGTGACAAAGAATTTCTGTAACCGTTGAAAACAAACTCTAGCTATTATTATATTACAAACAAAAATTGGTGGAAAGATGCAAAACACACAATGGAATTCATAAAATGTAATTTGGTGAATGATCATATACCATATCAGCTTCATGTCCTATTAATTAGTTGTTATAATTTCGGTATATGAGATTCATATGCTTAATTATATGTGGACTGACGTGTATATATGCTTTTTCATTTTGTTTTGATGCATTAATTAATTGGTTAATTAGAGTATAGTCATAATTCGAATTATATATATATATATATATATAATGTGGAGGTTGCCGCGGAGGGGTTGGTTAGCTTTTGGTAATCTTAGTAGCTTTGCGCTTGTTTAATGTTGTCAGAACCTTATATGTGTGGTTTTTATTTGATGTTTCATTCTAATATTGTGTCTTCTGGACAGAAAAGAACAAAGATACGGAAATGGGGATTTTGTTTTTGGAAGGATTTGAACATTATAATCAAGTTTAATTATGAAGACTGCGAAATTTAGAGATGATCATTTCTGTTTGGAAAAGGCTTCCATGCAAAGATTAAGCAGTAATGTTTGAACAGAATAGCTGGACGAATTCTATTCTGGAGACAACGACAACACGTCCATGCATGCCACTCTTCTTAATGACTTGTTCCTTGACGAGATGTACTGTTGGAAATGCAAAGAGAAACAAGTAGAAACAAATTTTCACGCCAATTTTAGTTTTCGCCGAACAATAATGTTTCCCACGTTATAGAATTGTTGTTTTTTTAACCAAGTGTGTCGTTGAAACATGTTGAGAAACAACTACGTAGATATTATTAAGATATTCCATGTTCAGTAAAGAATATAGTAAAAAACTTGAATTTAATTTCCTCCTCCAAGTTAATTTCTGTGAGATAAGTCTAATGTTTTAATATATATATATATATATATATATATGACTATTTAAACATGATTCTAAAAACGCGACTCATCTTTCTCTACATGAATTACTATCCTGGCTTATACAATTTGAAATTCATTACGAACAAGATTATCTTTTAGTCAAAATCAAAGTTTACCAATCTTTAAGTTTTGTCCTCGTGGCTTACATGGCGTTTGCATTACATCATGGAAATTCCCCTGGACTAATATTGATTGGTGGCTTATTGTTATCTTTCAGATGCATTCATAACAAATCATTGATTCAGATTATCCTTCATGGCTCACTCTAAACTATATAACTGGAAAGGCCACATATTCATGGCTGTAGATAAAAATTGAAGGGGTGGTGGTGTAATTTTCATATGAATGAAGGGCAAACGAAAGTGGAGCGCAGGATATACAGCTTTCCCTTGGCATGTTGAAAAGCAAGATTCTTGAACCACTTTTGCTTGGACTTTATTTTCTTAACTTGTATTCTCGCTCTCACACAGTGGAAAGGGGTGCAGAGGCCAGAGAGAAAGAAAATAAACTTTGAGGGAGAGAAAAGGGAAAGAGTACATGTACAAAGTAAAACAAATAGGAGTTACAAGTGAGGCAAAGAGGAAGGAGCAGAGCCATGGGCAAGGAAAGCAGAAAGAGAAATAGTGAAAAATTTTAAAAAATAAAAATAAAAAGAGGCACAAAGTAGGAGAATGTAAAGAAAAAAGTTGCGAGTCTTTTACGTTACACACACTGATTACTACTTAGCTCGTGGGCACATTCACTTTATAATAATAATAAAAAAAAATTCTTTCTTTCTTTTTCATTCTTCTTTTTCATTCAGTAGTCTTCACCCTATGCATCTATCCCTGTGTGCTTTGAGCAGTAATGGACCCACATTGTCTTTCTCGAAGGAATATACAGTGTGTGGTCTTTGTCACACCCGGCATGCTTTGCCCATCTCCATTTTCTAGGGTTTTACACTCCAAATTCTCAATTCACCAATCTCGTATCTCATACTCTAGCTCCACGCCGGCCCATTTTCTTTTCCCTTTTTTGTTGTCGTTCATTCCCACTAGTTTCATTCATTATAATAAAAATCTGGACTTTACCATTTATAATATATTAATGTTATAGCACTCTCTACATACAGAGAGAATATCGGCATTCATATGTATATTTTATTTGGTGGATATACTCTCATGCATATAGTATGGCAAATTGTGTGTGTATATATATATTTCTTAAGATTTTGTTGGTATGATGCCGTTAGCACTTGCACAAACTTTAAAGCATAGGTGATACATTATTTTAAATCTGATCGTGCATGTTCAGTGTATTATTTTCGATTCTATATCTAATCAAGAATATGCGGTGGCGGAAGCAACCTAATTGAAGTAGAGATCACATTGTTAACTTCGTTAATATAGTTGGTAAGAGAGATATCAAAACGAGGTCACACGTTGGTGTTAAAACCATCCTATGAGGCTGAACTCATTTTGACATATCTATTAGTGATGATAACGATAGTAGCTAGAGTAGAGATATTGTTTTACAGCAATAATGGTGGTGGCCGGGAATGTGATACCTAACAAAAGTAATGTTTATGATGGTGGTCATGGGGCAGTAACGACTATAAATTGTACTCTAAGTTTGTTTCATAGTATAGCATCTTGGGGATTTAAATTTGAATTTGATTAATTGCAAATCTAAAATAATTTTATATTATTTTTTAATGATATATTGTTATGGGTGTCTTTCGATAAGCTTAAAAAAAATAAAAAACGTTTGTAATATAATTTTTTTAGATCTTTTTCTTTAAAAAAAATTTCAAGAGAATTACTATGACTTTTTCTATGCTCACTCCAGTACGAAACAAAAGCCACTTTAGAACACACACACATATATATATGAAGTACTCAAAATGTGTAGTATCAAGAAAACGATAGTTCAATGTCATATATGTTTTTTGTTTTAATTTTAGGAGTTTTTTTTCTTTTTTAAATAAAAATCTTATCAGATTATCATAATAATGTCAATGCATTTTTTGAAGAGAAAAAACTTTCTCTTTTAAAAGTACACACAAACTAGTTCAACCTTAATTTTTCTATAAAAAAATGTATCAAGTTTTAATTTGGTATATGTAAAAAATCAATCTTTGATGGAAGAATCGATCCTAACATGTTATGTATGTCTGCGATGCAAATAAAATTATTTTTTATAGAAAATATCTGTAATTTAAATAAAAATGAAATAAAATAAATTTAGCTTCTGAGATTATTTTAAATGGTTCTTTTAAAGTGGACAAGCGTATAAAGTTAAAGAAAAATAACATATCAATCCTTAATTTAAAATAGATCTTAAGTTTTACTATGAATATTTTAATTCAACTCAAGGTTTAATATATCTTCATTTTCTCATTTTATACATTATATTAATTATTAAATTTGAAATATTAAAATTAGAATTTAATTAAAATATACTATAAATGTAAAATAATATTATTATTCAAACATGAATTATCATATTAATAAAAAATAATTAAATACAAAAGGTTTGTAAAACAGCATTAACTTTAAATAAAGACTTCATCCTTGAAAATGTACCAATTAAATAATTCAATTTCATTCAAATTATATTAATAACTTTTCACCATTTTAAAAACAACCTGTAGTTATACATGGTTGTATTTTTTTTTATATTATCTAAAATGTTTTATACATTAAGTTATTTAATATTTTTATTCATGAAATTATATTTTACTTAAATTAAGGTTCTTGAATGGTAATAATAGAATTTAATTTGCCCCATTGATTGATTTATCATAAAAAAAATATAGTTACAAAAACTATAACAAAAATTAGATAGATGAATAAATTGAATTATTTTATTAAAACTAATAATTTTTTTAATTTTCTTTTTATTAGTAGGTCTTTTTTTTAAAAGAGAAAAAAAAACAGAAAAACAATTAGTGTGTCTCTCTTTCCATTGTCATATTTAATTTAATTTTTTTTTATGAATGAAATGTATTAATAGAAAAATAATAATTACTTTTGTCTTAAACTTCTACATGAATAAGAATAAAGTTCTTCTCCTTCTAAATAAATGAATAGGAACTGCAACAATAAGATTCTAGTCTAAAGATTTTTTTTAAAAAAAAAATACCTTACTATATTAAAACAATTTATTATCTTTAAATTGTTATATAAGATAGATGACTTAACAAGTAAAAAATATGAAACATTATGATAAATATAGTTTATATTATGCATAGGAGTAAACTAATAAATTCTAGTATGATTTGTATTTTTCTATAATATCCTGAAGTTATATATTTTCAATTTTATGTTAAAAATTTAAGGTTAACATTTGCTCCTAGGATTAATCTCAACCGCCGCGCAGAATATTAAATTTGAGTACTTTTCATCTCTTATTCCGGAGCTTTTATAAGTATGTAAATGATTTTTAATTCAGACATCGATGTCTTCCCACAGTGATCGATCACACAGAAAATCAAAGATGCTGGCTCGTGAATGGTTGGGAAAAGCAAAAGAGGCAAAAAAAGAAAATGAATTGTTAAAATGATAAACGGGAGGTTAATTTCTGTGAAAAAAATTGAATAGGTAAACTCATAATTGAAAAAAAAAAAAAAAAACACAGTAAAGGATTAGGTGCTGATTCAACAACTGATCCATTTTTTTTTATGAATAATTGATCATTTTATACATACACTTATGTCATGTGCAAAAGTGAATTTATGCCTACATGCTGTAAAGAGCAGTAGCTTCTTGGTTTAGTGCTTTCATTTGTACTTATATGGATTAATATGACACACTTTTGAGCCGTATGTATATAAACTTACTCTAATTTGATTGTTTATTGAATAAAATGAGGCATGCATGACGCGATCCATTTTGCTTTGATGAGGGTCTGAATCTCTTTAAAATTTGTAGGGTTTTCATGTTCTCATTTAGTGGTCCAGTTCAATCACTCAGCTATACTTTAATAATTCTTTGATAGATTAAGCACTATTATGCGGTAGAAAAAGTTTTAATGCACTTTGAAAGGGAATAAATTGAAGTAACCTGTAGAGAAAATAAATATATATATCTGATTTTTCTTTTCATGAAGGGCACTGTAAAATATTAATATTGAACTAAAAGGTCCACTACGATGGTGACTAACTCACTAAGATGAACTAGCGCAAGGATGAACCAAATTGAGCATCACTTGGTGTTAAGCCGAGTCATGATGTCAAAACTCCGTAGATTCCTCGCTGAAAAGTGCTGAATTATAGTCAATTCCTTTGTTAATAATTCACATGAAACCCATTTAGCAACACCTCCACCTCCTATTGGGATTTAAGCTGGCAAGGATCCCCAAACATTTAAATAATTAAATATCAATGCTGATTGAGATTTTTACTAATTAATATTATCTTGCCACACATTCCCTTCTATTGCCTCTTCTCTGTTCTACGCTAGCAAAATCTGTCGTTTTGCATCTTAGCAAAATTTAAGTATGCTATTATACGTGTTTTCTATTTTTTATTTTTAATCAAATTTTGAATTTTATTTCAACAGTTCATAAATTATTTTAAAAAACCAAATATTTCAATGCAAGAAAAAAATTAGTATAACATAATAAAAAATATTTTTTTAAAACGTCTTCATTTGACATGATTTCTCTAAAAATAATATAGTTTAAATCACATAGGTTAACTATATGGGCACCCTTGCTTATCATTGGAGTGTTTTCGAGGACTTTGTTCTTCTGTATTTCATATAAGAAAAATGGATTTCTTTCAAAAACTAACTTTAAATAAGAAAATTATTTAAGTTTCATAAAAAATATTTTGACCGTAATTTTAATTAATATGAAATATTTTTAAAAGATTTAATGTTTATTTTACGAATTGATTCTAGTGGATGGGCTTTGGTGCAGGGTAAGGGTGGACAAGCTCCTCCCCTAATGGATCTGAATGGACTTTAAGGATGACATTGGTAAAAATACTACCAGGCCGCTGCTTGTTTTTCAGGCTATCATTCATATTTCAGGACACAAACCTCGAACATTTTTATTTTTAAGGAAAAACAAAAAGAGTGGTTAATATACCATACTTTTGACCCAAAAAAAAATAAAACACAAAATCCTTGTTTCAGAAAAAAAAATAAAAATTTAAACAACTATATTTTTTATTTTCAACGATTTTCTAGGAAAATAATAAAATAGTGTTCATTTACTTTTTTTAAAGTAATTATATATAAAACAAAATTTACTTTTTAAATTTTGTGTGTAATTGATATAGTGAAAATTAGTTATAATTACTATTTTTTGAGTTACTTAAAAAAGTTAAAAATATAAAAAAAAAAACTCATTTAAATTCATATACAAATATAAAATGAGTTTTTTACTGATATTTAATATTATTTATATACAAATTTTAAAATAATTTAATTTCTCTAAAGTAATAAGAAGTGTAAAGTGAAGATCTATCCACACTTAATTTAAAGTATATGTTTATAAAATATTTAAATTCACATCAAAATTTCTTTTCATTAAAAAGACAAATTTCATCTTAAAAATACACCATAAGATATAAAGAACAGCCAAAAGTATCTAATTTAAATATTTTAAGAACATTTTGCAGAAGAACATTACCTACCACCTATGGGCTATTACCTAACTCTTGCTCTCGCATCATCTAAAAATAATTCTGGAACGTATATGCTGATGGATGAATATTGAATACGGATGGTTCTTCGTAAGTCTCTTTTGGTATGACACGTGGTGCTCTTGCACCACCACACGTGGAGAATTCTCCATGTCCCTGCCTTGCCATGTGTGATTACTTATAAGAAAATGATCATTTTATACTCACTTGGTGAGTGGAGGAAAAACAAAATAAAAACACGATAAATAATATCATATAAAAATAAAAATGTGTAAAAAAAAGTAAATAGAGAAATATTATGGTTACCTAGCTATTGTAGTTCAACTAATTGAGAAGGTTATAAAACCACGTAACCATCCTTCTTCTGTTGCAATGCTTGTGCGCTCCAGCAAATTTCCATCACGCCCAGTTTTTTAAGAATAAAGTATAACGTGAACTAAAATTTAATAAAAACATTTGTATAAGAATTAAAAATAGCTTTTTAAAACAAAAATTAATTAACAAAAAATGTCAATTATAAAGACTATATATATATATATAATTCCAACCACACTCATACTGCATTTGTAATTGAATTGTGATAAATTTCTGTTAGTTAACGTGTAGTTAGTTAGCATAAATGTCTTAGTTCTGATGATGCAGTGGCTTAGTTCCAGTAACCTGGGAGCTTCCATGTATCATTGAGTATCTTATTAAATCAATTTTACAACAATTTTTTATGACATTCACCTTTTCTACTTCGAGTTTTATGATGTTTGAGCAAGCGCAAGTTGGCATAACATGCTTTCTAATTCCTTCACTAGCGCCACACATAACTGAACCGCAAATAGCATCGCAAGACATGCATGCTTCATACTTCTTTACTGGCGCCCTCTCTTTTATACCTTCTCCATCAACAAATTTTATTTTTATGCGCAATTATATAATGCTAAAAAAATCTTCATAGATATATTGGCAATGAAATTAAAATAATCACCAACTATGTAAAAGCATATAGAATTCTAATTGTCAGGGTAAAATCTACGGTGCAAGAGAACTAGATACACAGACGAGGAAAATTGAAATTTTGTTATTTCCAAATCAATACTATGTAACATCTAAAAAAATAAAGATAGAGAGAGTACGTTAGAATTTCTACTTTTTTATTTAATTGAGGTTTTACTACGTATTAACAACTGCAGTATAATTTGTTAACAAGAATGCTATTATGTTGTACAAAAAAAATGTTAGGAAAGCATATAAGGTCAGTCATCATCAATAGTCTTCTGACTATAACAGTATCTGAATATGATTTCAGGGGTAACTAGTGGTTCGATTGAGCTTTGATATGCTTAACCCCTTAGTTTTCCTATTCTCCAAACTTCTTTTGGCTATTTCCCTCATACAATGAGTTAATGAGAGTTTGGGATTAAGTCTAGTCGTGGCGTTATATTCTTGGCAGAATTCCCTGTGAGAGTTCAAAGCATCTTGCATGGCTACTTTAGGACTTTGCCCTACTCTTTCTTTAACAGCTTCAGAACAAAGCCCACACACCCACTTTCCACTATAACATTTTTTAACCTCTGTGATATAAACTGTGGTACACTCCTCCTTTAACCCACAACACTGGCATTCAGCTTGTTCCACTTCTTCAATGGCAGCAAATTGTCTCTCCAGCTCCAAGCTATTATAGTATTTGTCTATTTCATTGGACACATCCGAGACCACCTTTCGAAGCTTTTGCTGATTGATCTCCTCCTATATATGGAAACACATAGAAAGTGTCAAACTATGTATGTTAATTAATTAACAACAAAACAAGAAGCAATAAATAAATTAACATAAAGTGGTTAATTAGAGAGTATTGGCTAGCAAGAGCACCATGTAAGAAATTAACAAGCTTGATTTGATATATATGAGCCTGCTTTGTTACGTATTGCAAAGGCTGCATGTGCATATTTATACATAAGGTGTGGCTGAGAGTAATTACATAAAGTGAAGTTAGATAAGATTTTTTAGTAGCGATGCATTTGATTGACAAGTGACAACACAGGAATGCCTTTACAGACTAAGGTAACTGTATTTGTACATATAAAGTCCGCTATCAGTACTTATTAATTAGTCCACTAGTCCTGCAACAAGCTTGCTATTGATATGCTCTTGGAAACTCCTAATAAAGAAATGTTACATCTACATGTTGAGCAATAAATCTATTGCACTTCACACCCTTATAGATGATACCAAGCAAGCTATTCCCTGTTTGTGAAGAAATCTTGAGCTAATTCTAATCTTTTGTCTCTAGCTTCAACTCGTGAAGATTCAGAAATGTTGCATGTATTAAGACCAAGTGGTACTGCCATACCCAACTTTACGTATACGTGGACAGCTGTCTATCGTTGAAATGTAAATAAAGAAGCACTCTAATTAAGGAAATAGAAAAACAGCTCTATCACAGTTACGTAGTTGATGAAACAAAACAGCGGCACACAAAATATAAATAAACAACAAAACCCCAAATATAGCTTTGGAAGATTTAACATCTGCAAGAGCTGAATCTTGCAATGCCAAAGAATATTAACATCTTTTTTCGTATATGATTTTTATTGCAGCGTACACATAATATGTGCTACATTTTCGCATACCCTCTGAGAAAATTCACTATAACGCATGATGCATCCCCTGAAGTTTCATATTATATATAATGCCAGTATATATGACTTATTTTCGGACTAGTTTGAAACAAAAGAGCAGTTTGTATATGTGAGTGTATATATTGATTTATACTGAATTATCTTTGAACTAGCTAGTGCGAGAGAAAAACAAAAGACGTTTTCAGGATTATTTGAGACTATGAGCTACAAAATTTACATATTTTCTTACCTTGCATTTACAATAAACAACGACATGGATGGAGTTAATCGACTATATGTCGGATGTAACAATAAATTTTAAAGGATATTTAGTGCACGTAGTCGATGAAGGAGAATTGAGGCACTTGGTTTATGTACATTATCCCCATCCAGAATGTGATTTGGACACCCCAAGGGATATGCTAGTTAAGTTAACGTTAAGGACCACCTAAAGCTAGGAGCTGTAGGAGGTTGTAGCTCACACTAAAGCATCAACCTTTTCTAATATCAACTCCTTTTTTTTTTACATATCCCTCGCTCTCTCTGTCGTTTGTGATCAAGTTACTCAAATAAGAAAAATGTTATTTCTGCAAATATTTTTTAACTAATTTTGTCACGATGTAGAGAAATAAGAACAAAAAAATTAATATTAAAATGGGTCATGTGATGGAAAAATATATATATATTGTTGTGAAAATTTATTGTAGAAATATGTTGTCGAAATATTATAGAAAATAATTTTTAATAAAGTTTTTCCATTTGACATATTTAATAAATATTAAAATTTATCCATTAAATTATTGAATTAAACGTTTTGTAATATAAAAATCAGTTTATTTAACGTATATTTAAGGATACATAATAAATATTTAAATATAAAATATGTTTATTAAAAATACAGAAATATGCATTAATAATATTAAATGATATAATTTATAATAAAAATTAATATTTATAAATTTTTACTGTGTGCCTTTGAGCACATGTTAAAAAATTTATTTAAAATTTTGTTAGCATTTTATCAAATAATTTTATTTTAATATATAATACACTTTTTAAAATTATTATTAATTATAAAATATATTTAATTCATCTAAAACTTAATATTTAAAATCAACATGTAATATATTGAAATGTTGAATTTGTTAAATTTTGCATTTTATAAAAATGATTATGCAAAAAACTTTAAAAATAATTACTTGTGGAATTATTTATTTTACACCCATTGAAAACTGTTTTTTTTTCTTTCTTATTTCATTACTCCAAATGAAGGAATATAAAATTAATCTATGTAAGAAAAAAAACATGCAAATACAGAAAGGATTAACATCTGGTTAGGGATGGATAAATTTACATAAAATTTGATGAATACAAATATGGCACCCGCATTATAATAAATATGATTTTTTAAGATTATGTCAAGCGAACTCTTTGCATGCGATTAAGGCTGAAAACTGCTAAACTAAGATATATCCAGCATGAGAAGAAAGCCAACATATTTAACAAATCAATATGATTTTTTAAGATTCGGTCAAGTGATCTCTTTCAGCTTGCGACGCTAATGCCTTGTCCAAATTCTTCTATTTGTTATAATTTTCTTGGGTCATATGTTGAACAAATTATTGTAAAAATATAATTTAAATTTTTTTCTTATTTTGTTACAAATAAGTGAAAATTTAATTTAAATTTATCCTTTTTTGTGTGAAAATAACCTATTAATGTTCTAATATATAATTCAATATTTTATTTTTTAAAAATAATTACAGGCATCACGACGGTATAAATCTAATTCAATTGCACAAACATATATATATATATATATATATATATATATATATATATATTTATTTTTATTTTTTTATTTTTTTATTTTTTTTATTTTTTATAATCACAAAATTAGTATTAATAGGACACAAACATGTATTATATATGTGGGATAGAAATTCATTACTTTTTATTTTTATTTTTTGTTAATGTGTTTTATTTTTAATTCATGGGTAGGGAACAAGACACATAAAAGGACAGGTTTCTTTTTTTTCTATCTAAAAGAGACAGATGACTTCATTCTATGTATGTATATGCTAGCACTATAATGGATTGAAATCACATGTGATAATGTTGATCTCTTTTTTTCTTTTCGTTAAAGTGTCAATTTTTTAATTTGAGAGACAAGAAAAAAGGGAATAAATAATTCCTATTGTAGTATGCATACTTGTTGTGAATAAAACTATAAAGGAAATTAGCACAACACAGAACAAAGTAAAAAAAAAAGTGGATTTGGTTATTTTCATATCATTTATTTTTAATGTGATAAAATACGAGTAGCAATATGCTTTTCATTATATAGTTTCCTCTTCATTTTTCAAATAAGTGTAACTATGAGAAATATTAAAAATAAAACAAAATGCAGAAATATTTTTCCCAACTATAAATGCGTCCAAAACTAACAATTGTTTTTTGCCGTGCCTAAACAAACTTAAATGAGGTTTCGTTTTTTTTTTCAACAAGCTTAGATGAGTCATGTTCACTGATATGCAACAACTCAAATAATTAACGGACCTACCAATTAGCCCAATTTTCTGCATTCACTATTCCTAAGCATATATAATGAATTACGAAAATGATATTGTTAAACTTAAAGTTTAAGATCATTTATGGGTCTGTCTAGCAGCTTAAGTTTTGGGTATCGTTTGTTCATGATATGATATTAAAGTACCTTTTATAAAATTTAGATAACTTCCTTTCTTTGAATTAACTTTTAAAAAAAGGTAGACCAATTCATTTTTTATATAATAGTAAAGCCTATATAACTAAGTAATCTAGAGAGTTTGATTCTTACCACCTTTGTTCTTTTAATTAAAAAATCGGTTTAATTTCAAGATAAGATAGATGGATTTATGCATTGCTCATGCTTTAAGTTCAAGGGGCTATGTGGTGGATACATGAGCGTGTTAGAAATAAAGCATAAATTTATGCATATGTTTTTACCTAATAATTTAAGCTTTTAGGATAATTAGCTTATGATAGATAAATTTAAGACCAAAAGAAAATAAAATGGAAGATTTAGTGGACTAATTTTAAAAAAATAGTTAACACATACTCATTTGTACAATTTTTTTTTATCAATTTTATTATTTAAATTATTAAAACTTAATATCGTATATAATATCATATAAAATAATTTAATATTTTACTTTCTTTTTTATTTTTATATGCACACCAGTAACAAAGCTTGAGTGAAAAATTTAAGGTTCAAAATAATATTTTAACGCTTAAATTAAACATGTACAAAATATAATCATCAGCATTCATTATTTTATTTCTTATAATAATTAAATATTTTCATCCAAATAGCATCTCATGTGTTTAAATACACATAATACTCTAAAATACATGTAGAGAAAACCTAGGTGATACAAAATGAAAATACTTTTTTAAAATATAGATTTTTAAAATTATTTTTTTACATGTATATATCAAATAATAATTCTAATGCGAACTACGGTAGCAGAGAATCTCAGATTAAACCAAAAGTTGATGAACATTAATGAAGTGGAAGCTCCACGCTTTTTCCCTGTCCCATGCAGTGTAACCTTCGACCATCCTTACCTTAGAAGTTAGAAGTTTTTCTTGAAATCTTCTTCAATATCTCTTTGACATCCTGAACAAGATACAAAGCAGGATATGACCTACCAAGCCTATTGAACTTCACGCAAACGCTCATATGCACATTCACAGCTTTCTCTCGCTCTCCACCATTCTTCTCCATCTCCACCTTCACCGCTTCAGCACACAACCCGCATATTAACTTCCCTGAGAACATCTCACGCACGCGCTTTATGTACTCGCGTGTGCATTCCTCACACATTCCGCAACACTCACATTTGGCATTGTCTAACTCCGACATGCTTCCAAACTGTGCTGCTTCTTTGTTTCGTTCGAAGGTTACGCTTATGTCAGATACCGTTCTTTGCAGACCACTAATCTTGTTGGTGGTGGAGGAGCCAACCACCTTGTTTGCATTGCATGGCTCCATCGATGTTCTTATGATACCTAGTACCTAGAATCTAGGACCAAGGAAGGATTTCTCAATCTTGGTTGGGTTTGAGGAATGGAACTCAAGTCAATTTATACTGTGATCAATGTTATATTTCTTTGGAAACCTAAGAGGAGATGAATGTGGACTCCAATTGTTGTGTCTAATTAACGATGAAAAGAATCGAACGAGAAAAAGGGCCTGAATGGTTAATCAGATATTTCAGGATCAAGGTGGCATGCCCAGATAACGACTTCAATTTTTTCAATCAAATCTTCCCAATATTCTCAGACGTGATCACCTTTCTGTTAATTTAATTTCGACTTCTCAAATTTCAACACGCCTGACAGGTTCACGTAACTATACAGCATGTATTAATTCCATATAAAGCACGACAACTTCAATCAAAACAAGGAGGAAGCTACTAAAGCAATAATATATATAAATTAAATGAAATTTATAGTGATAGAAGCAAACTCTTAACTTGGTTTTTCTGTTAGCGTATATATTTTTTGTGTGTGTATGTATGTATAAAAAATTACGATAAACTGTAGATGTTGTTGCTTTTTTTAGTGTTATTTATTAATTAAAATTAAAATTTTGTCTTATAATATGTAATAATATAATATATTTTTATCAAAATAAAATTTTAATTAATAAAAAAATATTTACAACACTTGAAGAAATAATACATAAATCTTGTCCAAAAATTTAATATACACTATAAATATATCATGCATGTTATAAGTTCATATAATATATCATATTATTAACGTGAACTAATGTTAATTACCATCAACAAGGATTATGTTAACATATGATCTTAACAATATAATTATAAATAAATATTTAAATTAGATTTAAGCAGCACTAATCTTTAATTATATTAACTATCCAATTATGTAAACAACTAAGATTGGTAAGAAAAACCAAACTACAACGTGGAAACTGTGGGTACTCAAAAAAACCAACGTCACTTCTTTTATTTTATTGAAAAAAGAGTACATTAAGAGAAAATGACTAATTGCTCGACAAGCAGAAAGTATATCCTGTCGCCCGAAAAATCAGCACATATAACTCATGAAATCTGAAATCACGTGAGAAAAAAGATCCACACACGGCCATGTGAAGAGAGAGGGAGTTAAATTTATGGAAGGGAAAATAAAGGTAAATAACTTTCACGAGTTTCTTGAAGATTTAAATAAAGAAAATATTTTTAGTTTTGGGTTATATTTATATATCCATATCACTTTGGGATGAAAATTAGTTACTTGAAGAACAAAAATCACGAGGTGCTCTTACCGTCATTTTAATATTCAGACTAATCGGTTTGACCGGTTAAAAATTCAAATCAATCACCCATCTAATTTTTTAATTTTAAAAATCAGTTCAATGTTTGTGTTTTGATAAGTGTACCCAATATTTAAATGGTTCTCTATTTCACGATAACTTATAATATGTTTAATGAATCGCCGTATTATTGATTTATTCCACATAACTCTATGTACAATCATATTCACCAATTCATTGTAAGTTTCGAAGATAAGATTTTCAACAACAATAATGGTAATAATATACTGAAACTTCTACAAAGATGGCATTAGTTGTTTCAATTTTCAAAAGAACCAAAAAACAACCTTTCTTCAAAGCAAATTTGGTAATTATATTCCAATAATATATTTTAAACTTGTTTAAGTACAATTATATTCGTTTAAGCAGATCGTTTGTTTCAAAAATTTGAAATTAATTTACTTAAGTGATTTTTTTATGCTTAAATAAGCAAATTCTTAATGATAACTTTTTACCATTTTATTTAATTTTTGTTTAAGCCAAAATTTTATCATTTAATCAAATTTAGTAAATGAAATTCTTACTTTTCTATCTTATTTTAGTTTAAACTCGTTTATACCTCGCTTAAGTAAATCTTCAAAATTTTATTTTTTTACTTAACCGACTTTTACATGACTTAAGTGAATCTTGAATTTTAATTTTTTTTATAAAAATAATAAAATTTAACGATAATGCAGCCCTAAATTAAATGTTTTAAATTAAAAAAAAAAAAAAACAAACTGCTCTAATAAGTCCAACGGGTCAAGTAAACATGGCACTTATTATTGAATCAATGAGATTATGTAAAAATTGGTAATATTGATCGGAACAGGCCAGTTTAAACTAGTCGGTTTTTATATTTTAATTTTTTTTAAATGAATAAATATTCAATAATAAAATGTAAGTGTTTATATATATTTATATAATTAAATTATTATTATTGTTATTCATGTAAAATATATAACATGATATTTTATATTAGTTTAAAAATTATTTTCTCTTAAATTTTTATTACATCTTTAAATCAATATTTTTACCTTTTTAATGACTTGTCTAATTCTTATATGGAGGATTTGAATCTTTAGAATTTAAAATATTACACCTTTAAATTAATATTTTTACTTATTAAATGACTCGTCTAATTTTTATATAGAAGTTTTAGATCCAAATGATCTAATAAAAAAGCGTATACAAATTATATATGTGTGTGTGTGTGTAGAGAGAGAGAGAGAGAGATTTAAAAAAAAAAAAAAAAGAGTGATGTGGTCAAAGGATATTAAAGAAAACATTGCTATAAAAATTATCATAATTTTATAAAGAAATGAGAGGTCCCATGATAGATGAAGTTAGATTATGGTTCATTTGGTTAATTTTTTTTTTTTATAAATTATATCCAAAAATTAATTAAAATAAATAATATTTTATCGTCTAATGTAATATATTCAATACACAATTATAGCAAAGGATTAATATTATCTCTTTTTGCTTTTTGAACAAATATTATCTCCTAAATATGTGAATTCTACGATCGAGGTTGTGTTTTTGTAAGGACTAGGGGCCCAACAGCGGTCTTGGACTTCTTTTGGGTCGGAACGAGGATCTTTTGGGCCATAGCTGAATTTGTAATTAACATTAGCCTACGTGGCCCAATCAAGAATTATATTTTTTTTTCGGTTTCTATTGTCTAAGGAAAATGTTACTGGGAGAGTGGAGACCTTATTCGGTATATGCATCTAGAAAAAAAGAAAGAAAAAAAAAGAGATAAATGTGATAAATAATATAATATGATAGAACAGAGAGAGAGAGAAAGATGAAAGAATATTAAATAAATATTGACATGGCCGAAGTTCTCATAAATCATAATTGTTTATTTAATATGATGCGTTTATTCCATAAACCGGTCCAAAAGAAATTTTGACCATTTTCCTTAGGTGTATTAATTTTTAACCAAACTACATGTGGGCCACTAATCAAATAACGAATTAGTAAAACCAGCCCAATTAACTGGTCAAACTGAATAAATAAAATTTTCGCCCAACTTTTTTTTTTTTCTTAAATGGATACCTCTAAGTAATTTAATTAATGAGGATTCAGATATAAGTAATTATTGTTTTAGTGAAATAAATAAATTTAAGTAAAGTTAGATTTAATTATTTAAATGTCTCAGTCCAAGCCTTTATGAGCTTGAAATAAATTTTTTTAACTCTAAACAAAACAAACCCATAAATTTGTGAGCATATGACCTTGGAAAATCTACAATGTATTTGATAAAAGCTGTTACAAATAAAAGCTTTCTTAATGAAAAGAAAATTAGATAAGCTAAATTTACGATATTATTGGTCTCTTTCTCTACTTCTTAAAGAACCGCGAATGATGAAGGGTGGGTGGAATGTGTAGATCTTTTTCAAACCACAGAAATTAGATTTAACTTGCCATGACAGAAAATGTACTTTTTTTATATTAAAAAGAAATGAAGTGTGGTTCCTATCATCCCGTTATTATCTTTTTTGGATACAGACATATTAAAGAAAACGAAGAGCTCTTTGATTCTCTACTTTACAAATAAAAATGCTAAAAGAATTGACTAGGTAAGATATATTCAACCTTAATAACTTTTTTCAACCTCTCATAATCAATTTTTGAGGGTAAACAAACAGGCACCAAGACTAATTGCAACCACTATTATTGTACTCTATTGTCCACGCTATTTAAGATAAGGTATACTTTTCTCTATTATCATTATTAACTATAACATCAACAGTTCTATAATATATGAAACCCGAATTAATCCATTATAATAAAATAGATGTTTCTATAATCTGAGATGAGTAACATATAAACAATCTTTTATAAAAAAATTAAATATTTTTATATATTTTTATATTTAAAAAATATTTATTATAAAAAATTCATGCATGAGTACTCAAAGCCTTGATTGGGAGTTTGATGTGTGGTCCAAAAGAAATGCATGGCGAGGAGGCGAGGGAGTTATGATGGTAATATCTGTATTATTTTATTTTTTATCTCATTATGTACATTACAGAAGTAGTCTTTATGAAAGTTGTGGAAAGGAAATTATATGCACCCGTTTGTCTTTTTCTATGATATTGTATTTTTATATTGTTTATATGATTCTCCATTCTGAAAGCTATGATATTGTTGAAATATGTTGGCCTAATTGAAACCAAATTGAATAATAATGTTTATTTTGCTTTGCCTCCCAAAGGACAATCAACCTAATAATTATCTATTAGATTAATGATTGTGGTTATTCTTATTCACATTCACATCTTCCTTTTAAGATAAAAAATGGGTCACCGTCTCCGTTAACACGGATTCTTAAATTTGTCACCCAAACGCACCGTCACATGCGAATACGAAAGTCAAAGCAGAACTACAATTTATTAAACGGACAATTTTAAATAGAATGAAATGTGAGTCTATTAATAGATTACCAGTCCAAAAATATCATGTCACTCAAAAATTAATAACGTAAGATTAATGAATTTACAATAAGTATGTTAATAGAAATTAAATATATAATTTAGAAATATAATAATAATAGTAACAATAAAATAATAATAATTAAATTAAATTTTGGTTGAATTAAATTTAGATCATTAAATATGATTGAGATGCGTGTATAAATGAATTTAAATCGTAAATTTTTATGAAAATGTGCATATTTTGTTAAACAAAATTTCTTATGTGTTAGACTTGTTAAGAATCATTAAAATACAGTTTACTAAGTAGAGTATTTTTAATTACTATAAAAAGTAAAAAAATTAACCTAATAATTAAGAATTAAATTTAATAAAAATAATACACATTCAAAGTTTTTTTTATAATTTTAAGAGAAAAAATATTTTTTCAGTAACTTTTTGTATTTAATATCTTAATATATACTCTTAAATGCATAATAAAAACTGTTTATTAAGAAATAATTTTTTTAACTCTAAACAATACAAACCCTTACATTTGTGAGCATATGAGCTTGGAAAATCTACAATGTATTTGAGAGGCGTAGTGAGGAACAGGAAGAAAAACTGAAGCCACACACGAAATGACGAAGAAGTTGAGTTCATGTCACTAAACCATGTCGTATCTGGTAAACAAAGGTACACGTCGTGCATTTCGCAAAGCTCCAATTTATTTGAATCCAAATCTTCGCCTCCTCTTCATACTTTATAAAGTATATATTAAATAAAAAAAGTAAGTGATTTTATTATTATTTAAATATAAAAAGTATTAGTAGTTTATCCATTTAATAATTAATATAATTTATAAATATTCTTTTCGCTACTTCTGAACATAATGTCATTTCTAAATTTTTAATAATTAATATAATAATCAAATTTAACTTTGATTACGAGAAAATGACCAAAGGAAGTAGAAATTAAAAAAAAAACTAATATGTATATTACACACAATAACAACATATGTATCATATATTTTTATTAAAAATAAGAGATAAAAAAATTAATTCTATAACTTTTAATAAGGTTGAATTTTAAGTATATAAAAATAATAATTATTTCATTAAAATTATAAAAGTAGAATAAAAATTTTTAATAAAAAACTGGCATTATTTATTGTTTAAACATAACAATTAGCACCTTCATAAAATAATAGTTGTAAGGTACTTAATTAAATGTATCTTGTAAAATGAGAAAAAATGATAATGTAATTTAATTTTAAATAAAATTAAAATTAAAATACTGTATATTTTTTAAAATATTGCTTAAAAATAAAAATATATATACCCTCGTATTTTTAACATATTATAACATAGTTTTAATAAAAAATTGTAAATTGTTTAACTAATAAATATCCTTAAGACGGTAATACTTGATCACATGAATTTCAGAATAACGAGGAAACAAAGTTAAAAAAGAAAAAGTATGCGATAGCTCGCGTGATTTTCTGCATTTGCTGGCATAAACGAACCATAGTCAACAACTAACCCTTTTTGACCCGCCGGCCTAACAAATCAAAAGAAGACACGTGGCGATTGCAACCGATGCTGGCGATGAGCTCATGACCGCAACGAGTATTGGCTGTACTCCAGACATCACCGTTCGTTCACCATTCCGAGTTCTGATGCGAACAACGTCTTTTACTTTTTTTTTAAAGCAGACAGCATCTTCATTATTCATTGTCATCCGTTGGATCCCCCAGGCCAACAAAATGAACGGTTAAGACCCATCAACAAACAAGTATAAATATACGCCCAACCGCGTGCAACTAGATTGCGTTTCTTGCATTGTATTGTGCAGTTTTTGTGTTGTGTCTGCGTCGGAATTCATTTCCCGTTGAGTCTCCGTCCTCCGCCGCATAAAGCGATGTCTTCCGCCGAGACGGAGATGGAGCCTCTCACGTCCGGTGCAAGCAATCGCATAATTCCGCTTCTCAAAGCCCTGAGGTCTTCGCTGATATTCGTCTACACCTACTTCCTCTCGTTCCTGTTGTTCGTTCTCCCCCGGCGCCGCCGCTTCTCCTCGACGCCGTCTTTGGCGGGACCACCGTCGCCGAAGAAGCATTTGAAGCGGCGGTGGCTGGTTCGGGAGGAGGAAGACACGTTCAGGAGAAGAGCGTTGGCGCAAGACGTGGGAATGGGTCGCGACGATGGATGTTGCCGGTGGAACACTTCTATTTTCTACGGTGTTAGAAACAACGCTCTGTTTTGCCGATCGTGGTTCCCGGTCACCGGTCATGTTAAGTACGGTTTTCTTTTCTTCTTCTTCTTCTTCTTCTTCTTATTATTATTATTATTTTGGGTTTGTGTTTTCAAACTTCAACACGTTTTTTTGTCGGATTTTTGCTAATTCTGTTGGTAAACAAACTTGTATCCGTTTATATGTCGAAGTTTTTCTGCCTCTAACACGTAGAGATAGAAATTGAGCTCGATACGGTGGAATTTTGAAGAGGATAAGGTAAAATGGTAATTTTCTTTTCAGGGGAAACAGTGAATGAGCTTTTAGAAAGCAATAATTTGCAACTGATTTTTGTTCACTGTAGCTTGATTGGAATAATTGGCGCTACTTCTGTAAAAGAGGAATGTTTGCAAACGAGTTTTGTGCTTTGATTTGGGGGATGCTTTAGTTTTTCGGCCGTTCTGGGACCTGAACTTGGAATTTGGACTCGGGAGAATTTAGTATGTCTAGAATTGAGTCCTCTACAGGGGATAGAGTAATCGAAATGAAAGAAAATGCATGTGATTGAAATTGCTATACTGAAAAGAAAAGAAAAGAAAAATGGGATGAATTATGCATTAATTTATTATTGGTGTGCTATATCGGTTGCTGGCTGGTTTATTATTGAACAGGTGACAGGATTCGGTTGTTTTATGTCCTTTTCTTAAGGATTTTTCTCTTTCTCTCTCTCTTTCTGAAATGATGGATGAGACATCGTCTGACGAATGGATATTTAGAAAGCTCCTCTTTAGTACCCGTGCTTCGTATTCTTGGTTTTCATTTCCAGCCACTTTTATTGTTGGCATCTATAGCTAGCTAGCTAGCTTTTCTGTTCCCTGCAGTTGTCCTGCTTTGTATAACATTTGGCTCAAGTTCTTTTATCTTTTGTTCTTTCAGGGGCATTCTGATCATCATTCATGGGCTTAATGAACACAGGTAATCTTGCTTTGTTTATTAAACAAAAAAGAACATTTTGTCAGTGCTTCACGTTTGTTTCTCATGTGGAGCTGGTCTGATCTGCCTTTTGGTTTTCCAAAATTTGTTTATACAAGTGATTGTCAATACATTTAAATCTTTCCGAAGGTTGTTTGAAATTGGTTCTAATACAATATTATTAGATTTATTCCCCTCCCCTCACTTCTGACTTAGTACTCATTTTTCAGTGGAAGATATGCGGACTTTGCAAGGCAATTAACATCTCGCAACTTTGGTGTCTACGCAATGGACTGGATAGGTAATTTAAGAATTCTTTTTCCATTTGGTCCCTTAAGATCCTTGCTGCTAGACAAAGCTTTTTTTCCCACTCTAACATATCTACCTTTGCCTTAATAGAAGTAAAACTCCTGTTACTGGATTTTGTGGTAATACTAATATGCATGGTTTTGTCATTTTAATAATGCATATATTTTTATCCTTATTTCTATTTTATTTTAAATTTTTTTCCTATCCTTATCATTTTGTAATAGGTTTGGAGTAATTTTGTTTTTATTGTTACAGGTCATGGAGGTAGTGATGGATTGCATGGTTATGTTCCTTCTCTTGATCATGTGGTTGCAGACACAGTAAGTATATTTCTACTTTCTTCTGTTTGTGTAAATAGACTTGTGACATATGTTCTTTTTTATGATAATAGTTCTTACAATGGAAATAAGTATTAGGTGTCAATAGTTATTCTACCATTTTAAACATTGCTACAGAAGTAGTGAAATAAGTTTGTTGTATAAAGTTTTTACCCTTTATTTTGACTACGCACTTTAAATTGCAAGTGTTACATCCATCATTTAATTTATGTATGTGTAATTGTTATCTCTGCTCACTTTCATTGCTATTTGAAAATTTTGTTATCAACAATTCCAAATGTTTGTGCTGTTTTCTTTTTTCTTTTAGCTTGTTTTCCTTTGGAGATATATTGCAATATTATTGCATTTCAAATGTCAGTCGGTGATTTTGACGATGTTCTTTGCATATTGATGGTAATGCTAAACAGGGGGCTTTCTTAGAAAAGATTAAATCAGATAATCCTGGGATACCGAGCTTTCTCTTTGGTCACTCCACTGGAGGGGCTGTGGTGTTGAAAGTAAGGGTTGAATCTTCTGCATATCTTGCGCGATTAAATTCGTCTTCATTGAATTTTGAAATTTAATTTCTACAATTTTTGTGTAGGCAGCCTCCCATCCTCATATTGAAGTAATGGCGGAGGGAATTATATTAACCTCGCCAGCTTTGCGTGTGAAGCCAGCTCATCCTATTGTTGGTGTAAGTATTGCATTTGTAGATTGTACATGATGTTCAAAATTAATGTGTTTTCATTTGTTACTTCAGTGGTAGCTATGTTCGGTATATTTGGACTTATTTCTTAAGCTTGCTATAAAAAAATGTTGTAATGTATGAATTTATGACAAAAGTAGCATCCCTCCTCTTTTCTCAACTATTAACGTCAATTCTGACTCCGCCAATTGCACAAAAGTCAGTACGATATGATATCTAGCTACATATAGTGCTTGGCCGATTAGATGTTTGTCAATCGGATAGAATTAACACTACGCTTTTAAGCCTTTCTGACTTTCAATTTGCACCCTTATTGTAAGAAGTGTATAAAAAAAGAGTGATGAATTCTTTCTTAGTAATACTTTGCTTCCACTTCCTCTGCATCTAATCATTCGGTTTCAGAACACAGTCAGCAGAAACGGTGCTAAACCCAGTGGAATATGGCATCTAATTTTTTAATATGGTCTTGTGCCCTCTTTTACCTCTCCTTTGCATTTAAGCATTGATCATGATTTTCTTTGAAGGGGAGGAACTTTCCTGAATCCTGATATTGAGATAGTATATAAGCTTTTTCATTGACTTCTAGAATCTCAAGAGTATACAATGCTGCATTGCATTATGTTTCTAATTATGGACCATGCTTTGAATGTGTTTCATGATTTTTGTCTACATGTTAAGGGGATCTGTTTGATGTGTTGATCTTTGATCCAGGCTGTTGCTCCATTTTTTTCTCTGGTAGCTCCTAAATTCCAATTTAAAGGAGCAAACAAAAGGGGCATTCCAGTTTCAAGGGACCCAGCAGCTTTGTTGGCAAAGTACTCTGATCCTTTGGTCTACACAGGACCTATAAGGGTCAGAACTGGTCATGAAATATTGCGGATATCCTCGTACTTAATGCGAAACTTCAAGTCTGTGACAGTGCCATTCTTTGTCCTCCACGGAACTGCTGATAAGGTAACTGATCCACTGGCCTCACAAGATCTCTACAATGAGGCAGCTTCGGAGTTCAAAGACATAAAGCTTTATGATGGATTCTTGCACGACCTTTTGTTTGAACCTGAGCGTGAAGAGATAGCTCTGGACATTATCAACTGGATGGAAAAGAGATTATTTACTATTTGAAAAAGTCAGTAGGAAGGAAAGACACAAGGTGGAAAAAGGAATGCCAAGGTTCAAGGTTGGTTAAGTGTAGAAAATTGAAGTCGCCCTGGGAAAGGGGGTGGCGGAAGCAGATAGTTTATTTTTAGGTGTTGGATATATTTATATGAAATGTGTGACGATCGTTGTTTCATCGAGAAACTGTAAATTATATAGTTTTAAATTTCAGTAGCGTTTTCAACTCCCTATTTCCAGCATTCTTTTAATTGGTTATCCGTTTAGTGCACGTCATGTTCGCGAAATTTTAATTTTAGTTTTTTGCACGACTTCAATTCCTGCAGTATCTATATGTGGTGTTTGTTTCCAAAGCGTCGTGAGTTAAACGGATACAAAAACAACTCTAATTACTCCTTATAAATATTTCAGAATTTGGTTTTAGTTAGATTCTTTGTTTGGTTAGTCTCTATTTCTTGGAAAGATTATTTTGGTCTCATTATTAATTGTAATCCATGTAATTATTACGCATTTGAGCTATTACCACATTATTGTCATCTCATTTTTTCGTTCCCATAAGTTTTTTTATGTAACTTTCACTTAAAGTTTATGAAGAGATGCATCCCCCATATTATAATTTAAGATTCCTTAATTGTGTGCATAAAGTAATATTAAGATATTTTAAAACAAAAATTTATTTAAAATTAAAGTAATAGCTTATGAAAAATGAGTTTCTAGGAAAGCTTTTTTTTTAAAAAAAAAATAGCTCTTAACTTCTCCGCTAGTTTAATCGGTATGTGCCTATGTGGTCTGCAATATCAAGGTTTTCCAATTTTAGTTCTTTTTGAATTGTTTTAAAGGTGTTTGTATAACAGAGACGAGAGTTAATTATTTATTTTTAAAATAAGAATGAAAATATTTTAGAAAAATAAAAAATTTATACAATATCAATTTGGTTTGAACAAGTTTTTTAAAATAAATATTTACTAAAAAAACGAGATGAATTATATACGTAAATTAAATTAATAAACTTTTTTAAAATTAAAATTAATTTATACATCTCCTTTTCTAAAAAGTTTACTTACTAACTTAATTTTAATTTATATAAAAAAACTAATTTAGTGTTTCTCAAAAAAGTTCTTGGACAGGTGTTTGCTGAAAAGATTGTCCCACCCGAGTCATCTCTCCATTTATACCTATCATTTTAAAAATTTTCAAATATTTAAAGTAAAATAAATGTTTCATTGCAATAAAGCATATTCTCCGCCCTTTTGTAAGAAAAAAAAGTATTCTCGCTTCTCATTCTTAGCAAACGGTCTAAATATTTCAAAGTAACGTGCACGGGTAATACTTACTTGTATGAATCATTCAGCTAGAATTGATTTAAGTGCATGTGACGTCATTCTTCTGAAAAAAAAATCTTTGAAGAGAAATATTGTTTTATCATTAAAATGAGATATAAAATCACCTTACCGGTACGATAATGTTCAAATAGTATTATCTTTAGCGGAAGATATTTATAATTTACATTAAAAACGTGAGATGTAAAAAAATATTTTAAAATACATTTTAAAAATGGATGAATTATAAAATATATTAAAATATTATATAATATTTATTTATTTTTTATATTTAAATAATGAAATTGATGTTGCAAATAATAATCGAAAAGAAACATGTAAGACATAACATGAAGCAATACGTGATTACTATAAACACAAATTTTTTGAAATAAATAAATGTTAAAAAAAAACATAACTAGATAGTTTAATAATGTAGCATACTCTCTGACTATATGTCATACATAATATTGACTTATATTAGGAAACGGATCTCTTGCAGTTTGCGCAAGAATTACAATCTTTAATTCTATTTCTACTTAAGTTAATATGAATTTGCTTAAGCAAAAATGAAACTGCAGCATCTTTTTCTATTTTCTTATTTTTGTTTAAGCAAATTTAGATTTGTTTAAACAAAAATATATAATAAAAAGAAAATGTTTCTTTTTCTTCCATTCTTTCAGTTTTCTCTCTTTCATCCACCCACTTAGCCCCTCATCCTCTCCTCTCTTTTCTTTCCTCTCTCACTCAGTCTCTTTCTTTCCTTTTCTTCTCGGTCTCTTCTTCCTTCAGCCTTGCTAAGTTTCTTTCTTCCTCTTTCTTCGTCTAGCTTTCCTCCCCTCCCCCTTCCTTCACCCCACTCATCCTCTTCTCCTTCTTTTTTCATCCGGCCATTTTTCCTTTCCCCTATTAGTTTATTAGCCTTTTTCGCTTTTCCTCTCCCTTGTGCTCTCCGTCTCATCTTCCTTTTAGCCTTCTTTTTTCTCTCTTTCTTTTAATTTTTTGTCACTTTTTTTTTAGCCTAAACTAAATTCGTTTAAACAAATTTTTTTGACTTAAGCAAATAGAAAACTGCAACTTACAGTTCTCGTCAAAATTATAGGAAATTCAGATCTCTTATATTAATACTACACAAAACTCACATAATTTGAATTCAGATTCATATGAAATTAAGTCACAAGGATTTATCCTGAAAGCATGCATGCTAGCTCCACGTTCTTTGCCATGAATTGGATAAAAGACTGGACCAAAGAGAAGAAACCTTCAAACATTCACCCTTACAATTTGTAAGTTTAGGTTAACTTATAAATAGGCAATACTTAGATTGTGAGCAAATATGACAATTTTTTTGTTATTAGGGGAAAGAAATTGAAAGTGAAAAAGGAAGACGTGAACATTCTTTTGGGACAGCATTGGACGGGATCCATCATGAGTAGCATATTGGCCCACTTACAATTGAGGCTTCAGCTTCCCATCACAATTTTGATTGTACGTCTGCGAACGGAGAAGTTTTAGGATACTCTTTTTCTCTTATGGGAGGATTAGTAAATTAATTGAGAAAAAAGTTCATAATAATGTAATAATATTTTTATTATTGACAATTTTTCATAAAATTATGTTAAATAATCTGAATTCACCATTTACTCTGGGATTTTATATGAGCATTCAATAAATAACAATAAAAACATATAAAGATGCTAAATTTTCTTTTATTTATTAATTGTTACCCCAAGGGAAATTATCTTATCATTTTGTATTAAAATAACCATAATAATGTTAAACACTGGGTTGGGAATAGTTTATTCTTCAAAAATTTTATAGCTTATTCTCTATAATGTGTTTTTTGAAGAACCCAATAAAAAATAAAATAAAAAACTAATCACGTCCTTAAATCATGGCTTTTCTATTTTCTTATCTGTTAATTGAGATTTGCGAGTGCTCGAAAAGAAAAGACAAGGGACAAAAAAAAAAAAAAGGTTTGCAAACCATGGCAATTAGATTCGAAGATATAATAATCCCATTCAAATTATTTAAACCTCTCTTTAATCGTTACTACTGCAATCCCAGAAACTATAATTAGGACATCTCTAGCTTCACATATTACGGTTACTGCAATTTTACATTAACTTTACTATTACTGCTGCAATACAAAAGAAATCACAGAGGTACATGTTCCGAAGAAATCGAAAAAGAAAGCGACAAAAACCAGATGGAGATGGAAACAAACACACCCTCCCTTCTATACTTATTAAAAAGTGCAGTAACTGAGAGAAAAACACAGACACAAGAATCATGAAGCGTCGATTAAGCAGTTACAGAGCGAGCAAGCTCAATCTTCTTGGCCAAGGACTGCACATAGGACTCGACGAGATATTGAAGAGCTTGTAAGGTGAACCCCTCAACTGGGTCACAGACAAACCCCCACTCGATCTTGCAGCCAAGTTTAGGATCCTCGTTGATTGGGAACACTCTGACAGTGGCAACATAGGACTTAAATCCCAAGTTGTTGTCGAGAACTTGGTAGGACAGAGAGCGTTGGAGGGGATCGATAGTGAGAAGCTTCTCTTTGGCCCAGTTGACGGTTGGTGTTACCGTCTGTGCATCGCCTCCACTATCGCCGCCCTTAACGGCTGCAGCACAGTAGCGGATGAGACCTGGTTGGCCTGGAATGCCCTCTACACGGTAAGATGTGTCTATGGGGATCCACTTGTGTATGTTGCAGAAATCCTCTATCGCGGGCCATACCGATTCTGCATCCGTTCCTGCAAGCTCAACCATCGCTTTACCTTCCCATTTTGCTGAAGATTCCTCTGCCATGATTCTCTGCGAGAGTGTTGTACTGTGGGCAATGTGGGGACGGAAACTTGTGGTGCATCTACTTCAACAATTATTTTAAGAAAAGCATGTGGGGTATTAATAGGGAATCAAAAAAGCATGTGGGGTATTTATTTTATTTGTTTTTTTTAATATGTACAACGTTATTTACAGTATATATGATATTTTATTGAAAATATGAAATTTAATGTTATTTAATTCATTTTTTTTTATTAAATACTGTGATATTTAATAAATATATTGTATATAAGTTGCTATTGTGTGTATTTTATTGTAACGGTTACAAAAATTATTATATCTTATCTTATTTATAAAAAAAATGTTTATTTCATTAAAATTCATAAAAATTAATTATATATCATAAATTTAAGTAGTATTAAATAGTTAAATTAGTGTCTTATATATTAAATAGATAAATGTATCCATTTTTTATTAATAAAATATAGATACTTAGTTAATGCAAATCTCACAATAAATAAGTATAGAAGAAAATATAGCAATTAATTATGATCCAATATAAGTCCTGCATAGATGAGTTAAGAAAAAAAATCAACGGATATATAAATAAAAGAATTTTGTGTTTAAATTATTTTTAAAATTTAAATAAATAAGTAAAGAAATTCCTCAATCACTCATTCCTTCTCTTAAATTGAGTTTATATCAAAATCCTAATATAATATTAGAGTCAAAATAAAAAAAAAATGAAATATTCAGTATTTTTAAAAAGAGATATAAGCTCGAACAAAAATAAATTGTTTAAAAATTCAAGTTACGATTAAATTTAAGCTAATTTAACTTAAGGAGAGGTGTATAACAACAAAATTTTTACATTGATAAATTAAAATTGTCTGAAACGTTTTAAATAAATAAATTATTCAAACTTAAGATCAATTACTCACTCTCAGTCCACGTTCTAGATGTATATGAAAACGAGCTCGTGTTTATTAAAACTAAGACAAAAATAGTATATATATTTTATTTTATATTGTTTAATTTAATAATTCAAAAAAGAGCAAGCCAAAATATCTTACTTTTTTTAAATTTTTCATAAAAAAATCTGAGAAAGAATGAAAAGTTGGATTTATCATTTTTAAATCATGATGAATAAGTTATCTTATATTTTATTTTATCTTTTACCCTTTTTCATTGATTTTCATAAAAATATTATTTCATCGAGACAACGCAAATTAAAAAAACATTTTTTTTAAAATTAAAGACAATTAAAATTTTGAATGATATAACTCTCATGGTTAAATGAAACATTAACTCTAAGTTTAATTATATACTTTTAAAAACTTTAAATTAGAGATATTTTTATTAGTTGAAGGATTCAAATAATCTATATTTATTTTAAATATACACACTTCATTCTTCGAGAAATATTTATCCAAGTCAATTTTTTTTATCTCTCTAATTTCTCTGTTACTTTTTCATTTTTTGTGTTATTATTTTTTAGTAGTTGAAGGATTCTAGTAATATAGAGTACTTTAAACGAATCAAATAAAACATTATTTTATATACTATATAAAGTAAATTATAATCTAAATATATTCCTAAACCCAAATAATATTAACAATCAAATATTTTATACTAAAATGATTTTACTCTTATGTATCCTACCAACATTTTTGTTAATTTAAAAGATACATAATTTTATAAAAGAGATAACTTACTTAATTTTTTAAAACTAAATATTCTAATTAAAACTGTAAAATAATTTAAACAGTCACATTGATTATACAATGATTACTTGTTTTTTGTGGAACAATTTTTGTGATCTTTTGAAAAATATTGTAAACAACTGTATATTTCATTACACGCGCATGTAAAGAGACATAAGGTTTATGATAATATAATTTTCTTGATTAAATAGAAAATAAATGATAATTTTGCATATAATTTTCCTCCCTTTACTTGGGATTTGGAATAGTAAGCCGTAGGACTACTAATATGATATTGATAAAACTCGTAGGACCTGCAAATTATTCAAAGAACAACAAGAGAGGTGTATTTATAACAAGATAAAAATTTCGTGAATCAAGTGAATTTGTGAATCAATTACATGAACCAGTCGTTCATGTGATTATATATTTAATTTTAGTAAACTTCAAAGTGATCATACCTAAATAGTAAAAGCAACAGTATAATTTATGAGAAAATGTTTGTTAATATTTACTTTGAGTAATTTAAATAATAGAAAAAGTTTGAACATTTAATGTCATGCATAATGTAGTGCACGGACAAACTGTCAGCCTCTAAGGATTTGAAGTTTGAACATTTGTGGAAACAGTCACAAAGCAATTGTATTATGACGAGGCACTAACAATAACAGATGGGCACATGCACATAAGTGGGCATTATTGTGGTATACACTGTTTAATGGTGAGTCAACTTCACTTGCATTTTTGTTTAAGCAAAATTTTGTTCAAGAGAAAGTGTAAAAATATACTAACTATAAAGCAAAGTTCACGTTAAAACTGCAAGAGAATCTCAATTTTCGTTGTCCCTATTATTTTTCTACATTTGTAAATATAAGTTGTGAAGGAGAAAATATTTAAATTGTAAAATTTAGAAAAGCATATTTAAACATCACCGTATCTTTGCACATGTAAAAAGGTATATTTGTGTAAAGAAGTTGATCGATAGCTTACCTCTTCCCAGAGGCTTTACTCTAGAGATAATAGTTGCATGCTGTGAGAAACTGAGAAAAATAATTGGAGTTGATGAATGAAAGAATTAGCTGAATGAAATCATGATCCTGACCAACCGAAAATGACATGCCATCACATCGTTGTTCTGGTTTTCTGCAAGGATCATATATACATGTGGTCTGCAAGTAGAATTGAAACAAACCGTCTGCTCACACACTTATGATAGGTCCTATTTTTTAATACACCTGATCTTATTAATATATCACATTTACTATACACATTTTTAACATTATATACGATAACAAAATTCACGAGTAAATGCTTCCAATTATTTCCAGCCTGTAGTTTTGGAGGGGGTAAAAAGTTGAGGATGATCCAGAATTTTCCAACACTAAAACGCAATTCACTGGAAAAGAAAAAAGACACTGTGGAGATATTAAAATATTAGCATCAATTACAAAGTTAATTAAATATCTCAACAAAAATTTATATATGGCTACTTTCGATAAGTACAGAAAAAGGATTTTTAGTTTAAATAATTGAATTGTCAGTTACTTATCAATACATAATTCTATACATCACCGTCTAAACAAAAGTTCTATAGGATTCCTGATAATTTGATACTATCATCATGACCGTAGGCCCACGATGAAATAAAATAACCAAAGTGTGCGATATATATAGGCTAGTATACATCTTTTACATGTAAGTTGGAAATTAAATATGGATAATGTAGGGCTAAAGGAAAACTTACGCCTAACCAAAAGTTGTCATTTGGACCCCCTCCCCTGTCATGCATTACTAAAATATATTTGCGTGCGTAATCTGTGACTCAGTACTACTATTGCTTTTTCTTGGTGCATATAAGCATCAAGTTTAAAATTTTTTATATTATTTTTATTTTTTCCTTTTCTGTCATTGTCTTTATATATTGATATTTTTTTACTCATTTTATACCTCTCAATGAAATGTGAAATAAATTTATTATAAACGTACATATAAAAAGAAAAATCTCACTCTACTAGGCTACTACTAAAGGTGGATATCAACACACGCCATGGGTCCACAACCCAGAAGAGGGTCACTGAGAGGTCAAAAAGTCGATCGCCACCCGTTTGGGTTGGTGGCATATATGTTAAACTTAAATCAATTCCCATCTAACAATTTTCAAGTTGGCCCAAAGTGAGTGTTGAGGCTTTCTATATATGTATATATTTAATTTGATGCTCGACCGAAACCTTTAGCACCAAAAGAGAGGACTTGAGCAATGACAATAAACTATTAACATAAACAAAACAAAAAAAATAAAAGGGAAAAGGAATATGTGTATAGGCGTTATAATAACACAATAATTACAAAAGAAACATCCAATAAAAAGGAAAGAACAATAAAACTGTAATGATTAGAGTTCACTATCCGTAACAGCAACATCAAACCAACTTCTCCTTCTCTGCCCTTATCCTACCTTTTTCCTTTCCTTTAAATTGCTTTTCCCACACAAACCAACCCTCTTCAGTCTTCACTATTTGGACCCCTCTAACTCTCGTACAATTGCTAATTATAACCCATGAAACCACACTCAGACACACACTTCCCTCTCCCAAATGTCGTAGACATTACGTGCATGGACCCGGCCCGGCCCACGGTCGTCACAGAGAAAGTCTGCAAAACGGTGCGTTTGCTAACCTTCTTTATACAAAACGGCGTCGCCAAAAGCAAAGTGGTGCACGACATGCTAGACGTGATGAAGCGAGGGAAGAACATAGGGAAGGCTTTGAACAACGTCATGGTGCGGCACCACGAGGCCATCACGTGTCGCTCACGTGATGCCCACATGTCGTTCGTGTCCCCGTTGGAGTACCAGTTCAGCTGCAGCGGCAGTCCTCCGCGCCCCTCCTACGCCTCCCGGAGGAAGCTCTCTCCGGCCACCGCTCAACGACACAGAGCGCCCAGGCTGTGTCGCGGAGCCGGAGATGACGAGCTGACGGGGACAATACAGAGGCGCGTGAAGATCACGGGCTCCGCTGCATCGATGTTGAAGGAGACGGAGAAGGATTTCCACGTGGATGAGGCGGCGGAGGAGTTCATAGCGAGGTTCTACAGAGATTTGAGGTTGCAGAAATGGTTAGATCATTATTGCTGACGTCACGTGTATAGAATAGTTATGTGTGGCTTTGTAATTGTAACTGCACTTAGTTTTCCATATGTATGTTACTTTTAGGTTACTGTTAATTACTTGGCAATGGATGTTCGATCTTGGAATGTTATCAACAATTACAAGTTGTTTCTTTTAACTTTTCTTTCTAGATTGAAACCATTATTCTTAATTAGGTAATTAATCTCTCTCCGAAAAACGTTAGTTTACAGGAGTGTGTTCTTGAGCTGCAACACGTTTTGTGAAAGAGCTCTGTGCGTTTGTTTATATTGGTGAAATCTAAAGGCTTTAGGGTTTAGTGTTTAAAAACTCAGACCGTTCTGTATCGTTGCATTAAATTTTATATCCTTTATTAAATGAATTCCCAGTCCTAAGGGTGACGTACATTAATTTAATTACTGCACAATTCAATTCATTCATGTCTAGATCTAATTAATCTCTCTAATTATAAAATTATAAATTAATAATTAAATCAGATAAATAAGTTAATATTGGATGGTTCTAACCTGTTTTCTAAACGGTATTGTTAAAACTTTAAAATGTTAATAAATAATATTTTTTTGAACTTATGTTAAAAATATATTAAAGATATGAGAAGAATGTGTACTTTATATACATTTACAAAATATTTATAATTCATTAATTAGTATTCTAAGAAAAGGCATTGAACAATATTGATATTTCTTAAATCATTGAGTCATCATTTATTGATAGATGATATGATTGTCTTGCTTTTTTTTTTTTCTTGTCCTTATGATTTTCTTGTTTGAACCTCAAGAAGGAGAACACATGCATTTTGTGTTTTCTTTCACCTTTCGTTTTCTTAACATTTGGAAATTCAGGCTCTCGTGTTTTGGATCTTACTAATAATCAGTCGAATATATATATTTAATTCAGTTCGTAATATTTGTCTTTTAAAATAACGTATATTTTTTAAGAAAAATATTAATCACACAAATTACTATAATAAAATGAGTAATTACCAGATGTGGTTGATCTACAGTTTTGGTATTAGTGTTTGTTTGCATAATTTTTATTTTTTTTTTAAGTTAATTTTCATAATTGTAAGACAAGTTGAACTAAACACAGACGTTCAAAATTACTAATCTTGACATCAACTCATCAATTATATGTCAATATTAATTGTTGTATAGCTCTTTTACTTATATATATATATATATATATATATATATATATAGAGAGAGAGAGAGAGAGAGAGAGAGAGAGAGGAGAGTTTATGAACTAACCTATTCTAAATGCTCTATTTTGGTTTATAATTTTTATAAGTTCAAAATTTTTAATTTTAGACTTGTTTTAATGACACGTTTATAATTCAAAATTTCTAACTTTCCTCGATATTTTGTATTTTTTTAAAAAGTATATATATTTTTTAACAAACATGTATTAATAATAAGGCTTCTTGATTTAGTGGATAAATAATATATTGTATAACAAGACTTTATATTACATCCGTATTATTTAATTTAAAATATTATAAATATATTTAAAATTTAGTTATGGTCTTCTTTAATTGCACAAAATGTTAAGATAAATATATTAATTATGTCAACAGATCAGATTAATAGAGTATACTGTGTTAGCGGGTTTTGTCTATATTCGCCTTGTATTCAAATAATTAACCCTATAGACTAAAATAAAATAAAAATTTTCTTCTGATGAACATCCCCACCTAAACTTATTATTTTGAACTAAGAGAAACTTCAAAAATATTATTTTAGATCAGAGAAAAAAACTGTAACGATATAAACCTTTAAAAAAACATCTGCACTGTTTTTAAAAATGGATTTATTATATATTTTTCATAAAAAATAATCATCAAATAAATAACATTTATTTTCAAAATAAATTAAATAAATATTTTGAATATGTTGTTTTAATCGTTTTTTCTAAACTAATTCAATAATTTACTCTTGACCTATTCGTTATAATTCAATTTAAAAGTCCATTAGAAACATTCGTTTTATGGCGTACCTGTCCCAAAGTGCACAAAAACCTGTTCCAGTGGTCAATAATTATGCCTAATTAGATTCATTAATTTTTACAGTACGTTCTTATATTTTTATGCCTAATTATGCCTAGTGGGTAGGGAACTCTTCAAACAGTACGTTCTTATATTTTTACAGTGTTTGCATTATATTTATTTAATTTTCATGTTATTGATTGTATTTTTACTTTTTTTTCATATTTCTCGTGCATCCACCCATTTCATAAATAATAATTTTGCCAAACTTTATGGTAAAGACAGAAGCACTACAAAAGCAACAGAAGGTCGCGCATATGATGAACTAGAAACATGAAAGTCAAATACAAAACAATAAAGTTGATATGATGAATTTACATCTTTCGGTAATAATATAAATAATTTGTTGTAATCATTTTTCTTTTTCATAACGAGATTGTAATCTTGACTTCATGAGCGCACTATTGCTAGCTAGTTAATTGCGGCTTGAACTAAAAGGTTATATGCATTTTCTTAAAAGAGGGGGAAATTTTTTTCAGTGACTGTTTGATTTTTCGTTCAATATAAAATTTATGGACCTTTAATGTATTCAAATGTACTATAAGAAAATATAAATAATTATATATGGTATCAAATACAATATTAGTTGTTTTATGTTATAATAATAAGACTTATCTATAAATATTATCTAAAAAATATTCTAGCTTACAAAAATAAATAAATTGTGCAATGTGAACAACCCGTGAGAGTTAATTCATCTTGAGCTTGCGTGAATTCGAGCTTAAATGGATAGTAACTTGCACAAGTTATTGTAAAATAATTACTATATTTGCTTTAAATATAAAATCAACAAAAAGCAAGTTTCAGATTTCTATTATTAAAGACTGGAAAGCAATAACATGTTTATAATAGTTTGATAAGGTAAAACAAATTTTTTAAAAATGATGAAGTGGGCTTAACGGGATAATGGTACGAGGAGGTTAAAAAAAATGGTTTAATCAAGTATTTATGTTTTTTTCATTATTTTTTTAATATTTTATAAAACAGATTTTGGAAACATCCCAAACAAATAGCTTTAATGGGAGAATTGTATTAGCTTACGGTAATTTAAGGTTTTATATAACATTTTATATGAAATAATTATTAACGATTAAATTTATATTAACAGACAGTAAATTTAGTAGTTTATTTTGAAAAATATAAATAATTTGTAGTTTTTAAAATATTAAAATATTATAATTATTAATTAAAAAATATATATACAACAACAAGTTAACATAAAAATAGGACTTCATGCGAGATAAAAAAAACACAAGGAATCGAGTCAACAATAAAATTCCAAACATTTTTTAAGCCATTATATCTAATGCGCTTTGTTTTTACCTTTAATTTTTGGCCAACACTTGGTTATTTGTCTGGACAAAGTCACTGACTCGTGTTTTATAGTTGACTCGTAGAGCTATGCCTTAAGCCATTATTCAATGTCTCTTGGTCTTTTCAGTGGGATATTAAAATGGGTCTGGCCCGACATATCGGCCCGTTTAACCCACTTAAAATGATGGGCTCACAATAAAATTGTATTTATCAACTAAGTATCTGAATTTCATTGAATGCACTCGTTTGCATTGAAAAAAAAAAATATTTTAAGCTCGAAGACCCACTTCAAGAATTTGGTAACAGTAGTATTTTTGGGGATGTATTTCTTATTTCTTTTGGCATGATATTTATTTTCAGAGACTAATACACGAGGACACACAGTTTTTCCTGAAAATAGAACGGATAAGTAAATTGTAAATTCGACTGATATATAAAACTTGGAGATCAATGTTACAGTTTTAAACCATGAAAATCCACGAGAAATATTCACCATTTATGAAAAACACTTTAGATGTGATTCCATAAGACCATAACTTTCACGGTAGGGTTGGGGAGCAAGAAAATGAAGAATAATTTGTGTTGAAACATTTGAAAAAGAAATAAAATTAAAATGAAATGCCCCCCACCCAAAAGAGGAAAGATAAAAGCACTCTATACAACTCACAACCAGACAAATCCACAATTTATTATTATTATCATTATTATATTCTCACCAATTTCCATAACCATACAAGTCCATAAAACAATGTCAGGTAATGCGCTGCGTATAAAATACTTGTTTTTCAAAAATTAGAGTAAGGAAAAAACGAAGCATCGCTTCTTTCTGTCTTTCTCTTTCTCTAACTTTCTCCGTCTCTGTACTAAAAATCTTAAGACTTGTAAGAATCCGTTTCTCTTTCGTTTCCCTCCATAGATTTCTAAACTTCCCTCTCATCCAAACCCTAACCTTCGCTTGATCGTATCAACTCGTTTTCTCTTCATTTTTTGTTATTTATTTATTTTATTTATACTTCATCATCTGTACTCATAGATGATTCTGGAACCTTCATGATTCTCCCTCTTCTTCATGGGCCAACACCACTCTTACCATGCCTGAGCTCCGTACCCGACCACGCAGAAACCGCTTTGTAGATAACGTTAACCCGAACTCGATTACCCAACCAGACTCGCCGGCCGCAGCCGGAACTCGTCGGAGGAAGAGAACCGCCGACGAAACTCCGGCCAGGAGGAATCGGAAGCAGAAGAACGCGATCGCCGTCAATGAAATCGGCAACGTCGTGAACAACGACAACGCCGGTGCCGTTCGTGAAAACACGGCCAGGAAGTTGAAGGAAGAGGAAGGAGAGAAGAATAAGAAGAAGCCTCCCGTTAGGATTTTGGAGGAGGAAGCCATGGATGAGTACGATAGTGGTGGCCGTAGCGCAGATAAGGCTCCGGGAGCTGAAGACGAAGGCACCACCGCTCCGCTTCCTGAGAAGGTGGTTTTCGTCTCGTGAGCTTCTACTTCTCGTGTTTTCTTTCTTGTTTGAGTTCTGAGGAAATGCACGAAAATCGCTTCTTTTATTCTTCAGTCAAGAACTTGGCGTTTCTAGTGTTAGATGAGTCAGAGGTTATATACTAAGGTTGTTCATGTAAAATGATTTTTGTACTATGTTGGAAATTTAATCTATTGTGTAGTTGTTGACAACAGGTCCAAGTTGGTGGTTCTCCGTTGTACAGAATAGAGAGAAAACTTGGGAAGGGAGGATTTGGGCAAGTTTATGTTGGTCGGCGTGTAGGGGCTACAAATTCTAGTGAACGGTCTGGTTCTGGGGCAATTGAGGTATGGTGTTCGTGGGTTGATTTTTGGTTCAAAGGATTCATATTGCATTCCTCATTATCCATTTGTTGCCCTTATTGCAGGTAGCCTTAAAATTTGAACATAGAAGTAGCAAGGGGTGCAATTATGGACCTCCATATGAGTGGCAGGTTTACAAGTGAGTTTGCTGTCTTTTATTTCCTTAGGATGGAGTTGGTCTGCTGAGGTCTTACTTGATGATGTTAAGTGTTGACTTTGGCCATGGTCATGTTGTAGTGCTCTTGGTGGTAGTCATGGTGTTCCACGAGTTCACTTCAAGGGACGGCAAGGTGACTACTATATAATGGTATGTGCTCATGAGTTTTTTAATAGATGGATGGGGACTTGTGGTTGTCTCTGGATGTTTTTGTAATGTAACGTTACATGCAGGTCATGGATATGCTTGGCCCTAGCCTGTGGGATGTTTGGAATAACAACTCACACACGTGAGTACCTCTGAAATGTTATTGAAATGTCATGCATTTTATTTTTGTTAACATTGTAGTGAATATTGAATAGCTAACCTTTACTTCTTCCTTTTTCGTTTCAGGATGTCTACAGAAATGGTGGCCTGTATAGCAATTGAGGCTATCTCCATATTGGAGAAGATGCATTCTAGAGGGTGATACTCATCTTCGTGATAATATTTATAACTTATTTCTGTATTTTATTTTCGGTCGGATTGGTTATGGTTCAGACTACTTCCTGAATGTTCTCACCATATGATATATTTGTGTGTTCTCTTTATTTATCATGTCAGAGGAACACCGTCAATCATTTCTCATTACCCTTCGGGGGCATGATGAAGGAAAAAGTATTTTATTCCTTGGGTTGAGCGACATTTATTTATATAAAATGAATTGGGAAGTGGGAACTTTTAAATCTGACGCTATTCTTCTGTATGATTTGGCTCTCTGGATTTTATTTTAAATACTAAAGCTCATCACTTTTGTTAGTCAGACTCGGACCTCCCCAAATTTTCACGTTAGTCCAGACTACAAGTTAGGGAATGAATCCAGATTTTCACTTATTATGACCAATGGGACAAACCTGTGGGATTCCATCTTAAGTATAACACACATAGAGCCCTTTTTAAAATTTATTCATTAATAATTTTGTATATCTTGAGTATGTAGTTATATCATTTTGAGGTTACTGTTAGTGGATCATGTATCCAGTCAGAAAAAAGGAGAGTATGGTGTATCTTGTATAACCTGCACCCCTGGAAGGAAATTCATTGTTATGCCCTTGCCCATAATTGTTTATTAATAGGTACTAACATAGTTGCTCTATCATAACATGCCAGTGTAAGTTAGAATGGTATCATCATCACATATAAGTTTTAAATTAATAAATACTTACATAGAAATTAATGCTTTATCATTCCGTACCAGTGTAAGTTAGAATGGGTACCTGTCATCAGCATGTATAAATTTTGAATTATTTTACGACATGGGTTTTAGTTTTTATTGATCACATTTTGTTGTAAAGAACATTTCATCATTATTGTGTTTATTGTAGATATGTGCATGGTGACGTAAAACCTGAGAACTTTTTGCTTGGACCCCCTGGAACTCCTGATGAGAAGAAGTTGTTTCTGGTTGATCTTGGTTTAGGTAAATATGCTACACATATTCTTGAAGCTTTGATTTGTTCCTTGTCAATGAAGATATACCTAATTTCTCATAATTTTGCTTTTCATCCCACTGCATATTTATTATGCAGCAACTCGATGGCGTGATAGTTCGACTGGCCTTCATGTTGACTATGATCAACGTCCTGATGTATTCAGGTAAATTGTTTGTTAAATTTTTATAAACTGTAGTCAATGTTTGGGTATGAATGATTTGTAAACTGCAATCTTACAACAGGGGCACAGTTCGATATGCTAGTGTGCATGCTCACCTGGGTAGAACAGGTAGCAGGAGAGATGACTTGGAATCTCTTGCTTACACACTTGTCTTCCTTCTTCGTGGTCGGCTACCTTGGCAAGGATATCAGGTTATTATTGTTTTGAATTTCGATAAACTTCTCAATAAGTACTTATAGGATACAAAAATAAAGAAGTAAAATAAACTAAATCTCTCCCGTAAGTTAAAATCAACTTGTATTTTCCAAATTTTTTAGAAGTTCTATTATTTAACTTCTCTAAAACTTCAAGATTAGAAGTTATTTTTAACTTATGAAAAATGTTCTATTCACATTATTCCTTTATTTCTTCTCCTATAAGTATTTATCTAGAAGTTTATCCAAACTAGGCCATGATCATTTTAGTATTACTGATAACTGAAATACGATTCTTATGAAATATTTTGTCACAGGGAGAAAATAAAGGATTTCTTGTCTGCAAGAAAAAGATGGCCACTTCTCCAGAAACTCTATGTTGCTTTTGTCCTCAACCTTTCCGGCAGTTTGTTGAATACATAGTAAATTTAAAGTTTGATGAAGAACCAAATTATGCAAAATATATATCCATTTTTGATGGAGTTGTGGGTCCAAATCCAGACATCAGGCCAATAAACACTGAGGGCGCTCAGAAGGTACTTAGTGCTATTATCACTGAATTTACTTTTTTATTACTTGCACATTTAAAGTCTGACTCTTCCTACCCTTTTGTGTGCTTCTATTGTGAAGCTTATATGTCAAGTTGGACATAAGAGAGGGCGATTGACCATGGAAGAGGATGATGATGAACAACCAAAGAAGAAGGTTCGAATGGGAATGCCGGCAACACAATGGATTAGTGTTTACAATGCTCGACGTCCAATGAAGCAAAGGTTTTCTTCTGATGTTAAATAAGTTTCTGCTGGTGGTTTTAAAATGTTAGACCTTATTTATTTATTTTGGTATAGGTATCATTATAATGTTGCTGATGTGCGGCTGTCCCAACACATTGAGAAAGGAAATGAAGACGGTTTATTTATTAGCAGTGTGGCTTCTTGTTCAAATCTTTGGGCGCTCATCATGGATGCTGGCACTGGTTTCACTGCACAAGTTTATAAACTCTCTTCCTACTTTCTTCACAAGGTTAGCTAGTTTACATTTCAGTTGTGGCATTGTATTTGATGTTGATATCACAATTAACTATATAGTGTTTTCTGTACTGTATTTTTATTTTGAACTTAATGCAAGTTGACAAAGTCATCTGTTTTAATAGGAATGGATTATGGAACAGTGGGAGAAGAACTATTACATAAGTGCCATAGCCGGAGCTAGTAATGGATACTCATTGGTCGTAATGTCTAAAGGTTAATGTCCCTGAAACCTTTATTCTTCACGTGTATTTGGGACATCAATAGTTGGCTTATTTTTTATGAGTGTTTTGCACAATTTGACCAATAGTATTGTGTTTAATTGTTTCACTTGTCTTGTTGGATTGTTTCTTTTAGGTACCCAGTACTTACAGCAATCCTATAAAGTCAGTGATTCATTTCCATTTAAGTGGATCAACAAAAAATGGAGAGAAGGATTTTATGTCACTGCTATGGCCACTGCTGGCACTAGATGGGCAATTGTTATGTCCCGTGGGGCTGGTTTTTCGGACCAGGTCTTGTTTTCTTATAATAATGCGATAAAAAATCTCTAATGATATGACGAATTCTATCTGATGTATATATTCTTTTCTCCAAACCTAATGCCAGGTTGTGGAACTTGATTTCCTGTATCCCAGTGAAGGTATTCATAGGAGGTGGGACAGTGGTTACCGCATCACCTCAACTGCTGCAACATGGGACCAAGCTGCTTTTGTTCTTAGTGTCCCAAGAAGAAAACCAGCTGATGAAACTCAAGAAACACTCCGCACATCTGCTTTTCCTAGTACTCATGTCAAGGTAGGCAATTTATCTTGTTTTCCTTTATTCATTGTCATTTCATGATCATACATGTTAATATTTGATATTTTGTTTCTGCAGGAAAAATGGGCAAAGAATCTCTATATTGCATCTATTTGTTATGGGAGAACAGTGTCGTAAACTGCTGAAATTGAGATTCCAGCTGACATCATTTTGACCTCTGGGATGATCCTGATTGCCTTACATCTTCTAAATGGGAACTGAAGATCCTCTCACAAATTTTCTGAACAATGCAGACCAGCATTGATGTATGCTAAACCTTTCTTTATGGTCACCATCACACATCATATGACGCAAAACCTGTGCACTGTATTTCAACATTATAAAAAATTCTCAAGTTATTGGCAAAATTAGATTGTGTCAATTGTGACAAGTATTTTGTTATAAAGTTTGTACAGATGTGAACAGTAATTACTATGTTGAAGGCATGTGCACAAGTCAGGTTTTTGTTTATTGATGGTATTATGCAAATATCCAACTATGATTTTCCAGTGTGAACTGGACAATTTAAGCTCTGCAGCCTTGTACTTAGCCCTTTCTATCCCTACCACATTTGACTAACAGACAGTTGTATACTTGGCTGCAGTTTGTAATTTTTTAATCATTGTAATCTAATTATTGTTATTATTATTGTTGATGCTGTCTTTCTGTGATAAATTATTCCCAACTCTATTTGGTCTGTGGATACATCTCAAAATTTGAATGGGGTTAGTCTAATTGAAATGACGGATCAGGATACTTTAGTTTTGAGTTATGACCCTTTTCTGTTGTGCTTTTGAAAATTATTTTTGCACTGTCAGTTAATTCTTTTGTATACTTTACTATGACACATTCTATTTTGAAGATAGTGTGGTGTCTACCTTGTAGGCTTTATTGTTTTTTAATTGGAGCTATATAAGCATCAGCTCAGTTACTAGCAGTTGAAAATAATTTCCATCTTTTTGCGTAGATAATGACTGAAAATTACATCTCTATTGTTCTGACCACTTTTTACTTCCAGTATCCGAAGTTTACATGATGGCTTCTCCGGGTCGGTCATTTTGTTTGATTCTTGTTCTAAAACCAAACATTGAAAGATGCACTTTTGATTCTTATGAGAAGTTGGCTATCTAGAAGGTGATAACTTGTATACCTCTTCGTTATTGACTTGTGTATCACCAGAGTTTACTTGGACATATGAAGCAGGTATTTAATTCTGCAGCTTTATTATTCTACTTGTATTTTGCAGCTGAAATGATGTTTGATGTTTCATTTTTCTTGCTCCCAGTAGATATTCAGATTGTTTGGATGCTACATTTATTTCTGCAGCTTTGATAACTGGCAGACTTTGGTTGGTCCACCACAGCGGTTATGTTGCTGGACCAACCCATATGTCAAGGGAAGTCTGAAGCTGTTCAAGAAACTGATGTTTTTGGATCTAGTTACCGTATGTGATTCTCCCATCCTTGTTCAAATATTAGAATTTTCTCGGCTTATATGGGGTGAGGTATTATAATTGAATCCGATGGATGGCTTCAATTTGTTACGAGCTGTTTGGCTCAACTCTTTCAAGGGAAAATTCCATAAAATGTTAAGCCAAATGCTAGTCGAGAGTTACCATCCTTAAATGTTGGCTGTCAACCATTTGGGTGACTATTGATAATCGGTGGGATGTCCTATGGGAGAAGAAATCCAAAGTTCATTAGCTGTATATTACCGTTAAAGTCTATCTTTGTATGATTAGGTACAACTCCATTTTATACTTTTTGAGTAACCTATTTAGTTATGTGCGTCCCAGCCATTCAGCAAACCGGAAAGCAAAAGTCCAAATTGATATATCCATATCCTGCTGTTCAATTCAGGACTCGAAATATAGCGTGTGCATAATTGAGTGATCCTGGCAGAGTGGGTAGTTGTGGATTCTATCACCTGTTCTCTAATCATCTCTAATATTTTATGTAGTATAGAAGATGTCATGGTTTCAACCAAACAAAGGGAGGAGCTAGCTCATCACATAAATAAAATTAAGAATGAAAGAAAGGAGCCAGCTTTGAGCTATGTATTCCTGTCATGACTTAAGAAGCATCTTCGACACGACAAAAAAAGGTAACGTAAATTGATAATTTAATTTGTTCAATGTGCTAGTGCCTTCACTATTTTAGGATAAAAACAATATTTATATGACAAGGATGAAAACAATTTTCCAAATTGTCACTAGTAACTGATTAAATAAATTGTTAAATGTCTACAAAGACACAAATGAAATATATCTACCAGTTATTTAGTTTTATATAACTTTCTTGTGATATTATGTGAAACTAAATCATTTTTTTTAGCGTGGATTTCTCTACTTTTTTCTTAATTCACGTGTTTTGACAATTTTATTATATCTTAACATTATTGTACTACCATTTCATGTGAGTGGTTTTTTCCTAGAAAAGATGATTTTACAGAATAATAAGTGACAAATAAATTAGTCAATTAGATAAAAGGTATAATAGATAATAAAAAAATGATTTAAATAAACTGAGAAAGTTCATTTTTTGGTCCACCAAGAATGTTGTGTTATAACCAAATAAATTGGTCCACCAATAGTGATTTAAATATACTAGAGCTAGTACTTTCCTTGGCAAGTTAGCAGTACCTAGTAAGCATTTCATTGGTGATATCATATGGTTTTAAAATTTCATAATAAGTTTAACATCTAACAAATTAATCACATCATATGTTGGGCAACATACTGAAGGTACTATAAATCTCATTTTCGGTTTACATCATTGATATTTTTAACTGAGTTCAGTCATTGTTTTACGAACTTTCTAAATTATAAACGAGTCAAATTGATGAATGTAATGTATGACAAAAAGTAATTAAGCATTTTTGGAGTAAAGCGTAAAGGATGAACGCAACCTAAATTTGATTTATGAGCTGCATTGTTCTATTTTCTTATCATCTCTAGAAACCTGTATTTTTATCTAACTCTAGAAACCTATCTAAGTTGGTGAGTGCATGTTCGTTTTTGTTGATTACACTCTATATAACCCATTTATTAGTTTTTCAGTTGCACCAACCAGTCCCGATTGAAATCCTTTCATTTATGCTTAATTGACAGCTAATGCTAACAATTAATAGATATTAACTTGTCCTAACTGAAGTCCTCTCCATCCTCTTGCATTTCAGGCATCGTTTTCACAACCGAATTGGATTGTTAGGGGATATGAAATCTGTAGGCTGGACGGACGCAACCTTCAAAATTCGAGTATTGAAAGATTGCTTTCATTCACATTCGTACATTTCTTATCTGAATAAATTTGATTCCTGATTTATTTAAATATCCTGATCTTGTCACATTTAATGTGTAAGGTTTCCAAAGGATGAAATGAGCATACAACATATTTTTATCTTCAAATCGTTAAACAAAACTTAATATATTTTACGTTGAGAAGCTTTATTTCTTTAATTTATATAAACGACTATGAATTATAGGGGCATATCAGTGTAATATTTTAGATTAATAATTACTGTTAATTATATTTAAGCCTAAAATAATACTTCAAAATTTTTCCTGTAACTTTTACTGTACTCACAATATAAATAAAATATATTGCTTCATATGATCGAATTTACGCATATTTATGCTTTAAACTACAATACAACGCTGATTTAATCACAATAATGCCATAATTGTCAATCAGATTCTTCTTTTAACGTCAATTTCCCTTCTCTACAAAAATTATGATAACAAAAAAAAAAAGACGCATTTCAACTACATCCATTTTCCAATAGCTTCACCATTCAACATCTACAGCAGTCCCAACCAATAACTAATAGGGCGGGAAAGGGGTTTACATGTTAAAGCTATCAAATTTGCATGAACAAGCACGAAAATCAACTCAAGTTGTCATGAGCTAGTTGCTTTCTACTAGGCATCTAGGTCGTTTGCTTAGTGTTTGAAAGTTACTTACCATCTGGAATGTCAAAAGAATTGATCCAAATACACCTAAGATCTTGGTCTACGACAAAGTCTCCTCAAGTGGACTCTTTCCTGGGACAGGTAAACATTAAAAACTTATTACACATGAAATGGTCAACACAACCAAATGCAGAAATAATAAGCACCTCACTGTTGTCATGATCATAACGAATTAAGATGAGACACCTGCAACCTCTAATATCATGCATTCTCCTCTGGATCTCCAAAATGTGAGCATCGTAGTAAATTGCTTGATCTCTCCTCTCCTAAAATCCAATTGAAAATTACAAAGTTAAATACACTCATGTCCTGTAACAACACTTCAATGAGAAAATTCAGCCTAATTCACCTGGAAGCACAGGACGGGGTCTCCAACTTTGAGGTTAGAACATTCTTTGTTTTCCAAAGGTACAGAGCGCTCTCGGACTGAATTTTTTATATTAACCCATTCATCTTCCTCAGCTCCAAATCCAATAAATCTGACATGGACTTCCTTTAACAAACGGCAGAAGAGTATCAGATGGCAAAATCTTGCATCCCCTTTTGAGAGGCAAATCAATTTATCAATCCAATATCAAGACTTGCAGCACTAAGCCATGAACATCATGATTGTTAGAACTTACAGCTTCCCCCGAGCTAAGAAATCTGTGAGCTAGAAATGCCTCAACATCATACCTGCAGCAATGTCCTTGACTTAGAAACAAAATTTTTAAGATTACACAATTGATCAGAACAGAAACGCCAAATGTAATGTGCCCTATGTCTGCAAATAGACCATATTGCCAATTGTACAAAATTTAATGATAGCTGATAACTAAAATTAAAAAAAAAAAACAATTTTCTTTCAAATATAGAAAGAAAGTGCAGGACAGAGCAAGAAAGTGCAGTTCAAATCCAAAAAGCAAAAATAAACTACCCATAATGTTATAGCCCAACCATTATGGTATAGATGGCACGAACTCTTCAAATATCCCTTTTCTTTAGCAATAATAAAGCAGTTAACTTAATTTTTTCAAAATGTAAAATTGGAAGACAAAACTTATATGGAATTCTTTAGGTCCTGTTTTTCAATTAAAATTCAAGTTTCATCTCAGTGATTTGCGAAAACCCTAAACCAGCAAGGAAACAAAATAATTGTATGTTTAATAAAAGAGGACAATCAATCAAATTAAGAGAAGATATGTTGCTTAACAATGAGGACAGAGAGAAGAAAACTACAAAGATTTTTTGTAAACAAGAGCCTGATCGGTTTTTGGAATATCTATATAGCAGGAAGGAACTCTATGCATTTTCATTCCATCTTCGGATGCGAATGCACAAAGCAAAATTTTACCCTACTATGGATGTAAACAAGTTAAGCCACTTATGAATCATGCCACATAAAATGTGTTCTTCCATATTAAATAATAACAGTAATAATTAATTAAGTACTAATTAATAATAATAACATGATAGCCAGAAGTGACATTGGTGCATCAGTATTTAATCTACTAATCTAGAGGCTTAATCCATGATTGATGACCTTGATTTCTACCAACACTGCATGCATGCCAAGGGGTACAAATATAGTATGATATATGATGAAGCTATCGACAATCAAAGGACCTTCAATGTAAACATGGCAAAAAAGATTAAAAAAATATGTAATTTGGATTATAATCCATGTGTAGATTTATAAAATTGGTATTAGTGTACTTGAGAATACTTTTCTTTAATGCCTTGGGAATGTATTTATCAAAACCTTTCAGTAACATTAAAATTTAAAATACTTCATATCTAGCATTCATGATTACAAATTAACTGCAATATGTGCTTACCATGCTCCATCTTTTGATGACCTTGCTTCAAATTCCATCTCTGATGGGTCTATCATCATGTCTCCTGCAAAGCTATCAGTTCAGGCACCATCTCACATGAACTTATTTGATACAATTTATCAGGAGTTTACTCAGATTTATATATACATATACACATACAAATATACATACATACATACAAGTGTAGCAGCTAACTGAATATAGACAGAAAATGAAAATAGAAAGTGAGAAATAGCCCATGGAAGGCTGAATTATAGCACTTTCATATTCCCTTCATTGCTGGTGGGTTGCTTCTTCATCTTCATTGTAATATTTTATTCTACCCAACATACTCCTAATAACATAACACAGTTTCACATAAAAGCCATATCATGACATTTTATACACCGCATTTTAAAGCAGTTATAGGAAAAAAATGTAACATAAAGCCAGACACATCAAACCTACCTTAAGTTATGACAGACATTGCAAGTATATTAAATATTCTCAAGTTAACCATTTGAATGCTTGAAGTCAGTATAAATACCATCTATGCTAAGAACCTTAAGGCATGGAAGAAGTCTCACCTTCCTTACATCCAAGGCCTTTAGGAAACATCAATTCACAATTAGGAACTTGTGGTGAGTCTTGGAGCCTAGTCTGAAACCAATTTTGAATCTAAAATCTCCCCAAAAAAAGAAGAAGTAATTAAAAAATAATTAAGACCAAATACATAGAAAAAGCCACAAAGACAAACAAGTTCTCGACTATTATAAAAAACAAAGTAACAGTATTTGATGCTCGGTGTACTGAAAATTAAGGAAAAAATACACAAGTTAGTAAGAAAATGCATTAACCTCTGTCCATTTTATGATAGGTTTCCCAGCACGAGCAGAGGAACGGCTGCAGAAACAGAACATTACAAACACAATTCCTCAATGACAATAGAAAATAAACTAACAACCACTGAAAGGCAAAACTCACTTGAAACTTGTAGCAAGCTTTTGGTAAAATTCCTTGCTCAATGATTGTCCTTTGGGTTCCCTTAGCAATTTCTCCATTTTCTCAATCTGTTGGTCGAAGCACAAGTTCAAATCATTATGAGTTGAGAACAGGACATTATAAAACACACCAATTATATTCCATAACCTTCACAAAATATCACCCTCTACCATTTGACATAAACACCGTCGCCAACAACGAAGTAACATAAGTAGAAGTTAAACACTCTTAAGCCAAAATGTAAAACGTGATTAAACCAGGGAAATCCGATTACACACCACGGTCACTGAAAAAAACGTTAATCAAACCCACAAACTAAAAAATTATATCTAAAAGCTTCTAATTCCCAACACAGGAAATATAAGGCCTCCTCTTGTAAGGCATAGAAAGAGTTCAACAAAATTCGAAACCTAAACCCAAGCTATTAGGCATAACAATTACAATTGTAATACCTCGGAATTCATAAATCCAGAAAAGACCACTTTGTTCCGAGGACGTAAGCGGTCCATGAACTCTAGGTCCGATTTCCTTAAAAAATAAAGTTTATTTCAATCGAATTTGGTTGATGGAAAACTCAAGTGCAGTGAAAAAATGAAAACCCTAACAACTCTTCCTTTTTCTTCTGGCCATTGAAAGGAGGAAGAAATTGAAGTATTTTTCCAAGAGTAAGCTAATTACTAACTATTCACTAGTGAGTGCCCTTGCAGAACCCCAAACGTTTGTTTAAATAAAATATATATATTAATATTTTTTTTAATATATATATTATCTCTTGTCTGTATTGCTGTAGTAAAACTCTGCAAATTTTTAACTAACTTGTTGAGACTCAAATATTTTTATGTTGAAATACATTATATGCCTCTAGGAAATAATTTATCTAATATATGTTAAGAATATAAAACAAGTTTTGTTGAATAATAATAATAATAAATTTTCTTAAAATATTAACGAGTTCAGATGCAGAAATGTTTGTTTGTATTGTTAAGTGGATAAAATGTAAGTATATTTTGTTAAGATTCTTTTATTATTTTTAGTTAAAATTATATTTTATAGTCTTGAAGGTAAATTTTTTAGTAAAATGAAATTATAATTTGAATTACAAATAATAAAAATATAAAAATTGTATATAAATTTTTACATTATTATATTAATTTTTAGTGTATATTTATAGTAAAATATTAATAAAATATTTTATTAAAATTTATAATTTTAATGTTATTAATGTTTTAAATCTTATAAAATTTAATATTTTTAATAAAAAATATGCATAAATTATTAATATGTATTTTAAATATTCGAAAAGAGATTCTAATACTACTCATCTGCCTCCACAGAAGATATACCTGATTTATAATTAAAATTAAATAAAGGAAACGTTTGTTTCATTGTTTTGATTTGCGTGACCTATTTTGGCTTTCTTGAGCAGCGTTTGTGTTAGTGGTTTAATCACCTTTGTGAGTTTGAAAAAGAAAAAAAAATAAGCACCTGTGTCAGAATCTCAGAGGTCTGTAAAGCCCGTTTTCCTGAATTAACCCATGGACGTTTAGTGGGCTTTATTCCTCGCCACTTAAGATTTTTACATTTTGTACCATAATTTTCTCTAATTACATCATTTTTTATATTTTAAAAAATAAAATTCTTAAAGATATTCATTGTCCAAAAGAAAAAAAATAGTGAAAAAAATGTTAGATGTGGGCCAACTCTAATCCATCATGAGTTTCTTCTTTTTTCTCAACATTACATTTGAGTATCTGACAAGAAGCTTTATATAAACATGGGTGTGTCTGAAGCTCTAATCCAACTGAACTCATTTTGTTTTTCAGCCCAAACTTGTTGTAGACCTTCGAGTAGTCAAGGCAAGTGATCAAAAGTTTGCAAAACAAAAAATGGGCAAGTGTGCATTTATGTTCACATTTAAATATAATAGATTTATGTTAATTTTGACACTGTAAATTATAAATTTTTACATCTTATTTATATATGTAAATTTTTAATACATTTCTAAGCACACTCTGAGTCATATCTGAAGATTAACATCATGTCCATTTTTATTCCTTACAAGATGGAACATGGTATTAGGAAGAATGTGCTTAATTGCAGGGAGACAACCTGTGATCTTGATCTTGAAAATAGTGACGGATGTTGGCAGAATATCTAGTCAATGATGTATAGAGTATATTAGCAGATTGAGGATTGAAAAGCCATTTTATAATTTATACAGAGACCTATTTCCTGGTAGCTACAAAAATGGTTCCTTTATTCCATTTTTTGGGGCTTTAGTTATACTCCTTTTGTGTAGCTTTCATTATTGGTACAGGTTTTGGGGTAACATGTTTGGACCTTGGGTCTACAGACTGCAAAGTATTTTTCAGTAAATGGCAAAGACAGGAGGGAAAAGTAAATGTGCAGGTGTGGGTCCAAGGTTGTGTGTGGGGAAGATGGTGATCCGTTTTGGACAATCGAATGTGCCTAACTCAAAAGTCTATTAAAAAGCATTGGTATGTGTTTATTAATAAAATGAAAATCAGAAAATATTTATTTTAACAGTATATTAGAGCATTCAAATATTTTAAACACACACTAGGCCTTTGTTTTATAAATTATGCTAAATTATAAAAGTAAAACGAGTTTCACGCTTTTTAACCACAGCAATGCACATTTTAAAATTAATTATTAAAATAAGTTAACTTAACAGTATATTAAATGCATACGGTTAAAAAAAAAGTATTATGGAGACATGTCCTGTGCCCACGTGCAAGGATAAATAAATAAAAAATTTGTACAAATTTATTTTATGTGCATGCATTTTGATAGATTTTTATAATAACTCAGTGTTGTTTTATTCTCGTAAACTGTGGATAAAAACAAGGCATTGACTTATTCGGATTTGGTATCTGATACTTTAATTATAGTTTAATAATGTTATTATAAGTCATGATAATTTTAAATAAAAAACTCTAACTTTGTGTTTGGAAAAAATATATATAAAATCAATAACAAATAATAATTTAAATGCGACTAATATAAAAGAAGTTATAGATAATAATTATAATAAATTAAGTATAATGAAGAGTTATTCTAATTTTTTTAAATAAATTATTTAAAATATTTATAGTTAAATATATTTTTTATTATCTAAATAAATTTAATATAATAATTGATAATTACTTTATTCATGTATTTGCAGTGTTCATTCAGATGCTTTTTATCTTAAGATTTAGGTTGACGTTACACTAAATAAACTTATTCAAATTTTGATCTTATTAAATCAAAGTGTAAACAATCATATGATAAGAATATAGTAATGCACGATGTTTTATTTTTTATTTTTTTAATATTTTAAAAAAATTCACCTGCTTTTAATATTTTTATTTTTAAGCATAGAAAATGCATGTACATGCAGAGGAGAAAGTAAGAATATGATTATGTTTATTTTTATTTTAAAATAAATTTTTAAATATTTTCTTATTTTTATTTATATGGTATATTTAATATAATATTTTTTAAAATAAGTATTTAGTGACAAGTATTGTTCCAATCTATAAGTCAACAAATCCCGATAGGAAGAACAGCTTCATGGTAGCTCAAATAAATTTCTAGTGACAAAAATACTTGTAATTAAAAAATCTGGAACACATCTTTGATGATAAGTAAAGTATAATCATCTAAGAATTGTGTAATTATTAAATTGCTAAAATTTTATTTTTTAAATTTGATAAAAAAATATTTTTACAGAAATTATCCCATAGATTAATCAGTTACTCATATATATTAAAAAAACATTACTAATATTTAATATTTATTTGATTGGAAATTTGTTTGTTGGTAATAAAATTTTAATAAGAAAAATACAGTCATTTAAAAATTATATTTTAAAAAACAATAACTAAATGATTAATTAGGAGATATAAGAGTCGAGGGTGAAAAGAAATTGATTAAGAAGTTGATATATATATATATATATATATATATATATATATATATATTAATAGACTATTGTAATCAAATTATGGTTTAACAAATAAAATTTTAGTTTTTATATATATTATTATTTTTTAAATAAATTTTATAAAAATACTAAATTTAATTTCTAATATATTTAAAAAGTAAAAAAAAAACTCTATCAAAAACTGATTTAAAAGAAATTATAGAGACTCATCTTAATAATAACAATAATAATTATTATTATAAGAATAAAAAGTTGTTAAGACGATATAGTTTTATGAATTTATGAAAATTTTATTATTTTTATTTTATGAAAGGAAAGGAGATTGAATAAACAACATATGTCATAGGTAAAAAAAAAACTCCTCTAATTAATTAATTAATCAACGATGATAAAAAAAAAAATACATACTATATAACTGTATCATGCACCATATTTTTCATGAATTATATATATTCTTATATTTGTTTTGAACACACATTTTTCATGAATGTTCTGCATTTGAAAAAGAACTTGATAAACAAAACCTAGGAAGTAGAGGTAGCTAGCTGGTGACAAACATATATAGGGGAGGTGTGGATGGGTTTGGAAAGGGTATGCATCGCCGGCATCAAAGGCCAAGAAGGTCAGTGTCATCAACCTTCCTTTGAAGTGTTGATGAATAGTTGTTGATGACAAAAGTCAGAAGGATGAAGATATATAACGCAAATTAGATAAAAATAATGTTTGTCATGCACCTTAATTTTGAATTTTATGAATTAGAAAAAAAAAAGATATAAATAAAATATATGATCGATATAATATAAAATTTAATATATATATATATATATATATATATATTATTTTTTAAATGATATACATATCATTACACAGATAAAAAAGGAATTTAGTTTCGGCAAAAGTATAGAATCACATATAGAATATAAGGAGAATATATGAATTAGTCGATAAATAACCTATTTAGTTATCTAATACTTAAGAAAAAAATTGTGGTGTCTGTCCTTTAACTAATCTATACACGTTATTAACTAATAATTTTTACATATTAAAGTCACTTTTTGGCATCTAGAAAAAGAAAAGGTCTCATTTGGAAACTTTTCAGTTTTGATTTCAATGCCGCGTTACTAGTTTTCCTTGACTGAGGAGGGTTAATCAAAGTTTTCATACTGTATCTCTTATTTATTTATTACCAAAAAAAGTCAAAGTCTACAATTACAACATTCTACATTGTTATCTATGGCTCATGGTGTAGTTATTCATGACGTGTTTGGTCTTTAGCCAATTCACCATGACATTCAACTGTAGTCAGCAACACAACCCTTGTTAACTAATACTATATTCCTTATTAGTGTTATTTTAAAATCTTGCATGAATATACAAATGACAGATTCACAGTAAAATTTTTATCTTTAAATAAATAAATAAAAACAGATACAGTAGAATTGAAAAGTGTGTAGGGTAGATGCGGGGAAAAAAAGAAGAAAAAATTGGTATCTTAAGGGTGCTTTCGGGGTCAAATAAACATGAGATGTAATTATTGTTAGCCTTGTAACCAGCGTAAATGCGTAATTATCTTTTAAAATTATATTTGAAATTTTCTTTAAAATATAAATACATTTCTAGTCAATAAAAAGATATATTTTTACTTTAATTTTTTTTCAAATTAGCACTTAAAAATTAAAAATTTGTTAAATATAAAAATTCTACACTAGTGGATTAACAATAAATTAATTGATCCATAAATAAAAGAATTATAAGTCAATAAATAATTTTTTTTGAGAAACAAATCACTTAAATTTAGAGTTCAACCTCTTTCTTAACCTTGAATTAAACTCACACTTAAAATTCTAGTAGAGATATATAACACCAGTCAACACGTGAGACCAAATTGGTTTGCAATGGAACCGTGAAGGATATCACATAAAATAATATACTATTAGTATTAAAAAAATATCTATTGTTAATTAATTAAAAATTATCTTAATTATGACTTAAAAAATAATTCTTATAAAAATTAATAAATTTCAATTATATTCAAAGTTAATAATCTGTACGTAAAAATTCACAACCTGAACAGAGCATGACGCATGTAAAAAAGCAAAGAATTGTCACACCACCATTGTCAACTAAAATAATCAACGCTGATTCTGGAAGATGGACTTTTATCTTATAAACATGCGACAACATTGTTGAAACCAAAAGCAGATTGAAAGACCATCCGATTCAGACCAGTTGGAATAGAATAAAAAAAAAAAAACTAATTTCATATTGAAAGCTATGCCATGAAGTCAATTATTCATTGAAAAATCTTTTTTTAGCATATTTTATTAAAATAATATTTATTTAATTAAAAATAATGCCATCTCTTCATAAAAGTAATTTGATGTTTTTTTATATAAATTACGTGAATTTTCATTAAAGTAATCGTATTTTAGTTGAATGAAATTATTATAGATAATAAAAAAATCTATTCGAATATTTATTTAAAATGTTAAAATAAAAATATATTCAATATAAGAAAAACATGTAAAACTTAATAATTTATTTATTTAAAATTTAGTAAAGTTATTTAAGAATATATAAACATTTTTTTACTTAAATAGAAACGTGGTTGATGCTTTTGATTACGGGTTGAAGTTATTGATGTACTCTTAAGTTTTGTTCATCCAGTCTCTTTGATTACTTTTATGTTTTGTTGTTAAAATCATTCTTAACTAAAAGTTTTTAATATTTGTCAGAAAAGTCAAATATTATTATACACCGTATAAATGTTTAAAAGTTGAATTAAAGAGCGTTTTTATAGTAAATATTTTTATTTAATATCTTTAAAAAATATTTTAGTATATTGATTACTTATTTATTTCATAAATATTGTGTAAAATACGTTAATTTATAAAATACGTATTTTAGTTGACATTTAAATAAGCAATAGCTATCATTGATTTACTTGCTGAAAAGTGTTATAATGGAACTTTTATATTTTTATATCATTTTTTTATAAACTGTTTACTAAAATAATTTTTTAAAATAATTTTAAACATGTCATTACCAGTTTTGTTATTTACAGTGTAAAAATATATATTTTTTAGTAAGTATTACAAAAAAATAAGAGTAAAATTTTCTAGCACTAACGTGTGTCACACATAAGAAGTTTCACTAGTAATATAGCAAAATTGACTTTATAAAAAATTAAAATTAAGCATTAAAATGACCATTAAATTAAAGATGAGGTTAATAAAGAGAAAATATAGTATTATTACAACTAAATACAAGAACGCAACTCTCACGCATATAAGCCTTGAGAATGGTGTAAATAACCGTCACAGCTAGCTGTTTCTAGTTCACAACAATCATATAAAGGTAGCATTTTTCAGCACTCAATTTGAAATGAAATTAATTTTGCCAAAGAAAACAGCAAAACTCACCACATGTGTTAATTTTGATTACCTTTTTTGCAAAATATCATTAATTGAAGGTAAAACATTGAAATTTAAATAAGCAATTACTATCATTGATTTATTTGGTGGAAAGGTGTTATAATGGAATGTGTGGACTTTAAGAATGGGAAATGTAAGTCTCATTAAAATTGAAAATAAATGGACTTTTCTCTCTCTCTTTACAGTTTGGCCCTGGCAGTTAGCATTGCAATATTGACTTTTAAGAAAACGCGGAGAATCTCCAAATCTTCCCTTCAACACGTTCTTTCACTATGATGTGGCTCAATAGACACAGGCACAGGCACAGCTACAGGACGCTGTCACCACCTACAAAAGTAATTTCCATTTTTATTCTTCTTCTTTTATTAATCTTTTTAATACGTCACGATGTGAAATGAAATATTCAAATATGGCTTCCAAAATATCCACACCCGATCTTGATGGTTAATACAAAACCTTCTTTATGTTTGACAACACGTGGTACTCCACGTTGAAATCTAACTCCATTCAGTCCCTTAGAAGCAACCAAACCAAATAAATTAAATTAAATAAAAAAATTGTCTTAGGAGCTTATATATATAGATACAAGGTTGTTTTGGACACATACCATACCAAACAACCTTGCATTTTGTTTTTGTGAAGCAAAACAGGTGAAAATCTATGTTCGTGTTCGATGGTTTTTTTTTTTATTGTGTTGGTTGCATATATTAATGAAGTAACATCTCTTTCTCGCTTCTGGTTAGCAGAGATTACTATTGGTGTTAGGTGGAAGTTGTGGAGAAGAAAAGTTGTTGGGAGTGATGTCGAGCACATTGAGGAACGGTGGTGAGGTTTCAGTGACGGAGGATTATAGCAATGGTCATGGTGGGGGTGTTAGAGACTTGTATGGTGAGGATAGTGCCACGGAGGACCAGCTTATCACACCATGGACTTTCTCTGTGGCCAGGTGAACACTACGTAACATCTCACATGTAAAATAAGACAAGAAGGAACTACTTGTCTTTTGTTTTTTTCAGTTTCTACGTTTGGATCTGTGGTCCATTTGTTTATGTTATACTGTTAGATGCGAGACTTTTAAATTTTTGCTGTGTTAGACTTGTTTTCTGATCTATTCTATTTTACCTTTTTGGAGAGAAAAAAAATGTTTCCTTCACTTAATGGCATTGCCGGATTTTGTGTGGTTTGGAGGACTGGGTTTGGTGGATCACTGTAGAATTCAGTTATTTAATGGTGTAATGCTTTATGAGGCTATTCTATTCACCTGTTGTGATGCGATCTGCATAAGAACTAGTTTGTGTGTTATAATGGTATATTTGAATCAAGATCAAATCACTTAAGTTTCATAATTGTTAGAAATTAGAACATTTGTGTTGAGTTAGTACTTGAAGCATTCATATCATGTGTTAATGACGTGTACTTCAGTATAATGATCTTGGTTGGTCCTCTTAACTGGATTTGAAATTGGAACCAATTTCAATTTTAATTTACAGCACTATTTTGGGCTCTTACATGGAGTTTGTTTGCTAAATGCTAATCAAGCGTTTTGTGTTACAGTGGCTACACTTTGCTGAGAGATCCACGCTACAACAAAGGGCTGGCCTTCACTGAGAAAGAGCGAGATGCTCATTACCTGCGTGGCCTCTTGCCTCCCTCTGTGTTTACACAGGAACTTCAGGTTACTTCGATTATATATAGTGTCATGTTAGAAGCATTCACTTCTTTATTTACATAAATGGGATTTTAAATGCTTTGCTGTCTGGGGATTTTTGGCTAACTGACTTTGGTATTATGGTGTTTAGGAAAAGAGGTTGATGCACAATCTTCGCCAATATGAGGTTCCTCTGCATAGGTACATGGCCATGATGGATCTTCAGGTACTTGCTGACATAAATGCAGTCTTTCCCATGTAGAGTTAAGAGTGCAATCAGTGCATCAGTGCATATATATATATATATATATATATATATATATCATTCTTTTCAGAAAATGAAAATAGACTATTTTATATAAAAATTAACACATTCTGCTAGTGTAAGAACATGTAACTAAAACTTATTGCTAAGGAATTTCTCGTGGTTTCTGACATTTTTTCTGTATACAGGAGAGGAATGAAAGGCTGTTTTACAAGCTTCTGATTGATAATGTTGAGGAACTGCTTCCTGTTGTTTACACTCCAACAGTTGGAGAAGCATGCCAGAAATATGGAAGTATTTTTAGGCGTCCTCAGGGTCTATATATCAGTTTGAAGGAGAAGTATGCTATTCAATGGCACTGTTCTTTTTGTTTTGTCACTTACCATTTGAGATAATACTAAGTACTTGAATTCTTCAGAGGCAAGATCCTTGAAGTACTGAAAAACTGGCCAGAGAAGACCATTCAAGTTATTGTTGTGACTGATGGTGAGCGCATATTGGGACTTGGAGATCTTGGTTGCCAGGTAAAACATAGAGTGTGTCCCTTAATCTGCATTACACACAAACACAACCATATTAATATAACTTTTAAAATTTTTGTTTAGGGAATGGGGATTCCAGTTGGGAAACTCTCTCTCTATACTGCATTAGGAGGTGTTCGCCCTTCATCAGTAAGGACTACTAAATGTTGTTTTCTCTTTTCCCTTTCCCTCCCTCATAATTTATCAATTAATGAATTGCTATCTGGATCTTCTATGATTTCAGTGCTTGCCTATAACCATTGATGTTGGCACAAACAATGAGAATTTGCTGAATGATGAGTTTTACATTGGACTAAAGCATAAGAGGGCCACTGGGAAGGTTTGATCATCCTTCAAACTCATAGACATGCAAATGAATGATAATTTTTTAAACTATAATTATTGAATGTGAAATTTCTATTCTGTTAACACTTAACATGATATTTGTTTATGGTGGTTTAGGAATATGAGGAGCTTCTAGATGAGTTTATGCGTGCAGTTAAGCAGAACTATGGGGAGAAAGTTCTCATACAGGTTATATATCAGATTCAACATCTGGAGTGGCCTTGGTTTGCTTGAAACTGTTGTTTTCCTAATTTTCATTAATCTTTTTCAGTTTGAAGATTTTGCGAATCATAATGCATTTGATCTGCTGGCAAAATACAGCTCATCTCATCTTGTTTTTAATGACGATATTCAGGTAACATAATTGAAAGCCTTTGACTTATGCACAGTTTCTTATTATAATTCAGGTTACTGATTCTGATCTCCTTTGGTTTAATGCAGGGTACTGCTTCCGTGGTATTAGCAGGATTGCTTGCATCCCTGAAATTAGTTGGGGGAACCTTAGCTGACCATACCTTCTTATTTCTGGGTGCTGGAGAGGTAAGGGCTTGAGAGAGACTTGTTTGCATTTGCCATGAAGTTCAAAAGTTGAAAGGAAATTTTATTTTTTTTCCTGTTTTCCATACCTACCTTAATCTATATTTATGCTTTAGCACCTTCCGTATAGGCCTGTTTTCATTTTTCCTTTTAGTACTAAATTATTTATGAGAGTACATGAATATACATATGAAATGGAATTCTGTTTGTTATTTCTTTGGGAGGACTTTTCTTATTTTTATCTTTTGGTTGAAGGCTGGAACTGGTATAGCAGAGCTGATAGCTCTTGAGATCTCAAAGCAGGTATAACTTGATATTTGTATTCTTTTTTTATAATGGTATTCAATTTATGAAGCATCTAAACTATATCTTGTTGCCAGACAAAGGCTCCAGTGGAAGAGACCCGCAAGAAGATCTGGCTTGTGGACTCAAAGGTAACATGTCTGAGGCATCTGACAAACACGAAGAGCAAAATCTTCTTTGGCTTCTACATTTTTTATCTTCACATCTCGTAACAAGCTTGTTCTGTTCCAGGGACTTATTGTTAGCTCTCGTTTGGAATCACTCCAGCACTTCAAAAAGCCTTGGGCCCATGAACATGAACCTGTAAAGGGGCTACTTGATGCTGTTAAGGTGAGGATAGTGTGTCATATTTTGCCTTAATTTCATACAACATATTTGTTAATGGTTACCCTTGATTATTGTACACAATATCTTACAATTCACTCCTTCAGGCAATCAAACCAACCGTATTGATTGGATCATCTGGAGTAGGGAAGACATTTACCAAGGAGGTGGTTGAAGCCATGGCATCATTGAATGAGGTTTTTTCTTGCTTTCTCTAGTAAAACTTTTACTACCAGATGAGATAATTTATCTTCAACGATTGTGATATTTCTTGACATGTAGAAACCACTCATTCTTGCTCTCTCCAATCCAACGTCCCAATCTGAGTGCACAGCTGAAGAAGCTTATACATGGAGCAAGGTAAATTTTCATCATTTCTTTCTTATTTGCTTAGCCTGAGAAACATTACTTTGGGAGTTAATGTTAAAGCAGTTTAAAATCAGAACTCGTTATCTATCTACCAAATTATGTCTCTTGTATTTGCAGGGTAAAGCAATCTTTGCCAGTGGAAGCCCATTTGATCCTGTTGAGTATGAAGGAAAAGTTTTCGTTCCTGGACAGGTTTAACTCAATACTTGCTTAGCATTTTCTTATTCAGCAGCCACACATTACCAAAATCAGTTGCTGACGTGTTTTCGTTTTGCTTTGCTACTATGCAATTCAGGCCAACAATGCTTACATATTTCCTGGTTTCGGTTTGGGTTTGATAATCTCTGGTGCAATCCGCGTGCGCGATGAGATGCTCTTGGCAGCCTGTGAGTACATGCCAACTAGAGAGATTAGGATCGTTAGAGCATGATAATGAATGTACTGCATGGGTAAATTACGAATGTGAAAAACAGCCATAAAAAAATGGAATTGATAAAAAACTTGCATTTGCATTCCACTGTGAGACAACACATGCTTTGTGATTGTGAGGGCTAACAACCACTTCGTTTCATCTTTTGCAACAGCTGAGGCTTTGGCTGCACAAGTATCACAGGAGAACTATGACAAGGGACTGATTTACCCTCCATTCTCAAACATTAGAAAGATATCGGCTCATATTGCTGCTAATGTCGCAGCTAAGGTTTACGAAATGGGTGAGTGTTTCATGAAATGTGTTCAGTTCAAACAACACTGGTTTTGTTTTATTATTTCATCCCTCCTTAATTTTGTCTTCTATGTTTGGTGGACAGGTCTGGCTTCTCATCTACCTCGACCTAAGGATCTTGTCAAATATGCAGAAAGTTGCATGTACAGCCCAGGCTACAGAAGCTACCGTTGAGGTTTTGAATGTTATGTTCTTCACTCTGCAGTGTTACACCATGAGCTTTTTAGGAATCGATTTACTTTGTTGCTTATTAGGATTTTGTATAAGGGATTGCCCTATAAACTTCGCAGAGTTGCTTATTCTTTCGAAACGTTGAACTTGTATTAAGAAGGAATATTATTGATATTCCAATTCCAATTTATGAACGAACATTATTTTGCACTAGCATGACTAGTTATTTGGTTCTGTTAGCATTAAATATCTCGCACTGCTGGAGGAAGAAAACAACAACCTAATAGAACGTGAGAAAACATAAAGCAAACGAGAATTTCTAATGGTTCATTATACCCAACTACTTTCTCTTTAACTTTTTTAAAAAAAATATATATAATTAAGCAAATTTAACATATTCATAGAAAAAACACCTTTTATTATGATTTTAGATTCAAGCATTGTAATTACAAAATATGAAGGAACTATGACTTTTAAATTCTGACTTATTAATAAAGATCTAATATGACGGGATACCGACTGTCCAAGACCGATAAAAAAATTCATAAAAAATATATAAACAGTTTAGTCAATTCATAATTTCACTTATATTATTGCCCCAACCAACCAATGCAGTTTAGGTAGAACAGACTAGACACCATCTAACCTGTGAAAAACACCACAGCCGCAAGAGTATACAAAAATTCGCATCTAAAATTATCTTCATATGCGACCGTTTCTTCCAAGCTGTTGCAAACATATTTTATATAAATATATACGCAATATCAACATGCACAGTAGCACATGAACCTTTCGTTATGTACACAATATCACCCTGCGCTGCTTACTTGAACATGGGTTTAACGCCGGGATAGATGAATGTATACACATCAAACTATATGGTCATTACATCAGAGCAGGATTAAAGGTTTCGGCGTATTTCTTCTGCAACTTGACAGCTCCGAATCCCCCAAAACGAGCTGGGTCTCAATTTTTGGTTTCTGGCTGTAAAAAGCCAACCCATTTGGGTTTCACATGTTCCACAAGTAGCGATTGTCCATGCATACCTGCCATAAGTAGCACACATTGGCATTATGCTTCTCAGATCTCAGTGCTGCATAAACAGCCAAAGACAAGCAGAACACTAAGTAGCATTTACAGTGCTAATCTTACAGAAAAGTAGCCACACCGTAGGCCCACATTATTGCCCACTAGCTCATCCTTTTGTTGCTGGGTATAGCAGTGACGTTAAACAGAACTTGACTCGGGAACTAAAACTTAACTTGAAGGAAGGAAAGCCTTTGAGAAAGAAGGGTCATTGGCTAAAAAGTTGCGAGGACACCATTTTTCTGAAAGTTTTATAATATAGAAAATGCAGAGAAAGAAAAGAAAAGAAGAGGGAGTTTTCCACTCTCTGCGTATCAGCTAACCCGTAAGGAATTGTGAGTAGCATTCCAAGAAAGAGACTCTTTACCAGCTCTATGGCCGAAATTGTTTTATGAATTATTCCTTCATTTCATTCTACTAAAATACTTCTCACTCAGTAAATAAAGCACACTCGCTTAGACACTCCTTTAGACTAATAAAACCAAGAATAATAAGAAAACTTTGTATGGTGTGAAGCACCCAATGCTCCTAAAAAATTTATTAAAATTGAACTTAAAATCCACACAGCCAAAACAGAATGCACCTTTAGTTATTAAGCCTTATATGCGGATAAATCAAAAGCATATCAGTTATCAAATAAATTTATATTCAGGCTTAATTGCACATTTACTCCCTATGCTTACTCTAACGTATGTGCAATTTTTTGCCTTGTATTAATTATTCCTATTTAGTCCCTCTAGTTTTTCAAAAGCTGAAATTAAGGCTTTCACCTTAAAATTTTATCCAATAATTAATAAATACATAATGAAAGTATGACGTCTTATTGATAATATACAAAATATTTAAATAAAAATACAAAATAAAATGGATGAAATATAATAAAAGTCTTAATTTTGGGATAGAGGACTTAATTTAAGCATTTGAAAGATTAGAATGACTAAATGTAAGCAATTAAAACTAACGGGGACCAAAATCACATATACATTAAAATATAGGGACCAAAAGTGCAATTAAACCTTATATTTATAATAATATGAATTAAAAGGTAACTGGTTGAGGAACTAAATGAAAAACCAAAATATACTATATAATGAAACAAAATGTTGATCAAATATCTGACAATAATACATATAGTTAGCTGACTGAGTTCATTATGAAGGGTATTAAAATAAACATGTGGATAAAACATCCTTTATTATTTTATTAGTGTAATTATCTAAACCAAACACCAACTACAAGTGAAATTAAACAATTAACTGGAAAGAGAGAGTTCTCCAATTCCACTACATATGTCTAATAAAAACCTGTTTCAAAAAAATTTATGTGCATATTCCTACTAGGGAAAGAATCCTCCAACCAAATGGATTATATGCCCAAAAGAGAGCATAATCTAAAAGCACTTTCACCTACCTACTCCCAAAATCCACATAACAGATAAAGAATATCACTGTAAAACGAGAGGACAAATCCAATGCCACAACGGAAAATAGAATCCAGCTAAACCACATTTAAATGACTACACACTAGGTGAGAAAAGTAAAGATAACCATGGGTCATCATGACTATTAAATCAAGCATTGTAAAGCTTCTTGGCATGCAATAGTTTGATCCTTGAGACATCATATTCGTCTAAAGAGAAATAAATAACTTTATATATTCATAAAATCACAGAACATGAAAATGGACTGACACTTACCCAGGAAACCAACTGTATTCTGCAACTGCTGGCCCAATGAGAGCTAAGCCATTTGCCTTGTAAAGGGTCATTATCTCATGCACATGACCACCTAGATTCACGTATGCACTAAGAGGACCCTCACTTGACATCACCAACATATCACTTCGTTTTGCAATTATAGTCTGCAAATTTCAAGATCATTAAAAAGGAGGACAAAACATTACTTTCCGAATTTGATGAAAGCTGAAAAAGAATTGTATATCCAAAATTGTCACTATATTTACTCACAACTTCACAAGCAATATGAAAGTGCAAAATTGTTAGGCTTTGGTGATAGAGTGATTTACCTGGCAGCATTTACATCGGATAAGATCAAGGCTCTCTAGTAATTCAATTTCTCTGCGCAACCTATATGCAATTCCATCAATTTCCAAAAGCTCTTGCCTTGTAGATTCTGACACAGGTATTTTACTAGCAATGTGAAATGATAAAACATCAGGTTTCTGAATAAGACTATCCATGCTAGGCACCGCCACTATTCGCTTCCACATATCTACAGAATATCAAAACAACCATTAGTTTTTATTATAAGATAGCATGTTTGTTTCACAATAAATAGCCCAAATTTGAAAACTAATCTGTTATTTAATTTCAATTGTCTATATAATACTGAAGTTTTCGTTTAGAAAAAAGAGTAAATAAATAGTTGTATTATCTAAATATCAGTCAATTAAGAATAAACAAATATAAAAAATAAATAAATGGGAAAAACAATAGATTAGCATAATATTATACATTGCAAAACCATTTCTCAAAATTCTTGAAATACACATAATTTACACGAGTTTTTCTTGAGGTCCTTGATTAAATTTTAAGAATACTAACAGACCAGTATGCAGAAAAGGAAACCAAAAATTTTATGTACCCAATAATAGTAATCTCATAATGATGAAAGGGGGAAAAGATGCAAGAAATATCTACTCAAATGTAAGAAGCAAAGAAAACTACCTGCTGCCCTTTGTGCGAGCCAAAAAGAGTCAAACATACGATATGCCCAGTGGGGCAAGAATGCTTTTGAAATTTTATGAGATGGGTAGGCATATGTACTTTTACAACATCTGTTAAGCTCTTCTTTTGATGACTGCTCTCCAGAAGTGGAGCAGTTCCCAGCTCCCGGATCCAGACTGGATCTAATTTCCTGATCTGACTTATGCATGAAGTTAACATCACTTTTGTTTGCTGATTCATCCATCATATCATGCACATAACTGGATCCAATAGCTGATTCATGGATCTTTCTTTCCATTAGTGATAGCTCACTCTCAAAACTCTCTTCTGAATTTGCTTGTGAATCACTTTCCTCATTTTTTGAGCTGTGCATTTTAACATGGGAATACTTTGGAGACAATGTATATGAGGTAGCTTGGCTACGGGGCATATTACTCAATGGTGCTAATTTACCAAAAGCATCCCTTGGAGGTCTTAGTGGTAGATCTTCGTCAATAATTTGGATCTCTCCATAAGGCTAAAAAGAAACGTTGCAACCAAACAAATAAAAGGGTGTCATCAGTGATTAGTTACATAGCTAATTTCCAAGTAAATAAAAATAAAAAGCAGTAAATATAATAATATTTAGCTAACCACTCCTTCTGCATCATGCCAGCTCCGTCTTAGGCGAAATCTTTGTTGTCCCCGGGTAACGACATTCAGTGAACCATCGTCCATGTGGCCATATTGTCGAATCTGTAGATATGAGTTTAGCAAGCAATATAAACCAACAGACATATTGACACTTGAAGTCCAACTGTAGTAGGAACTAAGAAGACTATAACTTGTAGATATAAATCTCTTTTTTTGTTTTCCTTCATTTAAGGGATGCGGGATTGATGACTGCTGAGTTGCAAAATCAGGCCTTGTATTAATGAACTGGACATTATGTAAGTAAGTAATTAATTCTGCGCTGCTCATCCTAACATCCACAGTTGCATCAAAAAGGTTTTTGCACAAAATACACATGAACAGTGTATATTCATGCACTAACATATAATTCTGAGGCAAAATGATTTACTACTGCTCTATCATGTCTCTGAAGGACTCACTCCCGAGTACAAGGAGGTGCTATTCATAAACAGCATATGTAAAAACATATAGAACCATATTTCATATTTAAAGGGTTATATGTGGGCATAAATATGTATCAATGTAAATTATTCAGTATGAATGTTATAAATAGCACATCAGTTGAGATGCAATACCTCAGCAGTTGTCCCAATGCTTACTGATTTCATCCTACGACTTGCAGTATCCCTGTACCTGCGAATCTGAAAGACATGCACATCTGCATCACACTCATGTTTTACAAGAAAAACTGAAACACAGTCCCAAGCATGAACAAACCACAAACAGTCATCACAAAGAGTTAACCTACCACACCAATAGTGTTACGAATATCAGATTCGCTCAAAGCTTTCTCAACAGCAGCCACTAAATGGGATTGAATAACTCTAAGGGGAAGTGTAGCCCCCGGAAAGAGTACAACTCCTGAATATTGCAAGGACTAGTTAAAGTTATTCATATAAGTTAAAAACTAAAAAATGAACCTGAAAAGGATAAGAAATCAGCCATATCAGAAGACAGGACTTTGCCACTTTTTATGTTATACCACTTTTCAATGATATATTCGATAAAGGTTCCATAGAAACAAGTGCAAAAATGATACTGCCAAAAGCACCCCGAGACAGAGCAGCTGAATGACAAGGCTCAGGAAACCTCAAATTCCACTCAGACACACAATAAATAAATAAAAATTGGGATGAATGGCAAAGACTATCATGAAACATGTTTTGAAATTGAAAATTAAAAGAGGAAGAAACCTATTATTCAAACAATGAACGAGTGTCCAATCGTGCAAGTAGCATCCTGAAAACACAGCGTCTAATTTTTCTATTCATTTATGATCACTAGTTTCTCAAAATAGTTCAGTATTATTTGATTGTTTGTCTTTTCTACAAAAGTGTGAATGATTAATGATACAGAATAAACACCTTCGAGACAGAACAGTGGAATGTTCAATATAGCACCACCGTCCAAGAGAGTAGTCCTGTGGCGCGTGTCTTCAACATCTGCGAGCAAACAACGCAATTAGTTGCGATTGCAAACCAGTACCGATGCGTTGCAGAAAAAGGCACATGTTATTATATAGACAAACAAATATACATATAAATGCGTACCACCGAGATAGGTGTGCAGAGGCGCGATATAGGTATTGAAAGTGAATTCATCGGATGAGGTAGCAGCAACGCCGTCAGAACTAGGTGGAAGGAAATACGTAGACTCGTCGGAATCGGAATCAGAGTCGGAGTCGGAGTCATCGACTTCTTCAACCTCGAGGTCTTCGAGATCGAGCTGGCGAATGAGTTGGATCTGGAATCTCTCCCTTTCGAGGAGTCTCTGTCTCTCCTCTTCGTCCATTTTCGATTGCTAGGGTTTCGTCTGTTGTTAGAAATTTGCAGAAGGAGAAGGAGAAGGTTGTGCCCCTAACACTGCACTGCACTGCATCAAAAAGGTTTGCCAAAGGATAGTAGTAGTGCTAATTTAATTCTGTTCAACGTTGCGCCCTTCCACGCTGGTTTCTGATTATGATAAAATAAAAATAATGAAACTTGTAATTATAATGAATGTTGAGAATAATATTTCAAATAAGTGTTTTTAAAAAATTTAAATAGTTGTTATATCTTTAAGAATTAATTGAAACATAGCTATTGTTGTGTATTAAATCAATGATTTTCAGTAGTTTCGAATAGATAGAAAATATTTAATAAATAATTGTATTTATAATTAATTATTGTGATAATTCACAATATAAAATAATTATTTTAAAAAAATATATTACATTTAAATGGTATAAAAATTATCTTTTGAGGATAAAGTTTAATATATATATATATATATATGAAATAAATTTTTTTTATATTGGTATAAATTTAAAAATTTTTACTCCTGATTTTATATTTAATTATAAAAAAAATAAAAGTATAATTAAAAATAACATACAATATAGAGGGAATACATTAAAGGTTACGTAACATCAAATATTCATTTTAGTTACGTTGAGATTTTAAAGAAAAAGAAGAAATGTATACCACATATAAATTTATTATTAAATACAAACTACTAAAATTTAGATATATGAAAAAATTTTAGGATGAAATGAAAGATTAGGGAATAAATAAAATAAAAGGATGAAATAATTAAAGCTTTATTTATTACGAATCTGACATGAAAGAACATCGCAACTTTAAAAGAGAATATCTGCAGTCAAAATTGATGTTAAAAAAGAGTAGAGTTTTTGGTTTTTTGGTTGAGACAAACTTAATTCAGAACAACTCAATTCCTGTATATAGAGGCAAAACATGTAAACAACATAATAATTATTTTGCTATGCAATATGCAATAAGCAATTCCAGAAAATACAGAATGAAATATAATGGATGATTTTAACAAAGACGTGTTTGGTTCAGCATCAAATATATTAAAACAAGAATTTATTTCGAAGTTACGTATCTTTTAGATTGAAACGTAATTTAAAGTGATTTTATTAAGTTTGAAACATGCACTAAAATTAACACTTTTAACTTACATTTTGATTCTTCAAATGACAGCCGTTGATCTTGTTTTTGTTCGCATCCAATGGGAACGCAATCAAGATACAAAGGTGCACCCGCCTTAAACCACGAGTGTGTCGTAGCGAGATAAAACTAAAAGGTAAGGAACACAGAACACCGTGGAGTGAGGAAGATGAGCGTTTCTCATTTCGCGCTTGTATCGTCTTGTCGTCCACGCTTCGTCCCTTCGCTGTACGTTATACACTCTTTCTCTCATCGTTTTAGTTCTTTCTCACTTAGGTCTCGTGATTCTAATTACGCATTTCAACAAGCAGGTCGTGTGCTTCCACCATCCTTCGGTCTCGCATACGGTGTTGCACTACTCTCTCCGCTACTTCTTCAGAGGCTCCCACTCCAACCTCCGTAAAGTAATCTTTGTGTTTTTATTTTTCGTATTTTGTGTCGTTTATTCAACTTTTTCTTTCTACAGGAAACGTATGGTGTCGGGGGTTCAGCCTACGGGTTCAATTCACCTTGGAAACTATTTTGGCGCCATTAAGAATTGGGTTGCTCTTCAGGTTTATTGACATATGCCTCTTTTCCTTTATTTGTTGAAATAACCAGGACAAATAATACCATGTTTAGATTTGCATTCAAAAGCCATTGGGTACATGTTTACTTCAATGCTACTCTCTGTACCTTTTGTGTTGAATTCGCGTTTATAGTATTTCTAATGTGATTCCAAACGCACACTAAATGGCATTGAGTTACTCTTTTATACTATCCTGACAAATGAGTGCAGTTTGCTTATATATGTATGGGTTAATTGGGTTCAGAATGAAATCTCAGTTCCTTGCCTTGTTTCACAAATTTGTACGTGTTAAATCATGATTTTGTTTTTGTTTTGCAGAATGCATACGATACACTTTTCTTCATTGTGGATCTGCATGCGGTATAGCGATATTCCTTCTACTACACTCATGAAGCTCGCTATGATGCTTTTTGGTTTTTCTCTTTTTGTTGTTTGAGCTACAGTCTGAGCTCATATAACTAAATTTTTTGCTATATCTTATCTTGTGAAAAAGAAAGGATCTTGAAATTCAAGATTTTTCTTTAATTTGTGCTGCTGCTTATATTCAGTGAGTTACCATTAGCTCAAGTGTGGACTTCAGTTTACTGTGTCATTTACTATTTCTGGGACTAATGTACATTGGCTTCACAAATAGGTCAAGTAATTAGAGGCTTCCTCTCAAAAAGGGCAAGAAAATTCACATATTTGTTTATGACTTAGGATAATGATCCAAATATTTTAGGATAATTTAAGTTCACCTTTTCTGTTAGTTTATATGTACATGCTTTTTTAGACCTTAGATTTCAACTGAAATCCTCACAAATTAACCTTGTTGATAGTATGAAAAGTGGCCAGACTTTGTAGGTCAAAGATGTACAACCTGTGAAGCATGGTGTGGATACAATATGAAACACTGTCACAGCAAAATTTTAAGTGTCTTGTTAGGATACGTGTCACAACTTCAATTTTTGACAAGTATTTGATACCATTTCTTTTTGAAGTGTCCATGCTTCACAGTTGCACCTAATTTTTGTACCTAATTATTGGTTAAAGCCAGTTTTATGCTTTGTTGTTGTTGAATGATACTGTTCCATTTCTCAGTATCTAAAGGATTTTATCTTACAGATTACATTACCTTATGACACACAACAGTTATCTAAAGCTACAAGATCAACTGCAGCCATTTACCTGGCATGTGGAGTGGACCCCTCAAAGGTTCTTTGCAACAATTGCTTGAAACTCTTTGGGAAATAGTATTATGGTGGAAATGCTGGGGTCACTGTGGATAAATGGAATTCATTTTGTGCATACAGGCTTCGGTATTTGTACAGTCTCATGTTCGAGCACATGTGGAATTGATGTGGCTGCTGAGTTCCACAACACCAATTGGTCGGCTGAACAGAATGATACAGTTTAAAGAGAAATCTCGCAAGGCGGTGCGTTCATAACTGTATGAATTCCTAATTTCCATTTTCTAACTTATTTATTATTTTCCTTGTTTTACGGATCTAGTTTGATTTGTTTTTTTTTTATTATTTCTTACTTACTAGCTCTGCATTTCCTTCAGAGTGGTCTTCTCAAAATAAAACAGTTTAATTTGATTCATTAATTAAACAAGCTTTGGGGATAGGATTTAAGCAGAGTATTGACTACTGACGTTATCATTTTATCTTTTGAATTCTAAGTTGGTTGTGATAGTGTGACTACTCTTGCACATTTAATTTATGGAACAACTGGAAAATAAAAATGTTGTTACACACACATACACACACGCACGCACATTCCAATCAGGGAATGACAGGATTTATTCATGAATAAGTACAAATAAAAATGGAAAGAGGATTTTGTTTTGAATCTCAAGAACTTGAGTACACACCACACCCTTTTTGAGCTACAATTGTGCTTCACTTCTCAATATTTGGCTATTTGCAACTATTAACTTTTTGGTTACTGCTATTTAAATAATGGAAAGCAAAAGTTTCTGTTCCGATGTTTAGGCCTTAATAATCAGTAAAGCCTATTCCAAAATAACAAGATAGATGATTTATATTATGTATTTTACTTCCAGTTTGATCATACTATGTAGCATGTCTTTGGCTAATGCAGGTTTGCGTGTTTATTCTTTAGCTTTCCTCACGCCAGCTTGTATGTTTACATTTATTTATCCAAATTACAGTTTGTTTTGAATTGGATTTGTAGGGGGATGAAGAAGTTGGGGTTGGCCTTCTGACTTATCCCGTTTTGATGGCTTCTGATATACTGCTATATCAGGTGGTAAACTTGTGGAAATTATGAGTCACTCCTAATTTTACTTAATATGATTGTAGCTTTGCTTGATTAGGTTTTTGCAATGTAAAGTTTTTGGGAAGTTTTATTTAAAACCCGTTCTTATTTTATATTAAATTTATCTTGAATAAGAGTAATTCTTATAAATTGCAGCATGCTTCTGCAGTCTGATTTTGTCCCTGTTGGAGAAGATCAAAAGCAACATTTGGAGTTGACACGCGACTTAGCTGAACGGGTTAATTATTTATATGGAGGAAGAAAGTGGAAGAAATTAGGCGGGTGAGGGAGGAATTGTTTTAAATTGCACATAAATACCATCCACAAGATGGCGTTGGCTATTTAGCTTCTTTTTCAGATTTTACATTAAGCTTGACTATTTTTATTTTATACATTTATGACAGTCGAGGTGGTACTATATTTAAGGCAAGTTATATTTCACCCCATTCATCAGAGCTCACGAATAATAGATGCAATGGAAATGTGTTTTTCTGACAACACTTTCTGAGATGTAGGTTCCCGAGCCCCTTATACCTCCAACAGGAGCCCGAATTATGTCCCTAACTGATGGCCTGTCTAAGGTTTTCTACTTTTTCTTTTGTTATTTTTCCCATTTATTTGTACATACATTGCACACACAAAACTTCTGTATCTAGCTCATTAGTAAATAATATCTGCCTGTTCTTTTGCTTTATAAATTGGCAGCTCTTCAAAATTCAGCGGATATGTTAAATACATCTGTTTTAGCATCAAAGAATGCAGAATGTTAGATGATAATAATTAAAGGACGTTGCTTACTATCAATTATATATTCTTTTAGGAGTTGAATCATTGAACTGCAGAACAATATTTATTTATTTGAACTTATAAATTTATTTTGACATTTGTTATGGGTTCAATTTTGTAGATGTCAAAGTCTGCCCCTTCTGAACAATCTAGAATTAATATTCTTGATTCTAAAGATGTAAGTAACTGTATTTATTAATTTGCAATGCTTTTGTTGTCACCCATATTGAGTGAAGTGTTCCTTGCAAGTTGCATACTAATACGGGACTAAATTTGACTATGAATATATAAGACAAGTTTTCTATTTGTCCTGTAGATGTTAGTTTTTCTTTGCCTTCACTTGCTCTATGTTTGCATATTTTATTTGCAGCTTATAGCAAACAAGATCAAACGCTGCAAAACTGATTCATTTCCAGGGTTAGACCATCCCATTTGTAATATTATTATATAATGATGTTGGTTCTTAGAGGTTTTGTTTATAAACACTTTCTTTTTTCTTCATTTACTTCTTTTCTATAAATTTTTTATTTTGGTTAGCCCTCAAACTACTTGTTGAGCACTTTGTGGCAAATTTTACAGCTTGGAATTTGACAACTCTGAGAGGCCTGAATGTAACAATCTTCTTTCCATATACCAGCTTATTGCAGGAAAGACAAAAGAGGTCAAAAATGCATTATATATACTTTTTGCACTTAATAATTGTTTTGGTGTTTGATGAATAGTTTGAGATAATTAGTGTTTGTCAATGGCAGGTCATGGTGGAAACCCAAAAACTGCCATAAAATTATGGTGGCCGCCATGGCGTGTTATGGCGGCTATAATAAATATATAAAAAATATTATATATAGATAATAAGAAATTATAAAAAAAAAAATTAACTCAAAACACTAGTAGTTTCACCCATAATTCAATACAAAATAAACATTTTAAAATTTTTTGTTATGTTATCTTTTTTTTATTTATCTCTTTTTCTGCTATTTTGTTTAGGGTTCCAATAAAAATATTTACTTTTCTTTTCTGTCCCACAGTTTTTAGGGTTTTATAAGAGTAAAAAGGCTTTTTCCTTTTAAAAAAATTTAGCTTTCCCTTTTTGCTCTATGTTTTAAGTTTTTTTAAGGGTAAAATAGTCTTATCACACTACTTCTATAGCCCTTTTTTCTTTCTCCCCTTCTGGTCGAGCTATCTTCTCCAATATCTCTCTCTCTCTCTCTTTCTTTTAATGGGCCATCTTTGTCTTTGGTTTGGATAGCTCCCTTCCCTCATTTGAAGGACTAGTTGCTGGAAATAGAAGTTGAAGTCACCGGAAAAGGAGGTTGAGGTCGCCAGAGATGGAGGTGCAATCTCTGGAAATGGAGACAGAACTGCACCAAAACATAAACCCAAAGAGCCCAGGATAAAGAGATCTCAGAGAGAGAGAGAGAAAGAGATCTCACCAAAGAGCGGAGAGAGAAAGTGAGATCTCGACAGAGAGTAGAGAGAAAGAGATGAGTAGAGAGCAAAAAGAGACCGTAGAGAGAGAGAGAGTGAGATCTTAGGGAGAAGAGAGGGAAAAACCTGGACTTTAGGGTTAGGTTATCTGGACCATGTTGGGTCGCTGGCCCAAAATTGCAGAAAAACCCATTTGTCAGCCAAAAAAATGCCATATTCCGCTGTTTCTGCCATGGCCGTCGTTACAGTCATTCGCTTAACGGCTGCCATGGCGCCCTCATAACGGAATTTTAATAACACTGGTGTTTATGTTAATGGAATCACTCTATGTTTGATGACAGTTTTATTACATGTGATGTGTGTAATGTTATTTTCTTCTCTTGATGTTCGGAGATTTTAGTGAAAAAAATGATTATATTATGTGTAATTTACTTGTACTTGAGATGTTTTTGATATATTTTGTGTCATTTTAAAATTTTAACTTGAGAACTTGTAGTTAAAAATTTAATATTTAAGTGATATTTTAATTTCTTTTTTTGTTTTTAAATTTTTTTTTTGATGGGCAACCCGTCAAGCCACCTTATAAATTGGGTGGGTTATAATTCTCAATCAACTTATATAAATGGCAAGTTAATGAACTCATTTTTAGACTGGTTCATCGCGGGTTGGATTAGGGTGAGTTGACTTGTTTTGTCATTCCTAACTAATACCACAACTGTACATACCACCTCAGCATAATCCAGTAACATGCCCACAAAAATCACCTAGATTACTCAACCCCAAAAAAAATATCTAAAACCAAGGTCATTTCCTTCCTCAAAACCTGTCACCCTTCCCACAATCATCAATATCTAATGCCAACTTGTTTTAGTGCTTCTTTGTTGCTAATCTGATCTTAGAAAATCTCGTACATCCTATGAACCGCCATTCCTATTAATTTAGCTTGTAAATATCATATGGGGATTGGTGGAACATTCAATCAAAGATTGTGAAGGGTTTAAAATAGCTGCAAGGAAGTTGATGGACAACTCATTATCATCAATAATCCTATCCCAAACCATGTGAGGGAAAATAAGATAAATGTTCTTTGGGAAGGGAGAAAACATAGATGAAGAATGTAATGAGCTTGTGAGCACCCTATTAGAAAGGTGTTTAAAGGATTGAGGAAAGTTGGTTATGGCATGACTGCACTAACGACATTAATGAAGAAGTATAATCAAGAGTTGAGTTGTGCATTCTACATATCATTTCATTGGACATGACATTGAGAGTTGATGGAATTTTAAAGTTCCAAGTTCAAGGTCTGATTATGATGGGGAAGTAATACTACCTGATAATGGAGGCTATGTGTTGATTATAACAGGATGGATAGGGTTGTTTGGTGGGCTAGGTCTCTTAGAGTTCTATTTCTATAACTGAAAATGAAAAGGCATTAGGTCACAGAGCATGTCTTGTGTCAGTCTTTGTAAATTGTTTAAATTAAACATATTAGGCTAATGGATATTGGCAAAGTCGATAATTAGTGATGGTCTGATACATGCTTCATGAATATGTATCTGTTCTATAATTCATGATCGTGAATTAGTCTTTCTCAAATTATTGCATTCGTGAATATCTTTTTGACCCCAGCATATTGCTACCAATTGAGGAGAAATTATTGGGCATTAATTTGTAAAGGAATTCTTTCTAATATGGCGAGTTGTGTACATAGACAATTCCTGTTTACACTTTAAAGTTTGTTTTTATTTCAAGTGTTTCTCCTTCATGCAGTAATTCCTGAGTTTCAAAGCCTTCAGAGATATTGTATTTTATACCATTTTTTATATACAGGAAGTTGAGCAGGAGTGCCAAAACATGAATTGGGGCACATTCAAAGTTCTTCTAACAGATGCCTTGATTGACCATTTGCATCCCATTCAGGTTTTACCTACTAAATGCCACCTTTGCTTAGATGTTATGGCACAGAAATAATGTTTTTTAGTCAGTACATATTTACATTTTCCTCCTTTACTTGTTTACCCCTGGAATCCATTTTATATCCTTGGCTTCTCAAGAGATAATTTTGTGACTGATGTATGCAACAACTTTTCCTGTTTATGCATTTTTAAGATATGTATTTTCTAATCACTAAGTTGTGACGTATGTTTGGATTATTAGCATTTAATTACTTTGAAAAGTTCAATTTTGAATAAGTTGTATGCTTGGAGTTGAGTTTTATGTTTGGATTTGATTATTTGAGAATAAGCTTTGTTTGGATAATTTTACATAAAATTACCAAAAGGAATCATTATTATGCAATTTTACTTTTATAAAAAGTGGGGCCATTAGCCTATTGATATATAATAATCCCACCCAACCCGCTGAACCTACAGAAGGACATTTTTGCAGAAAGTACTGGAATGTGTTTGCAGCAAACAAGGAACGCAGGCATCATTTTGGTTTTGTTATTGCCTGAACAATCAACTAACTTTAAAACTTGGTATTGCATCTTGAGGTGAAACGTAATTTATGGCTGAAAATTATGCTTAGAATAGTTATCCTAACACAATGTTAATGTCGTGGGAAAGTCGGTGCCAACTTTATGACTTCTTCTCTTGGTTTGGAGACTAGGAACCAGAATAATGGCTAATGTTGCCTACTAAAGCTTAAGCTTTAGTACTAGATTTCTATCCGGAATATGTGTTTGCATAAGGACATGCCCAAGTTTGTGGTTAGTTACTTTTCACCATGGTTGAATATGGTCATTTGATCAAGCACTGAGACTACGTACACATTGTCAAGAATTAGTCGTCATATCATAGGTCTTTTGCTTCCCTATATTATGTAGTCTCACTGTTCCATTTTTAACTGCTTAAAGGACAATTTTGTTTGTTTCCCTTAATAAAAAGACATTTTGTCCCCTATATTTTTTTCTTAGTGAGCAATGGAGTCTGCCTTATCACTTCAATTTTTCCCCTAACTTTGGCAGGTTCGCTATGAGGAAATCATGTCAGATTCAGGTTATTTAGATGAAGTTTTGGCACAAGGTGCTAGAAATGCAGCAGATATAGCAGATAATACACTTCATAATGTTTACCAAGCAATGGGATTTTTGAGGAGACGGTGATAATTGATACCAAATGGATTAAGATTGGCGAGAGTCGAGACAGCAAGTTAACTTTTGGATGATTCATGATCGGCCTCAAAATTTTGAAGTAATCATATGGCATACTTTACTAGTGGAAATTTAAAGATTATTTAATGCAAAGTCTAAAGGTCCCATAAGTTCGTGGATCAATGGGGCTTTCTATCTCTTGCATTTATTTTATTTTTTTAAATCTCTTCCATTATTTATTTGTATTTTATAATGAATTCGCCAAATTGATAAATGGTTTCGCCATTGTTTTTGATGGAGACACACGATCTCGCTGTCTTTAATTGTTTACATCATTTTGTTAATCTTCTTGATCAACTTGTTTCATGTGTTTTGTTATTTCCCCTAAGCAAACGAATTGAACAGCCTCTTGTTTTTCAATTTATATGTAGTCAGATGATACTGACAAAAGAGATATTCTTAATAAAAAAAATTATATGAAAAAGCTCACGGCGCCATTATTGTATTTAGTTGATCACTACAAATATGCATGTCTTTATGAAGATGCTAGAAGTAGCATATGATTTAGGGTTTAATGACGCCATAGTGACATTCTTATCAATATCGAATACTTCAAGGCAGAATATTAAAACCTTCAATCAGATATACATAGTATGTATATTTGTCATCTATTCATGTTTTTTTTTTTTCCTTTCTTGTTATACGTCGAGGAGTATTTTGACACACCACGGAATTAGTTCGATGAATAGATGTGAATATGATAGGGCATCCGCAGGAACCATTGGAGAGAAATGCAGATTAACGTCGATGGCAATGCAAAATGTATGCTTGCTTTCGTTCTATTTCTTTATGGTCGCAAAAAAAAAATTGATGTGTCCCTTTTCAGTCACTTCTTTAAACGGTAATGCTGGGTTGTGCAGGTAGGGATGAACCGGAAAAAGACATGTCAGGTCCACCATTGGTTTATATAAAGTAAGATTCTCGGACGCAAATAAAAGAATTGATGTAATGTTTTTAGAGTAAATTTCCATTTTAATTTCTAATTTTGTAAGTGGTTTTTAGTTTTATTTATTTAATAAATAATTTATTTTAATCATTAACTTATTTAAATATATTTTATGTTAATTTTAAATTTTAATCAATATTAGTAACAACCAATGAGTATATTTATGTAGTACGTTAAGTTTTAACTTGATTCATTACATAAAATATCACACCTTAAAAGAATATCATATGACTTTTAAGAGAATAATAATATTTTAATAAAATTCTAAATTTATCATATTTTCCTTTATTTGCTTTGAATCTCTATTGATGTCCATTTGTTGAGCTCTAATTGTGGCACAACTGGTGGTTAATATTTTGACATTTAACATTTAATGTGGATATATATTTTAATTGTTATTAATGGCATTAACTAATGAGGTAGATTTTTCAACAAATTTGAAATTAAAATAAAGTTTTTGTTAAGTTAAAGAAAAATTACACAGCCCAATAATTATGTGATTCATTAATTCACATATATATATATATATATATATATATATATATATTAAAATTAAAAATTAGTAATTACATGTTCACTTATAAATGTTATGTACATTTTTTTCTTTTGACTATTCAAATAGAATTTTATGATTTATATTTATTATTTTTATTTTTTACAATAATCAAATATTATCACCAATTATGACAATATTTTTATTTGATAAGAGTTAATCTTAAGATAATTTTATTATCACTCTCATATATATATATATATATAATTTAATAAATGTATTTTTATATAAAAAAATTAAATTTAAGTCATATAATTGTACACAAATGATTAAAATTAAAGATAAAATTATATAATCAATTTTAAAAGTTACATTATCATTTTTAAAATATTACATAAATTTTATATTGGAAGCACAATTAATCTTGATAAGATGCAATAAATGAGATTTATTTCATATTCTCTTATAAAACCCATGTTTCCATCTGATTTGCCCTCTCTATATCTATCTATATTTATAACGATGATTGCATCGCATGATTATTTCGGGGTCATCCTCTACATTTATGATGATAGATGTTTATTATATCTGAATTATTCAGCTTGTTTCCTCTCACTATATCTATTCTATGAATAACACATAGCAAGGTGCTCTCCATCATTGGGGAAAAAAAAGCAGATAAAAAAAGTATGTGTGTATTCGTGTCGTTTTCAGATTCTACAGATAGACTATGCTTCCAAGGAAAATGACAGTGTTCTTAAAGATTTTTTTATTTAAAATTTGTTTTAAGAAATTAATAATAATTAGATAAGATTCTTTTAAGAAAAATCAGAACTTCGAAAAAAAAACAATTTTAATATTTTTCAATAAAATAAAAGGAAGGTTTCTTAAATATTTTAAATAATATTAAAAGAATACCATATAATTATTTTTGTTTTTTAAAAATAATTTAACCGCACGGTAAATATTGGTTTGACTTAGAGAAGTCTAGTTTTATTTATACAAATTGTTGGTGCGTAAATAAGCAAATTATATTTTTAAGAAAATAAATTGTTTGAATAGTTTTATAACAATATCAATGAAAATACGATATAAAGAAAACAATTGCATTTTTTGAAAAATTTTAATACCCAAATTTTTATTTTCTTTCCATTAAAAAAATGTTATTCTTTTTCATATCATAGCCAAGGTTGCGTGGAATTTAATTAGATATAAAATAATGTCAAACTCACTTTCTTTCAATGAAAAATGAAAATACTATTATACTTTTGATGTATGATATAACAAAAAAGAAATGAACGTGTACTTATCGCATCTATATTCTACTTAATAGAGAGATAGTGGGCGCCTTCTTCATCTTCTCTTTTATATATTCTTGCTTTACTTTTACTTTTACTTTTACCAAATGAAAGGATGAATTAAAATATCTCATTTTATATTCTTTTTTTTTTTCGTATAGATCTCATTTTATGTTATGTACTTTTTCCACTAAGTTATAATCACAATAAATATTTATAACTAACAATACTAATGGCAATGAGAGTACTTTAATTTTAATTTAATTTGAGTGATTTTGTAACTTAATATATCCTCTTAGTAATTTTTTTTAATATCCGATAACAAAAACTAAATAAAAGATAAATATATTTAATGTCTTAAGAACATGAAATTGTTTAATGTACTCTTTAGTTAATAATTAAGACCATTAAAAGAAAGTAATAATAAAAATAAAAATTATATTTATTTTTTTGTGCTATTAATATATAAAAAAATTATATTTGCATGTAATGATGGGTGAACATACTATAGAATGAAACATAATTAAACTCATTAGATAATATGTCAACAAAATATTATATGAATTTATATTTATAATACATTAAAATTAAAATATGTCATTTCTTCATGTAACACATCAAAAGTAAAAAAAAATAAAATATATTGAATAGTATTTTTAAATTCAATTTGGACAATAGCACAAAAAAATAAAATCAATTTGGACAATTTCAGTTAAAACACTAAGTGTTTTTTTTTGTGCGACTAATAAAATTAACTTTCATTTATTTAAAAATATACCATTAAACATGTTTTGTATCTTGTGTCTATTGTTATCACATGTTCGTGTGGCAAGATTATTTTTACTTGAATAATTAAATTGGTCAATGGTGCAATTTTCACTTAAAACATTTACATCACTCTTGCATCAAGTATCTTGTAGGAACCTCTTCTTTTTTGAGCTTCTCTTATAAAAGAAATCAAATCAAATTTTTTAAATAAACAAATATTCATAAAACAAAATTTCTATATATAAAAAAAATACTTGAATGAGTTTTTACTTTTAAATAGAAGGAATATTTCAACAAAGTTAACATAAATATTACCACGTTAATGTTGAGCACGAAATGTAAGTATAATATTATAACTAATTTTAACATTTTTTTTAATTAAAATTAGAATTTTCTCTCGATAATATATGTTAAAAATGTTAACACTAATAATTAACATGCTGAAATTAAAAGTCATCATATATTTATTAAAGTAAAATTATGATTATTAATTCTATTTACAAAATAATACTGCCGATACTAATAATATTATATTTAAATTTTATTTTTAAGTTACTTGCAACCATTGTCAATCTTTTCAAATTTCAATTAGAATTTGGGTGTTCGAGGTATTAGTCTAATGTTAATATCATCATCACACATATATATTTCCTTTTTTAACATAAAACAGGGTTCACAACTCATTTATCCCCACTTATTGGGACGATGCTTCATAAACACAATTTTGGTAGATACTTGGGACTCAGTGACGTGGATCTATTTTAGATATTTAAAATTTAGAGAGTATTTTAGGGGAATAAACTATATAATAGTGTTAAAAGATAATATGTTTGTTGAGTAATTAATGTTCCTTTTAATTGCATCTTTTACTTTAGAGCAGTCAATTGTTGGAGCACACAAATGAATATGGAGGTAGTTGCTCTCAAGAGAGGAAAAATAAAAAGGTAAAAGAATGAATACTGAATAATATTCTCTGATTTTTTCTCCCCAATCATCACATTAGGTGTAGTGTAGTGATACTATCCCAATGCTATAAATACTAATTAGCCATCAATCAGAACAAGTGAGCAAACCATTCACTTCATCACTTTTATTTACATTTTCTGTGGAAACGTTTGATCACTCTCAAGAAAAGAAGAGATGGACAAGACTGGGTTGAAACAGCAGGCTCTCTTCATGCGAACTTCACTCCTTCATGAGGTCTTTGCAGTTCTTTTTCTTTTTCTTTATTTATTCTTCTTCTTTTATATTGACTGAAACTATAAAGTAAGGAAATGACTAATATTTTTAAATTTTCATTATTTATTTACATATTAAATAATTATCTTTTACGTCCCTCAAAAATTAAGATTTTTGCATAAAATAAAATTATATAGATTATATCTTTTAATTTTTCATCTTTAATTTAAATTGTTGCCAATTTGACTCAGTTCAAGTATAAACTAAACAAGTATGCTTTACACTTACACATAAACATATAATTCAATTAATTATGGTTCATTAACGTTTAAACATTATTAATTTTTATTTAATATTTTTCATTTTTATTTTTCTATCCTATCTTATTATTTACTACACTTATTTTCTGTATAAATGTATACACCTTTATGAATTTCTACAAGACATTTTCTTAATCTGATATTGATATACATTAAATTATTATTTTATCTTCCGAATAATTCCCAATATAGCATTTATTCTATTTATTATTGTTGTTTTGAACACCGCAGACAGCCTTTTCTTTAATTTTTCTTTTGGATTGACTATCAACAACGGTCTAATCTATGCTCCAATTTCAGGAACGTAATCCAACCCGTTGACCTCTGAAAGATTCACGTAACCTATGATAATTTATAGATTTACTTACAAAAGAAATATGATATAAAAGGGAATAAATGTTCCTTGAAATTATGTAAAGAAAATCGAAACTTTATCCACATTTTTACATGTAAATAAAAATTCCTTGGGACATACATAATTAATAGCAAAATTATTACCGATAAAAAATATATTAATTATTGTATATCTTAAGCTTCATAAAAAGATTATTAGTTATTAATTATCAAGCCTACTGAATAATTAAAAAAAAGCTTATAGTGTATTATAATAATTTACACAGGAATATATAGGAAATATGTAGATATATTATATTACACGTAAGGTTAAGTAAGTCCTACTAAATACGTTTTGTCAGACCACTTGAACATTATTGAAAATAGCCGTGAAAAGGTTAAAATAGGCATACAATAATTTTAAAAAAATGATTTTTGTAAATATTAACGTGAGATAATAAAAGATTTTTCCAATTTAGTTGTGATCTGTATTTTTAGAATAGCTGTGGATAAAAATAATTATGAATAATTAATATTTTATCTTAAATAATAAAAATTGTACAATAATAGCTTGCATTCTTGTTCTGCCCTTGTGAAAATGATCATTAATCTCCTTAAGCAATTTCCCTTTCTTTCTTTATTTCTTTTTTGCAATATTTTCCTCTGAAACATGTTTTATATGTTCATGTTGTTGTAGGGCTACCTTGACGAGCAATTCATTCAGCTAGAGGAATTGGAAGACGACGTTAATCCCAATTTTGTGGAAGAAATTGTGACCCTTTTCTACAGCGACTCTGTAAGGCTGATCTACAACATAGAACGCGCACTGTAAGTGCATAGTATCTCCATGAGAAATCAATCACTAAGCTATTATCACTGTTCTCGTAGTGACTCTAGTGTGCCACACAGGATCACTAATCCACCCAATTTCACCAAGCTAGACGATTACATGCATCAATTCAAGGGTAGTTGCTCAAGGTCAAATCCTAGCTTAATTCTGATTAATTAAGAATATAATTTTCATTTTTCCTTAATTAAGATGTTTCAATTCAAGGGTACTAGTTGAAATTACTATTAAATTCTCCTTAACGGAAATCAAGCGTTTAATCATTTGCTTGAACATTTCAATTTATTGACAGCATTGGAGCAAAGAAGGTGATGAATGAATGTACTAGATTCAGTGAATATTGTGCAGCAGAAAACTTCGAGGGGTAACATATTTTTACCTCCTTGCTTCATTTTTTTTAATAATAAAATAAAAATGTATTTTAATACATTTGCTTATTTATTTTTGTAATAAAAATATTAACACGCTATCAACTCGCAAATTTCTTCTGACCTCTCTCCTACTGAGTTTTTTTTTTACCCCCCCCTAATATCATGGGTGATTATAACATCGTAAGCACACCCTTTTCAGATGCTTCAGGACTTTCCAACAAATCAATCTAGAGTATACGACTTTGAAGAGGAAGCTCGAAACTTACCTTCAGGTATCACTTTTAGTGTCATTTTCAGGTACCATTGATGATACGCACACATGTATATGCCTTTCTGTCATGTCTACTGTACAACTTTGTTATCATATAAAGACATTCATATCGTCATTATTATTATTATTACGCTTTTATCTTTAATACGATTAGGTGAAGGAAACGATCGAGTGTTAATTTAGTTATGTTTAATTTTCATCATCAACTATAGTCTTTAATCATTTGCCTTGTGTGTCTTAATGTTATTCAGTTAGCAAAGGAAAGCAGCTCAAATTAGATGGTAATCACATTGGGTGTTGGTATCCTATTAGAAAGGTCGTTCAAGCACACCAGAATACTGGACCAATTAGATCGAGCACAGTGATGTACTATACAATAAAAGAATAATGATATTTAAATATATTTTCTTTGAATAATAAGACAAGAAAAGTATACATATTACCTTAAAGTATTTGTCGTATCCTACCAAACGAAAAATGATCATTGTTACTTGTTAGGCTTGTTCTTGATTAATAAAAAAGATTATTATTGTAACCATTATAAGTTATGTTAATAAAACGATATATTAATAATATATATCAAATTTTATATTAATATAATTAGTCATTGTATATATTAATTCATACTAATAATACGATGTACTAATATATATCATCTTTCCAATATCAACGAGATTGGTCATAGCAAATATTTATTTGCCAGTCAAAATTATATCAACGCGCGGGACAAGTTTAATTACTAATATTAGTTTGTTTGTGAAGATGCTATTATTTTTAGTATCTTCACAAACAAATAGGTGTGTATATATATATATATATATATATATATATATATATATATGAAAAATCCATAATGTACAAAGAGTCAAGTCCATCGTCGGATGAACTGTTTCATATTAGTTTTATATGCCTAAAGCTTAAAAGCAGCATTTTCATCTTAAATTATAATATTTTTCTTTACATAAAGGGAAATATATTTTTACTTTTGATTTGTTTGAACAACCCAAAAATACGGCTGAGAGTAATTGCATGTGTATAATGTAAAAAAAAGTAAAGATTTCATAATATTTCTAACAACTATTAAAATATCTCTCATTTAAGGTAATTTATTTATTAAATAATTTTTAGAAATGAATTAAACTTAAGTTTTTATTATGTTATTAAAATTTATTCAATTTAAATGTTTAATTTTATAAATTTTTCACATTAAATATCCAATCTTAGACATAATTAAAATATTTTTATAAGATTTTAGTTATTATTTACTTATAAATTAATTTTTAAAAATGAATTAGACCTAATTTTTTAGTAAAAAATTTATTTGAGCGATGTTAAATCCTTTTTAAAGATAGCACGATTTGGCTTGCTATTGCCTTGCTTGGGTGGTTGTGTTTTTTTTTAACGTGGACTTTGGTATTTGTCTTAGTAAGTTGTTATTATGCAAAACACAAACAGGGGATCAACATCCTCCATACGTTCCCCAAAATTATGATTTGTAGGGTAGGTTTAGCTATATAAATATTTTCAGCTACATAGTTGTTTTTTAAAAAAAAATTCATATTTGCAATTAATAAAATTTAACAAATTTGGGAACTAAATTATATTTTTAGTAAAACATGAAATGTAACTTTATTTTTAGTTATTATTATAATTTAGATTATTTAACTATTTTAATAATTAATTTATATATTTAATAATTATAAAAAAGTGCAAAAATAAATTATATATATATATAAGGATCAAAATATATATTTAATATAAAATTAAAAATAAAAATAAGTCAGATGTAGAAACTAAAATGTATTCTAACCAATATATTATTTACGTTTTGCATAAAAGTTCCTTATCTTCAAGCCTTAAAATCACTGCAAACCCACTCCAAGCTGTTTCGAACCTCCATCACCCACCAAATTAGCTGTCAATATCACGTATAGAAATATTTACACCCATCGTTATATATGATACTTCTTAACTCCATGATTTTGCCACTTCAAACTTCATTTGACCATCTCTGACTCACCACAAATTTCCATTCTCGCATCTCACCTTCCATTGCAAGTCTTTGCTTTATCTGATCTAATACTGCTGTTTAGTTCTCTTTTCTTTCAAGAATGATGCCTTTGTGTGAAAAAGCTTTTTTTTAGCTCTGTTCAAACTTCAAAGCCATTATCATCCCAGTGTGCCATTATTCACTTTTTTTCTTCGAGTACAACTATTGTGCCTAACAATTTTTTAGCGCAGCTTCTAATATTTGTTTAGCTTTGCATTACAGCTGCCAATCACCAATTCATCTTATCCATCAAAATGCTCACCTATAGGCACTACTCATCTACATGGCTGTGTTGTTCAGCTATTGTTTAAGACTATTTTGCAATTGTTTTATATAATCATTAGTGATTATTTGGACCGTTGATGTCTTAATTTTTTATCCAACGACTAAAATTACAAGGAGGATCTAAGCTCCCCGTTTCCATTCCTTTTAAACCCTATCAGTGTCTTGTTATTGATAGTTTATATACTAGTTGCGAAGTTTTCTACAAAATCATAGACTAGTGCTAATTAACGTTGTCACTTAATTTACTGTTAATTTTTTAAGTATAATAATTACGATATATTTCATTTCTTTTAACAACATCCAATTTTCTTTTAGAAATTTAATTATCCATTAATTATGTCAAATTCTACTAGTACTTAACTTTAATAATTGAAAAGGGATAACTTATAAAAAAATTCAGGTTTAAAAAAATTCATCTTTGTATGCTGTAATTTCTTAAAAAATTATTTAAATAGCTTTCTCATACAACAACATTATCATATCCTCTTTAATATCTTATTTTATTTTGCGTAGTCTCACATCAAATAAGTAGGTAAGCACTCACCTCGTTTAACAAAAATCTTCAACCGAGAGAAATATAATCTGGACTTGTGTTTCAAGTAAGACTTTAATAATGGAACACGCAAATATGTTAAAAAGTGTATTAAAATAAAATGCTTTTATAACGAAAATAGCAAATCCACATGCTCATTCCCTACAAGCTCGGTGGAGCTGAGCTATTCTTGCCATCAATTATGTCAAATGACAAAGATGATTACGTTACAGCGCGATAAAGGGCGGGCGTGACTGTGGAATACTGAACTATCGTTTTCACTGCTACCTAAAGTTTGTGGCTCATTCGTGATGACACTTTGAGAAGAACTAAGATTCAATTGCTACGTATTATTATAAATTTTAATTTAAAAAAGTTATATATGTTTTTTTAATAATTATGCGATTTTATAATTTAAATTTACTTATTTAATTTTGTGTAATTTTTTCATATTATATATAATTATTTTAATAAAAAATATAATATTACGTTATTATATATATATATATATATATATATATATAAATTATTGAACATTTGTATAAGATAAAAAAAATTCATTAAATAAAATTTTATTTTATTTCTCTATTTGTTCAAATTATATGAAATTGTAAGACAAATGTTATTCTTACCGCAACCAACTCTTACTTCGTTCACTAGATTAATAATTCAACCTTTGTATTAAACATAAACTTTTTCTTGCATTTACTTTTTTCTTTTATTTAATGTGTCATTTATCATTTTTTTTCTTCTTTCTTCATGGGCATAAATTATAAACTAACGTAAACATTTTTTTTTTAATTTTAAATGCTTATGGGCGATCGGGTGCAAGCTTCAAATTTAGATATGGCCAGTAATCGATTCGACGCCCAAGTCCATAGGAAAAAAGAAATTTAGATACCCTAATATCCACTTCAGTATCTTCTTGCACTGCTTAGCTTCCGTGAATAGTTTCCCACATCTATCTTCACTTAATGTTTTGCACTACTTTTGGTTGCTTGTGTTCTATGTATCGTTTTATTATGGTCATCATGTTTGACGGTGTTTCATCTTTTGTTTACGTTCGTTTCTAACACTTTTTACAGTGATAGTTTTCGACAGTGTTTCTTCGTCTTTGGATTGCTGACAGTCTATTCTCGCTTTAATTCATCTGACCAACCCACTACTAATCGGACAAAAACAGTTCAAATTGTTAAGGATTTAGATTACTTGAGTTATAGATTTGTAGTTCCAAACCCGACTGTTGTGCAACCCTACTTTCTTCCCACCTAATTCATAAACGTAGGTGTGAAGTACCACTTTCCTTCACAATCCGTGACAAATACCATTTCATACTGACCACATAAATTGGAGCACTAGCATCCCTTGCCGTCTTTTCTTCTTCTCATAATCATCAAGTTACTCTCACTTGTCTATATATATAATCATTGCATCCTCGCATAGATACTACCCTTTACTAATCTAATTGCAATTGCCCAGTTGAATGTGTGGAAATGAAAATATTTGTATTTTTTTAAAAAGAATTTATGCTATTAGTTATAGTATTAAAGTTATTATTATTTATTTAGTTTAGAGTTTAGGGTGTAAATCAATCTATACATATAATAAAAGTTAATTCAAAACATCTTTTTCCATAAATCATATTATAATTCGTATTGATAATCATATCATTTCAATATAAAAGTTAATTACGTTTAAATTATAAATTATTACTAAAATATAACATTATTCTAAGCAACAAACGTGCATGTCCACAGAGAGAAATTGTTTGCATAATATTTAGTGTATGTTTAAAAACACATTGAAAAATGTGTAACATAAATTTACTATTAAAATTATAATTAGCAGTATTAAAGTAAATATGAGTCTATAAACATTTAAATGTGAACCTAAATACACACTTGATCTTCTTCCTTTACACATTCTTGATTGTTTAATTATATATATTTTGCAACAATAAGTACTTTATCAAAATGAACAAGTAATAATAAGAACAAAAATTATAGCATCATTTTGAAAATTTAACATCAAGCTTGTAATATTATTAAAAAGAAATTAGCATTCTGCTATTTAGTGTTTTTCTTCTGGTTTAGAGACCTACCCCTAGTTACAGGACTGGGGATTAGGACTTAGATGAAGATAGAACACAATGAGTGAGGTCAAGAAAGGAGATTAATGATTAGAAAAAAAAAGAAAGAAGAAAAGTAGATGCGTAAGTATAAATAGATGATAATTTGTGAGTGAAAACTCAGTTAAACGATTGGTTTGAATTAAATTGATTTTATGAAAATAAATTGATCCAATTTAATCAAATATTATTTTTAGCATTAAATTTTTAATTTTTTTCAAAATTATGATTATTTTTTTTTTATTTCAACATTTACAATTTATATTAAATTAAATTGACAGAAACATCCTAATTTTAACACATACATACATTTTATTGGCAGATCAGAATCTTTTTATGTTTTAATGTGAACATGATTTTCATGTGCCTGTATTTTTGTATTTTTATTTTAAAAAAATTATTCGTTTAAACAAAAATATAAAATATGAAGGTGATGTAACATGAGAACCTGATTATTTATCGACAACTTACATCATAGACAGCTGTTACTAAGATTATAAAATTTTGTTGTGCTTTAAGGTAATAAGAAAAGGCCTGAATCAAAGTTGATACCCCCACACAAGCCGTTTTTTTATGTTGTCATCCCGAATCTTAGTCCTACTTACATAGGGGGGAAAAGTGTGTTACTAAGGAGTGCTTCAAAAATATTATCCAAAACATTGAATATTTTTAAAATATGAAAATATATTAAATATATTTTTAACCAATACAATAAGAATACACGTTGATATTTTTTAAAAGAAATATATTTTTGAAATTATGAGAACAATTTTTAAAACATGAATTTGAGGGGATATTTACTAAATAAGTTTTATGTTTTTATACTCATCTTTGTTTACATTTAGTTTTTACTTTTTTTGTTTTGCTTTTTCCTATTACATTATCAATTATGCTTTTTACTTTTTTTTATCCCTCACTTTTTTACCCACATTACATGGAAAAAGTGAGTGTGAACATATATTAATAATTATACTTTATTAAATTCGAGTGCGACATAAATGACATTTTGGGAACATTAGAGGATAAGAGGAACCGATACGAGAACAGACGGATAGAAAAGAAAGGTGTACGATAATGCCGCGTCCCATTGTAGTAACAGTTACAGTTATATAAATACGAATAGATTAGATTAGCACAAAATCGAATTACATGCATTATTAGAGATACTGGGATAAGGCTATAAGGGGGAACCCAGCTAGCAATACACGAATGAAGCAGAAAAGAAAAGAGAGAGAGCATTCTTGAGCTGGTAACTTCCCCATATTTGTGGATTATTTGTTCCGAATGTTTCTTTTCCACAGTCACAGGTGGTGCCGCTTTTAACCTATAAGTTTGCTTCATAGGAATTTCCAAATGGAAGTTGAAGCGGGTAAAGGTGTTTCTAGTTGTGGGAGAGACCCAAGTGCGGAACTGGATGATGATGGGAGAATCAAAAGAACAGGTATATATATGCTTTTTCTATCTATCATTCTCTGATATAATGTTACTACTTAGTATTATGTGGATGAGACTCATAAGTGATGTGAAATTTTACAGTAATTGCTCCTAGTTAGACATGTTGGGCATGAACATCGGCAAACTACTCTTCATTTTGAAGGGGAAAAAACTTGAGAACTATTTTTTTAAGAAGATGATGAAAATAACAATTAGAAACTCTGTTTTTGCTTTATAGATTTGCTGCAGTTGTAATATTATTTTCTTCCATGGATATATATCTCAAGGGTGGTTTGAGGACAACCGATATCATGTCAAGAGAGTTTCAAATCGATCTATTATATATCTGTTTAAACATAAAAAAAAATAATATTGAGTTTATTTATAATATTATATATAGTTTGTTTTTTTAATTTTTACCTTAACTTTTTTTATACACACGTAATATACTTTAAAATTAAGAGACAATTTTCATTGTCCAAATTTATTGTTCACAAAATATTTTTTCAGTTTTAAAACTCAAATTTATCGAAGTATTTCTTCGTTGCAGTGTCATTATATAAATATTAAACAAAATTATCATATGGAGTATTATATTTTTTTTAATCTATTTTTATCTTTTTAATATACATCCATCTTAAAACTATTAAAAAAATCATTATAATCTTATTTTATTATTTAAAAAACATTTTCCCTCTTTTCTATGCGTGTCTATACAAAAGATGAGTATCGTGAGGCGATAGATGGGTAAAAACATGCCGATCCTTTGAAGAACAATTCAAGTTTTGGCAGCAAAATTATTCATTAAAAATTTACTTTAGGGTGTATCTTACCAAATATAAGGGAGTCTCTGATTCTATTTAGTTTGCTTTTATACAAAATGTCATTTGAATTTGAACATTAAAAAAATATGTATTTTGATTTAGATCAATTTATTTGGTTTGCTATTTATTATTATTTTATATGCAAATTTTAATTTTTGAATTATTTATAAAAATTAAATTTTAATTTTAATTTATATTAAAAAGTATTATAATTCAATAAGACCGAAATGTGAAGTAAATTTCTTGAAAGAACAAAGGTAAAAAGACTTAATTAAAGATTTTTGCTATTTAATAATGTTTGGACATTAATAAAAAAATATTTTAAGTTCATTGATAAAAAAAAAATTTAGATAAAAAATTTAGACCTCAAAGATAAATATATATCTTTGAAGTTTAAAATTTCTGACGTTGGGATGGTTGCTTGCAGGGAACGTGTTGACGGCTACGACGCACATAGTAACGGTGGTGGTAGGAGCAGGAGTGTTGGCTCTTGCATGGGCCATGGCTCAGCTTGGATGGATACCTGGCATCTCCGTCATGCTCATCTTTGCATGCATTTCCATTTACACTTACAATCTTATCGCTGATTGCTATAGATATCCAGATCCAGTTAGTGGCAAGAGGAACTACACTTACATGCAGGCCGTTGATGCATACCTTGGTATAATTTATAAACTTAATCTATTTGCAGTCCTGTATATCATTAAGACTTCGGTTATGTGAAAGGCAACCCTTTTTAAATTATATATGATAATTTCAAAACAATTTACGCTAGCCATCAATCGAAATCATATAATCTGCATAAATCCATGGCCAATTTCAAGTGTTTTAATTAGTTCCATATTTCAATTTAATAATTAGGTGGAACAATGCATGTGTTCTGCGGATTAGTCCAATATGGGAAGCTCGCTGGGATTACAGTGGGGTACACTATAACTACTTCTACAAGCTTGGTGTAGGTTATTACATTCATAAACTACTACCATTTTACCTAGGTGGGTGATTGTTTGTTCTAATATGCAAATGAGATGACGGGTTCCAAATTTTCAAATATGCATGTGGCAGGGCTATTAAGAAAGCAATATGCTTCCACAAAAGAGGCCACAAAGCTTATTGCAAGTTTTCAAATAATCCCTACATGATTGGTTTTGGGATGTTGCAAATTTTATTGTCTCAAATCCCAAATTTCCACAAGTTAACTTGTCTTTCAACCATTGCTGCTGCTAGCTCTTTTGGTTATGCATTAATTGGAAGTGGGCTTTCTCTGGCTGTCGTGGTCTCAGGTATGACTTTAACCTATATTTTCTTCTCAATTTTGATTCTATATATGACTAGAAAAAGTCACTAATTTATTAGAAGTTTGCAGCAGTTATTAACGGTCTCAACATTTACCATTCATGCATCAGTTTCCCCTGAATCCCCTGCATAGAAGGGTGTTTTATAATGAAATTTGCTTGACAGTTTAGTACCAAATTGTGTATGTACCCTACTGAGGCATTTTGGTTGTGAACAGGGAAAGGAAAAGCGACTAGATTATTTGGAACCAAAGTAGGGCCAGAACTATCTGAAGAAGAAAAAGTTTGGAGGGTTTTCAGCGCTTTGGGAAACATTGCACTTGCTTGCTCTTATGCTACTGTTGTTTACGATATAATGGTAGAAACACACTTTATCTAGTTATAAAATTATTGTATTAATAAATTAGCAAGAAAGAGATAGGCTTAGCTGCTTTAGCAAATTGGAATTATCAGCCATTCCATTGAATTTGATTATCTCTGTGCATTATTTAGGACACATTGAAGTCATATCCACCAGAAAACAAACAGATGAAAAAGGCCAATGTGTTAGGAATCACAGCAATGACTACACTTTTCATCCTATGCGGTGGCCTTGGCTATGCTGCTTTCGGTGATCACACACCGGGAAACATACTCACTGGCTTTGGATTTTACGAACCCTTTTGGTTGGTCGCCCTTGGGAATGTGTGCATTGTAATCCACATGGTGGGGGCATACCAGGTTGGATACTCTTATTCATGAAATTCAATGTCGGACATCCAGTTACTTTAGAATTAAAATTGAATAAAACTAATCTTAATTATTTGTAGATTATTGTATAATTAAGATTTATTAATTTCTTGCAAATAATTCTCGCAGAAGTATGAGCAGTGAGAGAAGTTAAATTTTGGTTATATTACTGAACAAACATTCTCATCTCGTACATGATACACTTTCTATTCATACGTGTGTGTGTGTGTGATAAATTATAATGTCTGATTTGAGATATCAATATTTTGGGACAGGTACTTGCTCAACCACTGTATCGTATAATTGAGATGGGTGCTAACTTGGTGTGGCCACGTTCAGTTTTCATAAACAAGGAATACCCAACCAAAATGGGCACTTTGACATTCAGTTTGAATTTGTTTAGGCTAATTTGGAGGACAATATACGTGATAGTGGCCACAATTATTGCCATGGCAATGCCGTTTTTCAATGAGTTTCTTGCCCTGCTTGGAGCAATTGGGTTTTGGCCTCTCATCGTCTTTTTCCCTATACAAATGCACATTGCACAGAAACAAATCAGAAGACTATCATTGAAGTGGTGTGTGCTCCAACTATTGAGCTTCGTGTGCTTCCTTGTTTCAGTTCCTGCGGCCGTTGGTTCCATTCGTGCAATTAGCAAGAATATCAAAAAATACAAACTTTTCATGTATAAACAGTAGACCGTTTTCCACATTACGATCATCGTTCACGTTTGAGATGTGCCATACATTCATAGATGGACATAAAACGAAATGAGACAACTTATAATTGGGCAGTGAAAATTATGCAGATTTAACATCATTCAACTAATATAATGCGTTGGGTGGTACTCATACGAATTTTTTTTCATTTTTTTTAAATTTATAAAGTAAAAAAGTAATAATTTGTCTATTCATGATTTAAAGTTAATTATATTGAGAAATTTTTTATTTAAATTAATGATAGATAAATTTTTATTTTCTTATCTTATATATTTTTTTCGCTTTAAAGGAGTTGAGTCCTTTTTTACCCATTCATGCGTAGTGATTCAATTATTTAATATATTGTTAGTTGATAACTATTTTTTAGTAATTACTATTAAAACTAATCCCATATTAATATTAATTAATCATCTAAATCTATATATTAACTGTGAATCATCGTTATTAAATAAAAATAATTATTTAAATTTAAATTTAAATTTAAATATTTATAATTTATTTATTATTTTCAAAAAATATTTGTATAATTTAATCTACCGGTTGTGAATGAACCAAGAGGGCAAAGTAGATAGAAAGTGAGGATCAAAACAAGGCACCGAGGAAAATTCTAAAAGGAAAGTCGCAAATGCGATAAAACAAACACTAACAATATTTATTATAAAATATCAATAGTAATTGTAATATTTATATGATAGTTAAAGAAGTCACTTGAGACGAAGAAGCAATGGTTCTCCTCTGATCACTTTTATGCCATTTGTGACACATTAATTATATAAAAATCCATTAAAGATATTTTGGTTTTCTGTCAAACACGAAACATATAACAATAATGAAAGTAAGAACAAGTGATCGAATGGGATCCTGGAATATTGGATTTTTGTAATTGGAGATGATAAATATTCCCAATCCCACTAACAATGTTCACAAAATTCTGAGTCAATGACATATTTTATACTGACCGTTCTAATTGCACGACTATGTCCCACCTTTGCTTCTTCTCCTACAAAATAATGTTCCTCTGTTCAAGCACTGAGCAAAGATTTGCTGTAATCGAAAATTTGGGCATTCATGCGGTTATGTTAATCAAAATTATTGAATAAATATCAGATAACTCAAATTTTAAAGATATGTTATAAATTAGTCCTAATCTAACCATTCGAACTTATGTGAATGTGTGAATTACTGAGAACCACAAATCTGACTTTCCATCAATGCCACCACTTTGACTTGCTTATAAATATAATCATTGCAACTCTCCACTAAATTCCTATTCCTCTCATCCAACAGTACTGGCGACTTGGACATGTGAGAATGAAAGGATTTATACACGTGAATTGCATAAGTTAAATTATAAGTAATGTAATGTTAAATATATATTAACTTTAAATACTTTAAATTATAAACATAAATATTTATATATTAATAAATACCGATAATTGAATAAAATTTTAATCATTTTTACACTATATTATAGAATTTTAAAATTTAATATTTATAATAATAACAATACATTTTTTATAGATAAATATTTCTTTATACTTCAACTATAATATGAAAAATTCTTATTTAAAACTAATAATAATACGACTTAATTTTGTGTATTTTATTGCTAATAACATTTAAATAAAAATATGGCTATAAATGAGCATGCATACAAAATTATATGAAATTATCTCTTAAGAATATTTTATTATAATAATGAATAAAAATTTAGTAAATATATTTAAATAATTAAGATTATAAGATATACGTGAATATTTTATATAATTAATGATTTTTTTTTTTTTGCAATGCTCATGTATTATTAAATTTTAAGAAATAAATAGTTAAAAACGTATGGTATGAATAATTAAAATTTTAATAAATTTTAAAAGGGTAAATATTATAATTAGTAATAATAAATATTTTTTAATATAATTAAAATTAAATAATTATATAAAATATAAGTTAAAAATAAGTTATAAAATAAATTTTTAGCATTAAAAAAATCATTTATCAGGAAAAAATTTACTCCTAAAAATGTCTTCATTTGATAAAAATTTTAAAAATATTTTTTTAAATATATGTCCTTACATTTTTTAAAGAAGTAAATTTTTTGTACACTATATGAATATTATTAAATTTAAATAATTTTTTAGAATAATTAATTAGAACATATTATTTGATTATTTTTAAATATAAATAATTTAAAAAATTAAAAATAAATATTATCATTAATAATAAATATTTTATTATATTAAATAAAAAATAATTTTTATCTTAAAAATAAAATTATGAAAAATTTAAATTAAAAAATGAATGCTTTGTGCAAAAGAGATAAGAATTAATTTTTTTTAAAAATTATTTGTAAAGGTTTTAAGAATTATTTTTGTTTAAGAATTAATATTTACAAATTATATATAAAGATTGATAAAAAAAAATTCTCTCTTTCTTTGTTAATATATAATTTTGACATGAATGATAAGTAAAAGTTTTAGTATATAAAAGTATTTATAACTATTACTTGTTATTTTTTTAATATTGTTTTTTAATTCAACTTTATAATTTTTAATGACTTTGTAAAGTATCCCTTTCTCCTGATCCAACAACTTTTCATTGCCCATCATCTATTCTGCTTTTTAAACTACAGTCTGGTGTTTTATGATTAAAATTGATTTTATTTAAGTGAGCTTGTGAATAATATTTTTATGAAAAAAAAGTAATATAAAAAATAAATATTTTTTTATTATATTTTATAAGTTAAAATTAATTTATACTTGTTTATTTTTATGTTATTTTTTAATAAATTAAAAAATAATTTTTAACTTTAAAAAGTTTTATTTTTTATATAATTTTTAAAATAATTTATCAATTTGACCATTATAATTTTAATTCTCTTCTCTTGTTAATATTTGTGAAATATAAGTTCATTGGAACATCTTTCAAAATATTTTTACTCTAATCACCTTTGTTTGCAGCTTCGTGCGGGACTCTAATTTCGTCGGTGGATAAAAGGTTAATAGCAATAAAATCACAGCGATTTGACAAATAAGAGACCAACTGATCAAGAGAACTTATTCCTCAGTCTAATTCCCACGGTGCTTAGTGTCAATAATTGAATTTAGTTAATTATCAGATCAATCAAAGATAATCGGCAAATCATGTAAGCTGTTTAAGTTAAATTTCTTATAACATGTATTTACTATTAACATTAAAAATAAGAGTTAAAAATAACTTCTTTAAAACACATTTTAAAACTCAAGAACTAAAATGAAAAAAAAAAGATGAAAAAAGTAAAATAAAATTAAAAGTTAAGGAATTAATATATTAATTTAACTTAAAAAAATCAATTAAAAAATAAATTTGACAATATTTTTTTATCATTTATAAAAGATCAGCTTAGAACCGTCAAACGACCAATTTTCACTGATTTGGTTGTTTATTGACTAGTTCCACGTTTTGTTTACACCAATTATTGTGAGCTAGTTTTAGGGGCTCTTCAACAAGTTACTTGGCCAATTCTTGGTCAATTAACCGGTCGGATTTTGGAAGGTATCACTTCAAATTTAAATTCATCTTTCAAATGTCTATTTTCCTTTTCAACTAGTCATACGACTTTCCCTTTCTTGAATTTTTTATTCCTCAACTTAATTAATATCAATATGAATTAAAATTTTAAAACATCATTTCAAACTAATACACAAAAAATTAATATTTCTAATTTATAACACCAAACAAATGATTCAACTAGTCTAAAGTTATTTAAGCTTAACTTATAATCCTATTTGATTTAATTATGATTTTTTCGTGTGTTTAAAGATTATAATAAAAAACAATAAATAATAAATTTTTGTTAAAAAATATAATATTTAATATTCATATTATACTTTTTCCCTCTTTAAATAGGTAGTATAAATAGCATGGAGAGAGTGTCGGGATGGGCGTAATTGAGAGAAAAGAGAGTTATATGCATTAGGGATACTGGGATAAGGACGAAACGAGCAATATTCGAACGTAGCAGAGAAAAGAAGCATTTTGTTGCAGAAAATCAATCGAGCATTCTCTTTTTTCACACGACTCTGCTCACTGATGTTTTAGGTGCTGCCTCTTCTAAGTTACCAGCTTCCTTCCTAAGGTTGTGACTTACGAGCAGGGATCTCAAAATGGACATTGAAGCAGGTAAGGACCCTCCAATGAGAGTCTCAAGGGAGGAAGTGGATGATGATGGGAGAGTCAGAAGAACTGGTACGTTTTCTCTATCTATATCCCTGTCTAATATAAAGTTTCATCCGTACTCCATTGCATCTCATTTTTCCTTCTTAATCCATACACAAAATAAACTTGACTAAATGCTCCTGATTAGATCCATTTGGTATGATAATCCGCAAACTACTCTCCATTTCTTACTATCAAATCATGCCGTTTGAAGGAATTTTCTTTCCGGAAAACAAATCTTGTAAAGTAATAATATATATATTTTTCAGAGAAGACAAAGATATCAATTAGCAACTGTGTTTAACGTTTTAGATTTGCTGACTTTTTAATATTAATTATAAGTTGAAAACAACTTTTATCTTCTATCGTAAATTTTAAAAAACAACATATTCAAAAATTTCGGTGGATGCACGTGAAGGGTGATTCTGGGATCGTGTCTGAGGATTCCACATCGAACATTAATAAATTAATATACTTGTTCGCTAATTCGTGAATCTGAATGCGATTGGGTTATTTACGAAAACATATTAACACTTAACTTGAGATATTCCCTTTGTGCGTGTCCACAGGGAAGACTTAAAATTAAAGTTGATGTATGTAGAGTATTTAAGTACTAACACATTTGCATCAGAAGAAAAATAAAAAATAAAAAATAAAAACTCCAAATTAACACACATAAGCCTTTTGTGCAGTAAATTTATCTATTATTAATTTAAAGTTAATTGTGTTTAAAGCATACTTAAATTGCTGTTCACACACTTCTCATAAAACGATAACTTCACACACTTCTTTTCTCTTTCAATTGCTGTTCCTGTTTCTCTTTTCACACGTGGCCTCTCAACATGTGGTTAGTTGGGCACCCTCATGCGCGGGGCTCTCCTAACTTCCTTATTATTCGAATCTGTCCAATTTCTATAACTAACTTTTCTCCTTCTTTAATTCTGACTTGGTGTTGCTTCCGCCCATTCCTCACCTCTTCTATTTGTTTTCTTATTTGCCTTTTCTAATGTCATAACATTATCCTTGTCAAACAATTCATGTTCTTACGTTAATATTACACGTTAAGGATATATTTAGAAATGTTTATCAACACATTATGAGAATGGTTTACGACTCTCGTAAGCAATTAAAAAAATTATTTTAAAAAATATTTTTTATAAATTATTTTTAACTTATCTTAATAATAAATTTTATGATTAAATTTATAATAGAAGTTATAATTTTGAAATAATTTATTGAACAAGTATCTAATTAAACTATGTATTCAAGGGTACTTTAAATATTTATCTTGAGCTTTGCCTTACTTACGATTACGAGCTTCGACGTTCATTACCTGTAGATTTGCCTTAAAAACTGAAAGCAGTACGCACATTACAAAAATTTGGAATCAGATTTGTTGAAATATTATCATTTAAAAGGGAGTTTTCACTAAAATATTCAATTAAAAGAACCGATAAGATACACGGCAAATTCGAATCTTGAATTTTTTGTGATGCGGAGCAAATGCAACAACGTACATGGATGTTGATAAGCCGCTTCTGCAATATCCCTTTATTTTATTGTAATGGTAAACATTTAATACAACCTCCTTTTAAGATCAATTATTACAGCTAAAAACGAAAGCTCAAATTCATGAGAAATAATACACACCAGGAAAAGATAAATCAAAATTCATACACGTATATGCTTAGGATTGGATTCTTTTTCACGAAACTGGTCCAAAGAATCAACTGTATTGGCAAGCTGGTCCATCCAAGGAATCAACTGTATTGGCAAGCTGGTCCAAGGCATTAGGCACCTAAAGTTTTCCACCAGCCACGTTCTGTATCAAAAAGAAAAAATAACCAAACACGTCCTATCGCTTCTTGTGGCCATGAAATTCAGTTTGACACACTATACAAAAAGACGCTTCTATTCTGTTGCACTAGTCACTCTAAAAGTAAAACGCCAAGCCCAACTTCATTGTGGATAATCTTCCTAAGTGGATAATCCCCAGATAGTGATAGTTGAGTGGGTCGTGGACGGTCTCTATTACTCACTCTGGGTAGGGTTTGTATTACATGAAGTTGTAGTCCATTTCCCCCGTTTGGGCAAGTTGATCCGTAAAACCTGCACATTGAAGACTTTTGTCCTAAGTTTACTGACTAACCCTTTTGAATTGTTTTAAACAATTAAAATAATAGACAATCGGCATTGTCATAGGAAAAACATTTGGGCCAATTCACAAATCAAGCATTTTGACAAAGAAAAAAGGGTTTCAGAGTGGTCTATGAACCGGTCTCATTAACTGCAAGCTGATGAAAGTTTATTAAATGCATATTCATTTTAAATACAGGAGTATGGCAGTTTGTTCATTTAATCGCGGGCTTATAAAGATTACGTTGGATCATTCACATATCAATTGAAACTTGTTAGACAACTCTCCCTTATAAGGAGAAGTTAAGCATTTTCTCTAGGATTTTTGTTAACGTTAATTCTTAGTATAAAGTTTTTATTAAAACATCAATGATATAAGTTACTTGCATTCTTTTTATGAAATAATTTTTTTGTTTCTTCAAGTTTAAATTTGAAAAGTGATGTTTATAAAACATTTTTTTTAACAAGAATGAACACAGTTTTGTTTAAAATCAGCATATTAAATCTAACAAATAATAAATTTCATGATAATACTTTTAATATAGAGACTAAATCAAAAGCAACAAATTTGATTATGCAACTCTAATTCATTGCCTCTTTTAATGGATTTATTTAGTTTAATTTTGATTAATTAAGCTTACTTATGGTTAAATAAAATTTCAAGTGTTCCATAGAGAGTGTAGATGCAAAATTTTACAAGTGATTGTTAAAAAATTAAAAATAAATGTCATTCATCGTATAATCGTGGCCAATTTTTGGCAGCCTTATTAATCTAACTTGTATGTTGTGTAACACCACTACCACAAGAATCCGAAAATCATTCTCTTTTTCCTGTATGTTGTGTAATTATTTGTTTCTCACTGAAAAAAAAACAATTTGTAAGTCCTTAAAAATAGAAAATACCACAAAAACAAAACAGTAATTTTAAAAAAATAAATAATTTTTTTTAAATCCAACCGCCAATATTTCTTCAAGCAACCATGTACATTCTTCTCTGGTTCGACTTTCACCAAAATAAGCTCAACAATTTATGTGGGTTGGGATGGTTGCTTGCAGGGAACGTGTTGACGGCTACGACACACATAATAACGGTGGTGGTAGGAGCAGGAGTGTTGGCTCTTGCATGGGCCATGTCTCAGCTTGGATGGATAGCTGGCATCGCCGTCATGCTCGTCTTTGCATGCATTTCCATTTACACTTACAATCTTATAGCTGACTGCTATAGATATCCAGACCCAGTTAGTGGCAAGAGGAACTACACTTACATGCAGGCTGTGGATGCATACCTAGGTATCATATATATGCACATAACCCTATTTAATCTAATTCAATTAACAGGGTAAACATTTTTTACACTATAACCTATTCACATATTGTTATGTTATTAGGAATTTGATTATGTGAAAGGTAAACCTTTTACTGATGGAACAAAGCACGTGTTTAGCAGAAATTCATAGCCTCGTGTGTTTTAATTAGTAGCCTATTTCAAATGTAGTACTTACTTCCATGTTTCCATTTAATAAATTAGGTGGAAAAATGCACGTGTTTTGCGGATTGGTCCTATATGGGAAGCTCGCAGGGGTTACGGTGGGGTACACTATAACTAGTTCTACAAGCTTGGTGTACGTTACTGCATTCATAAACTATTACCATTTAACCATTTACTTGCGTGGCTAATTATGTATTCTAGTGAGCAAATGCGATGATGAGCTCCAAAATTTCAAATATGCATATGGCAGGGCTATTAAGAAAGCAATTTGCTTCCACAATAGGGGCCATGCAGCTTACTGCAAGTTTTCAAATAACCCCTATATGGTAGGTTTTGGCATCGTGCAAATTTTGTTGTCTCAAATCCCAAATTTCCACAAGTTAACGTGGCTTTCAACCCTTGCTGCCGCTACCTCTTTCGGTTATGCATTCATTGGAAGTGGGCTTTCTCTGGCAGTCGTGGTCTCAGGTAAGACTTTTCCAATATTTTTCCAGAAAGCTCTCTAAAGTTAATTCCAAAATTTTAATCTTATAAATTTCCAGACAATGTTACTAATTCATTTGAGGTTTGCACCATTTTTTCCAGGGTTTCCCCTGAATACCCTGTTTAGAACAGATAAGTTGTCAAATAACAAAATCTCACGTTAGTTGATACTATTTAAAAGGCACATAAACAAAAATCACAAGTCTAAACTACTGAAGTTTTTCTTTTCTCTTTTTCATTCAAGCCACATTCAAATCCTAATATAAATAAAGAGTTACGCTAAACATTACGAATTGATAGATAATTAACGGCCAATCAAGCTTAAGAATTGTACAATACGAAATTCATCTTCGTGTCAGAAAGCATTTCTGATAGATAATTGTATAACAAGGATTGTGTATTTACTTTAGTAATGGGACTTGTCGGCAGGTAAAGGAAGATCAACCAGTATATTTGGAAACAAAGTAGGACCAGAACTATCTGAAGAAGAAAAAGTTTGGAGGGTGTTCAGTGCTTTGGGAAACATTGCGCTTGCTTCCTCTTTTGCCACTGTTATTTATGATATAATGGTAAATAACTAATTATACCATCATTATATTAAGAAAATAGAAGGTAAAAAGATAGACTTGGCTACTAGATGTATAGCAATTTGAATTTGATTATCTCTGTGCATAATTTAGGACACATTGAAGTCATATCCACCAGAAAACAAACAGATGAAAAAGGCCAATGTGTTAGGCATCTCAGCAATGACAATACTCTTCCTCCTATGTGGTAGCCTTGGTTATGCTGCTTTTGGTGATCACACGCCGGGAAACATCCTCACTGGCTTTGGATTTTACGAACCCTTCTGGTTGGTCGCTATTGGAAATGTGTGCATTATAATCCACATGCTCGGAGCATATCAGGTTCCATCGTCTTATTTACGAATCTCTCTCTCTCTCTCAATATATATAATGTCTGAGCACTAGAATTTGTATTACGTCAAAATATATTTATATAATTACCATTTTGTATCCAGTTTTATAATTAAGATTTCGAAAAATCTTTAGATAGTTATTTATTTGAGTTAAATGATCTTTTAATTAATTCTCTTTTAGTTTATTGATTTTGTTTAGTTTAGTATTGAAATAACTCTCAATTTTGTTTTATTAGTTTATAAGAAAAATGAATTCAGAATATTTTATCAAACTAAATATGAGGAATGCATTTAAAAGTCTAATTACATGCAATTCACTGAATAATAAGTTAAAAAGAGTGCACGATTAATAATATTTAGAAGAGTATATAAAAATAATTTATGATTTCTATAATTTTTTAAATAATTTTTAAGTATAAAATTATTAAAAATGTAATTTGTTTTAATATATTCTATTATAAAAACCATATATAAACGTTCATACACTAATTAAGTTGTTTACACAAGCTTTCCCAAAGTACGTTATCTAATGCGAGTAGATCAACGTTCATGTGACAGGTGATGGCTCAACCACTATTTCGTATAATTGAGATGGGTGCTAACATAGCGTGGCCGCGTTCAGATTTCATTAACAAGGAATACCCGATCAAAATTTGCTCCTTAAGATTCAATATAAGTTTCTTCAGGCTAATTTGGAGGACAATATACGTGATAGTGGCCACAATTGTTGCCATGGCAATTCCATTTTTCAATGAGTTTCTTGCCCTGCTTGGAGCAATTGGGTTTTGGCCTCTCATCGTCTTTTTCCCTATACAAATGCACATTGCACAGAGACAAATAAGAAGACTATCATTGAAGTGGTGTGCGCTCCATGTGTTGAGCTTCGCGTGCTTCCTAGTCTCAGTAAGTGCAGCAGTTGGTTCAGTTCATGGAATTAGCAAGAATGTCAAAAAATATAGACTTTTCAGGTATAAACAATAGCCAGGTCACATTTGGTTGTAATTGCACATTCTCATGTCTCACATTTGAGATGTGTGAATATATATCTATATAGTTGGGCAGAAAATGAAGCGGGACTAATGAAAATTATCGTAATGTAAAAGGATAAGTGAACAACATTATTCCCTGTAATATGTTGTAGTATTGTGTTTGTTTTCAAAAATAGATAGAATCTGTAACAATTAAACAGTTTGATAATGGGTCGGAAACTACTCATATAAAGATTTGCTTTTGGCTCCCATAACGCACAGTAAATAAATTATTTTGTGCTTTGTTTGTTTGACAACTATCTTCCGGTAAGTAATGAATGCCAATTAAATAAAACGGTGGTTAGTGGCTGTGTGGTGGATGTCGCAGTCGTGGTTTTGTTTGATGATGAAAGAATATGGGCAGAGTGAAGATAACTAAAATCCATGGAAGTTCGGTTTGTGGTGGCTTAGCTTGAACGTGGCTGCGTTGTAGTTCGGCGACGATGGTTCTGACTTGGTGACAAAGGGGGTTTCATGGTATATACATCCACACATAAAATTTAATTGAAATGTATTATTTTTATTATATTCATTTAATTATAAATTATTCTTATCAATATATATATACCTTTAAAAATTGATATCATATACAAGTATCTTTAATCATTTTTCATCTGTTTCCTATACATCCATCTTAGAAGTACTCTTTAAAATAATGAAAATAACACTAAAAGATGTATCATTTTATGTGTATAAAAATTTTCTTTCTTTATAAAAAAACCTGCCTTAAAATTGTGAACGTAAAATTAACTTTCATTAAATTTAAGAGATTAGTTGAATCGGTTAAAATAGTTTCTCATATATGAAAAGACCAGGTTGCTATTTCCTTCCTCGACATTTTTTAGGTACAAATTTTTTTTCACCTTTATTAATGATTATCTTTTATTTTTTTCAGTAAATATAATTTATTTAATATAAAAAGGAGGGACTGTCACATAACTGTTCAAAACTACTAATGTGAATATTCAGTGTTTATATAATTAATGATTGTAAGTTTTGGTGATATAAAAAATTAGCATATACTATCAATACATTAAATGTTAATTAATACATTATTATTATTATTATTATTATTATTATTATATTTATATTAATAGTTAAATTTTTTTAAAATAAATATTATACTACTAGATGCAACCGTGATATGCTAGCAAATGAAACTTCTATTCTTTTTGCACTGCACTAAATAATATGTACTTTTAAAAATTTATAACATTTAAACATAATCTTTAAATAAAATTTTTTAACTGAAAATGATATAAAAATGCATTTAAGTGAATAGTTTAATTAAATGCATTCAATAAATTTTATTATTTGAAAATTTACCAGAATTGATTTATTCACAAACTTATTAGAATAAGTTAAAACAAATTACTTTGATTTATAATACAAAAGTCTTATAAATCTAAGAAAAAATTTATAAAAACCATAAGTTATTTTCATAAATTCACTGTAAGCTCTTTCATTTTCCTTAATATAAAATAATTATAAATAGTCTATTAATTAATATTTTGATTTAATTGTATTTTCAGTCTTTATATTTTAGTTTATGTGTAATTTTAACTGTTATTTTTTTCAATTGATAAAAATAAGTTTTTCAGCTTTAAATTTATCCTATAATTTTAAAAAATATATAATAAAAAATTATTTTATACAAATTTATATATAAAAATTATAAATAAAATAAAAATAATTATATTTTATTTTATTTAAAAAATTATTTTATTTCATTTTGTTAATTTATACAAATTAATGATATTCTACATCTTTATAATATTTTTGTTAATAATTAAATAAAATTTTAATTAATTTAAATTAGTAAGAAACTTAATTTAAATTAATTAAAATTATAAAAATTAAATATGAGTAACTTAAATTTAAAACATAAAATCATAAATAAGTATAGAAATTGAAAGCGTAATTAAACTTAATATTATTTATTATTTATTTATTTAACAAGTGGAGACAATACTTGAAGTTTATGCATTTAATACTCCTAAGAATTTTAAATGTTTCAGTCTTTTACTATTTAATAATAAATACTAATTTTTAGGCTACGTTAAATTTATTTTAGTTTAATAATTTTTTTTGTTTTTAGTTTAAATTATGTATATTTTAATTCCTTAGATTTTTGAATCAATCAAGTCTTTATTTTTAAAAATTAAGTAAACTTTGTCTCATTGTCAATTTTTTTACTAAAATTTTCCATATTCTCAGTTTCTAATAAAAAAAATTATAACCTAAACCAATTAAATTATCTTAAATATTTTTTAAAATTTAATATCAACATTTATATTAAAATAATCAAATTTTCCTCCTTATTAATTTTCATTTTTCATTAATATCATTTTGTTTAAATAAAATATTTATTATATGTGAGTAGTTGAAGAATAAGAAGGAGATTCACTGACAAAGAATAAATTAAAAGGTTGTGTAATTAATTCTAAAAAATAATTAAATTCTTTCAATCTATATAATTCTTTGTTTAAACAAATTAATAACGACAGAGATATTATAGAATTAAAAATTTCTTTGAATATCATTATTTACTAAACCTTTTACTTTTATAATTTTAAATTTTTTATATTTCAAAGTCATCAGAAATTCTAAATACTTGAATTTATTTTAAGTAAAAATAATAGTAGTAAAAGTAAATTATCTTAATTAAAGAAAAATTAAAAGCCACAAAATTAAATATTAAAATTTTGCCCAACTCAAATTAAAGAGATAAGAAACTACAATGAAATCATTTAAGTATAGAGAGAGTCATTAAAGACAGTCAAATGTAGAGGAAGCGTTACCAACAGTGGAGTCACATTTTGTTATGAAGGCATTGGCATAAAATATGGCATTCCCCGTTATAAAGGAAAGTGCTTTATACTTTGGTAGCCATCTTTGAGGAATGGAAGTGGAATCCGGGGTTAGTCCTGCAGCTTCGAGTGCTCTTCTTGACGATGATGGAAAACTCAAAAGAACTGGTTTCAATTCTCTTTCTTTTCTCTCTCTAAATTTCCTGCATGTAAAAAATATTTTCGTTGATGAATTCATGAAATCAATTCCTTTCATCTCAACTTTGACTGTAATTTTGTAATTAAAATTGATTTTACTAAAGTTAATGATACTGAATTTTAAAATAAATAAACCCCCTTTTAGTTACCTTATCATGAATCATGCACGTCCCTCTCCTTTATTTTCCAATTTTTTAAAATAAATTTTAATTAATAATAAAAAATATGTGAGAGAATTTTTATTTTTTTTTAACCAGGAACAGTGTGGACTGCGAGCGCACATATAATAACGGCAGTGGTTGGAGTTGGAGTACTGTCTTTACCATGGGCCATGGCCCAATTGGGATGGATCCTCGGCGTAGTCTCAATCTTTTTCTTTGCTTTGGTTACCCTCTACACTTCAAATCTCTTAACCGATTGTTATCGCTCACCCAATCCTGTTGGTGGCAAAAGGAACTACACTTATATGGACACTGTCCAAACTCACTTAGGTGCGTACCTTACCAAATGTTGCATCACAATATCCAATTTCGCTTCTAATTATTCTTTTTAACCATAACTTCAATTAGGTGGAAAAATGCATGTCTTTTGTGGATTGGTCCAGTTAGGCAATCTTGCTGGATTTACAATCGGTTTCACTATAACAACATCTATGAGTGTCGTGTAAGTTCTTTTACATTAGCAATATTTAATTGCAACATTAGATATGAAGAGTAACTATAATGGTTCAGAACATATAGTTAAGTAAAGTGAGGTTTTCTTAATATGATCAAAATATCATATAACATGTGAGCGCTATACTGAATTATTGATACAATTTCATGAAATATATATATAGTGGATCTGTACATGTCATATCTAATGAAAATTTCATAAAATAACTAGATTTTGTATACTCTAATTATTGTAAGGCTATCATCATTCCAGCGTGAATTAGGAAATTTAATTGTGTATTTCAGGACGATACTAAAGAACTATTGCGTTCGCAAGAGTGGGATTGAGGCATCTCCATGCCATTTTTCTAATAATCCGTACATGATTACTTTTGGAATCATTGAAATTGTTTTGTCTCAAATCCCCAATTTTCACAAGTTGTCTTTGCTCTCAACCTTAGCAGCTATCGTGTCTTTTGGGTACGCATTCATTGGTATTGGACTTTCTCTTGCAACAGTTATCAAAGGTTACGTGACTTACTTTCACTTTCCTTCTCATTATTATATATAGATATAGATTTTAATTGACCTACTTTGTATTATTGTACACTATTTTATACACATATACAAGCGTTCGCACATAAAAATACACATGTAGACATTTTTTTTTAATTAACTGTCAACTTAACACTGTAAGATGAGTGTTTAGATTAATTTATTTTTAGAAAAATAAATATTTTTTTTTTATCTTTCCCTTAAAAAAAATCACAATTTATGTGTACCTAAAAATGTATTAATAATATTTTTATTTTTTTTACAGAATTTAGCACTAAACTTTGTGTCCTTTTTAGATGAAGGGTAATAATTTTGGATATAACTCTACAAGTATATAACATTTGAAAAATACGACGCTTATCAATCCAAGTCTAGGCCACATACAATTAGTAACGATGATAAAAAGTTTATTTTTAACGGCTAATTCTTTTTTCATGAATCTATTGAAAATGAGAGTTTATATTTGGAGAAAGAACAGGTAATGGAAAGAGTACCTCTTTTTTTGGTGGCATGGAGCATAGTTCAGCAGACAAATTGTGGAATATGTGCGTCGCACTTGGAAACATTGCACTTGCCTGTGACTATGCTCAAATTGCGATTGATATTCAGGTATATGTGACATGTTACAAATAAACTTTTTTTTTTTAACTATGTACTGTTATTTCTTAGCACGAACTTTATAAATTTTATGATTTATTAACATTTAAACATACCACACACACCCCTCACCCCGGCTCGTTTTTTTCTGAACATTTTTCATTTAAGCACTTTAGACAAGCTATGTTGGATCTTAGTATAAATTTGTGTTATATGTTTTCCGGTCCTTTTTGAAATGATTGCCAACTGAAAGTCAAGTTATTTGCATGAATGCTGTAGTGGATCGATGTAATTAGTATAAACGATGATTTCATAATTAATGGCGCTCAATTTTATTAAAAACATTTTCGAAAAATTTGGTTTTAGTTTACACACATTCGATAGTTCTTTTTCCAATTATTTAACCAGTCAAAATGTTTCAGGACATCGTCTATAACCAATAATAATGATTATATATACTTATTTGAAGAAAATATTTTGATACTAGAGATGATTGATGAACTAGCTAGAGATCTATTGCATCATATAACATTTTCCTCGTGAAATGAATTGATATTGTGTAGCTTGAATTTCCTTTAATGAATATGCTAAAATATTAATAATTGTTCGTATTTGTGAACAAAGTTGCCTTCTTTTTAAGATGGAATTAATCATGTCTAAGTTGGATATTTCAGCATTACACTAAAAATGTTCATAATTATATTGGTCTAGTTCTGACTTCGTCTGATTTGAAAAACAGGATAGTTTAAAGTCATCACCACCAGAGAATAAAGTGATGAAAATGGCAAATAGGATAGCTATATTCACGATGACAAATATTTTCCTCTTATCTGCATGCTTTGGATACGCTGCATTTGGGTCAGACACTCCAGGGAACATCCTCAAGAGCTCGGGCTTTCAAAACCCTTTCTGGCTTGTGGACTTAGCCAATCTCTTCATTATTGTGCACCTAGTTGGAGCATATCAGGTTCTAACACATTGCTTTTAAATTCATAATATCATGCCCAGACTTATGATATTGATACAAAAACCTATACTTGTAAGGCTCTTTTAAAGTGATGAAATGCATGTTAAAGCACAGTGTGTAATTAATTTTATTGCCGTTGATTAGAAAATTAATGATTGAGATTGTATTAAAATTATATACATGTATAATAAAATATGTTGTTACAATCTGAACCATTGATTATCTGATAAACAATTATAAGTGCATTTTTTTTAGTGCACCACCTCACTTTAGAAGTTTTGAAATTTCTAATTTGTTGCTACTTATTCAAAGTGCTAACCGTTGCGACCTACTTTATCTTTGAGGTAGATTTTAATTAGATTTTACACGGACTATGATTTTGTTTTTTTCATCTTTATGTTACAGTCAAATGGAAACTGATGTTGAGTAAATTGTGGACAGGTAGTGATCCAACCTTTTTATCGTATAGTTGAATTATTGGCTGGGCAAACGTGGCCAAGCTCAAGCTTTATAACAAGGGAGAAGCTCGTAAGCATTGGCAAAATTAAATTCAGCATCAATTTCTTTAGGCTAATTTGGAGGTCCATCTATGTGGTGCTTATCACTGTATTGGCCATGGCAATGCCCTTTTTCAATGAGATGATTGCCCTTCTTGGGGCCATTGGCTTCTGGCCTACAGCAGTCTTCTTTCCAGTGCAAATGTTCATTGTCAGACATAATATTAAAAAACTATCGTTTCAATGGTTTAGACTTCAAATGTTGAGCTTTGTGTGCTTGATTGTATCGTTGGTTGCAGTATGTGGAGCTATTCATGGATTAAGCCATGCTCTTGGTAAATACAAGCCCTTTATGTATAAGGAATAGTATGAGACTATGCTTGTCAGGAATAAACGTGACAATCACATATATAAAGTTATATGCATCCTTTATCTCTCTGTCCAATATTTATTTATTGAAATAGTATGTCCTCGGGAATGTTATGTGGTTATATATATATATATATATATATATATATATATATATATATATATATATATATATAACTGTATATAAAAATTTGATATAATTATTAACCCAAATATAAAATGCATCAAAAGGAAAAAAAACTAAAAAACCATTGAAATTGAACAAAAAAAAACTCACTTTGTTTTTTATTTATTATTTTCTAATCTTTGATAGCTAAACTGAAATTAAATAAATCTTTTATCTCTTATTATTTGTTTTTTAAATCTTAGATGAGTAGCTGGTAAAATTTTGAAATTTGTAAATTAAATTTATTTTTAATTAAAAGTTCTAAACACATAATCATAATCTACACTCTCTTATAAACCATGCTCTCTTAAAAATCCCAAGCTCTTCGCCATTAAAATCCTAGATTGTTTGGTGAACTTAAGAAATCGAGATTCCTTTCAATGTATCCTTTGGCTAGTGAATTCCACTTGTAATTTGTAAACAAATCTTGGATGAAGAAAGCACCAGTCATATCATGTAGAAGAAACACCCATTTGAGAACTATTTTTTCACGGGACTGAGTGAGTGGAATTGAACAAATTTTGTTTTGCTATTTACCTTGGTTTCCGACCTGTCATAGAGTTGTCACTTTTTTTTTTTTTTACTTATTTACTATATATAAGCTTGAGATTGTAGAGTAGAAGAAAAAATTAAAATCAGGACAAACCTAACTATACATTTCAAATTCGTCCTTTTTCAATGATTTTAGTTGTTAAAATGTGCAAATAAAGTTTCATATTAATTAAAATTAAAGAGGATCAATAGTATATAAATACAGTAGATCTTTATTAATATGAGGTGTTTTGAATGATATTTTATAACAAAATGGACTTATTTTTTTTCTCATAAATATTTGTTAAAAAGTTTTTCTAAAATGAACTTCAGTAACAAATCAGCAAATGAATTGTGTACTCAATACTCAACTAGATAAGGTAACAAAATTATGAGAACTTAATCTTAAAATGAACATTATCAAGTATTTTAGTGAAATATTTCTCAACAAACACTTATGTACTAGATAGGGAACTGTTCGGTCCTACATATAGAAAAAAGAAAATTGAGTACCTATTCGGCACAGTTTGACAGAATACCTTTTGTCAGGATTAAAAGGTAATTAACCTAACTAAAGGTAATAATCAAGACATTATCTACTTTAAAGTAAAGGGCCAAAACTCAAGGCTGACTCAGCAGGCCCATTAGCCCATAACAATGCCTATAAAAGGAAGGTAGGAAGTACATGTAAAGGGTTGACTTTTCATTATTAAATAACATTTATTGCTCAGAACTGAATCTTGACTTTAGCATCGGAGTGCCTTTTGTAGGTACCCTTCTCACTTCAGCGACATTTATAGGGACGTTACCGCTCCAGAGCAGAGACTTGAAGACTAATGTTTCTCTAATAGAAACATTTTGGCGCCCACTGTGGAGCACGATTTGTCTCATTTTTTAAGAGTAATCGTTGTACTTACAAGAAGCCAGCAAGACGGACAGACTCAGCAAGGCGGAACCTCTCGGCAGCAAGAGGATATTACACCTAATCAGCCTATTTCCGAAGTTTTAATGGAAGGAGGTGGTGACGAAAGCCTCTTTGCAGTGCCGATTCCTTATGGTGCACAATTTTCCCCACCTCACTTCGAGGACCAGCCCTAAGTTGGTTCACCCGACTCCCTCTTCATCTATTGACTCTTTTGCAACTCTCACAAGACAGTTTAATTTACAGTTTGCCACAAGCCGACCACACCCGCTGACATCCCTGACACTCGTCAACATTCGTCAGGAAAAGGGAGAATCACTGAGAGCTTTCATGGAACACTTTGGCAAAGTGACCCTTTCAATTCATAACCTGGAACCAGTCGTGGCTATGCACCACCTCACAACAGCCCTTAAGATAGGGTCTTTCGTTAATAGCATATGTAAAAAACTACCCATGGACTTGGATGAGCTTCGTAGTCGGGCTGCCAAGTACATGCAAATGGAGGAACTAGCTGAATATCAGAATCAAGTCCAAATAGACCAAGGGTCTAATTTTAAAGAAGCAGACAAGAGAGAATATTTCAAGCCTCGACAAGAGACTAAAGCCAGGAGAAATGATGTTGAGAGGCCCCATGGAAGTTTAAAATATCCTGAATATACTACTCTCAACACCAATCGATCTAGAATACTTGACCAAGCTCTAGCAACTGAAATATTGAGTATGTCAGGCGTGCTAATACCCCCCTCGGGTAGACAAAAGCAAATCTTGTTGATATCACCGTAATAGGAGCCATACCACAGAAGAATGCACGACTTTGAAAGATAAAATCGAAGATTTGATTAAAGAAGGACATCTTCGAGGATTTGTACAAGCAAATCTCACTGGTCGTGCTGAAAGAAGTAGAGATCGATACCCCCAATCCTCAAGAAGGTATGAGGATAAGCAACATGAGCGACAGCGGAGTCAGTCAAGAGAGCTTCCTGTAAAACGATATGATGAGCGAGAAAAATACCCGAAGAGGGTTATTAACACCATAGCCGGTGGGTTTGCAGGCAGAGGACCCACTCATTCCGCTAGAAAGAGACATCTCAGGCACGTTCGCTCTATTAACAATGTTTCATTGGGTAGCAGAATCCGAATTCCACCCATCACGTTCACAGATGATGACTTTCAAGGAGTGGATCCGGTACAAGATGATCTCATGGTTATCAGTGTGGACATTCTCAATTGTACTGTCAGAAAAACACTCATTGACCAAGGAAGTTCAACCAATATCCTTTACTGGAGTACATTCAAACAATTGAGCATACCAGAAGAGGAGCTTAGAGAATATCATGAACCGCTGGTCGGCTTCTCTGGAGAGTGAGTAGAAACCCGTGGATGTATTGATCTATACACGTCATTTGGGTCTGAACATGAAGGAAAACGCATCAAGATTACCTACCTGGTAGTACATGTGAATACCTCCTACAATATACTGCTCGGCAGGCCATCTCTCAATAGATTGAAAGCTATAGTGTCTACTTCGCACCTGACCATGAAGTTTCCCTCTGAACGGGGCCAAATCGTCATAGTTCATGTTGACCAGAAGACAGCGAGAGAATGTTATTTCGCAAGCCTGCGTTTCAAGCCGCTCCATGAATACAGACGAGATTTTAATATTGTAGCTCCTCGGTCTGCAGAGGATTGGAAAATTGAACTGGATCCTAGAGTTGATGAAGGGTGTCGAGTAGAACCCAACGAAAATAAGCAACCTTTCCAGCTTGGTACGAAACATGAGCAGGTCACTTATCTGGGAGCCGATCTATCTGCACAAGACAGGCAAGACCTTCAGAAAATATTGCAGCATAACGCCAACCTATTTGCCTAGTCCGCTTCTGATATGCCAGGTATTGACTCTGCATTTCTCTACCATCACCTATCGGTTTATAAAGGGGCCAAGCCGATAGCACAGAAGAAAAGGAATATTGGAGGTGATAGAGCAAAGGCGGTAAAGGAGGAAACTGATAAACTGTTACAGGCTGGCTTCATCCGAGAGGTTAGATATTCCACTTGGTTGTCCAATGTAGTTATGGTTAAAAAGGTAAACGAAAAATGGAGAATGTGTACAGACTTCATTGACCTTAACAAGGTGTGTCCAAAAGATGCGTACCCCCTTCCAAACATCGGTACCTTGGTGGATGATGTCGCCGGTCATAAGGTACTTAGTTTTTTGGACGCATACTTAGGGTATAATCAGATTCGAATGTATCCTCCAGATGAAGAAAAAATGGCATTTATTACAGATTCGAAAAATTTCTATTACTGGGTAATGCCCTTCGGTCTTAAAAATGCAGGGGCAGCGTATCAAAGGCCTATGAACAAAATTTTTGACAAACAAGTCGGGAAATGCATGGAGATATACGTCGATGACATGGTAGTCAAATCCATGGCATTAGAACAACATCTTGCTCATTTAAAAGAAGTATTCGTTGAAGCTCGGCAACATGGGATGCGGTTTAATCCAGAAAAATGCACATTTGGAGTAGCCGGCTGCAAATTTTTAGGCTTCATGCTATCGAGAAGGGGATTCAGGCAAACCCTGATAAGTGTCAAGCTATCATTGACATGACAAGTCCTCGGAATGTCAAAGAGGTCCAAAGTCTTGCCGGGCGGATTGCGGCCCTTGCCAGATTTTTGCCTGTAATGGCGGAAAGGTCTTGGCCCTTCATTAATCTACTTAAAAAATCTCAAAAATTTGCTTGGTCTAAAGAATGCGAGGAGACCTTCCTCCAGTATAAAAGTATGTTAGCAGCACCGCCTGTGTTGACAAAACCAAAACCCAACAAAGATATAATTATCTATTTAGCTATGTCGGATAGTGCCATTAGTTCAGTCTTGTTGCAAGAGATACCTGAACCGGCCCCCGTGTATTTCATCAGCCGAACACTCCAAAGTCCCGAAACTCACTATCAGCTGATGGAAAAAGTGGTGTTGGCTCTACTTCATACAGCTCGACGGTTAAGGCATTACTTCCAAAGCCATCGAGTGGTAGTGCGAACCGATTGCCCAATGGCCAAAGTTTTGAGGAAGCCGAAATTAGCTGGTCGGCTAGTAGCATGGACAATTGAGCTATCCCAATATGATATCCACTTTGAAAATTGACGCCCTCTCAAAGCCCAAGTACTTGTAGACTTCCTAAATGAATTTACTGCCCAGAAACAGGCCACAACCGACATGTGGAACCTGCATGTGGACGGATCCTCCAATCAAAAGGATAGTGGGGCAGGAATCATATTAGAGGGACCAAACACTATAATTATTGAACAATCCATTCGGTTTGAATTCAAGGCATCTAATAATCAAGCTGAGTACGAAGCACTCCTCGTCGATCTCAGATTGGCAAAAGAAATAGGAGTAAAATGCATCATTTGTTGGAGTGATTTGAAGATAGTGGCCGAACAGGTTAATAACACATATCAGGTGAAGGACTCAGTCATGCTCAAGTATTACCAAGAATTCAAGAACATGGAGAATGATTTTGACGAGGCATTGGTTCATGCTTGGTAGGAGCTCAGAAGAATTAGAATCAGTTGACTCAGACGATTCGGCTTCGTCACTACATTCTCTAAAGTGAGTCTCTACTTCTTCATTTACCCCACTCGGTCTTGAAGAAAATTTCACCCCCTTCGGTTCCCTCAAAATTCTGACCGATACTAGTCGACTTAGATGAGTTCGACAACGAGTCCTCCCATTTCAAGGATTCGGCCATGATAAAATAAGGAAAGGAGAGAAAAGAAAACTAAACGTACGTCACAGATAGTCGGTTCGGAAGAAGGAGAGAAAATTTGAATACCCTTCAATTTGGAGCAACAGTATGTACTTCTCGGCTCAGAGAAAAAGTGGAGAATAAGAGACCTGGACCACCATGTATTTATAGGGTTTAGGTTCCTCGGACATATGAAGAGTCGCATCCCTTCCAAACCGACAGATCTCTTCCAAATCAAACGGTTGAGATCGAACACCCTTTTGTTTCGTATACACACATCGAGGAAACCCTAAAAATTTTTGAAACCCTAAAAAACCTGAAGTTCTAGAATGATCTTTTTTATTATTTATTGTATTTTATTTTATTATGATTTTTTTATTTTTACCTCTTCGGTCTACACCACTTTTTGATAAACCGAATACCCCTTCGATGCATACACCCCCTCATTTTTCTGTACTTAAATTGAATACCCTACTCGGCTTACTTATGTTGCTTAAACCGAACATTCCCCTCGGTATTCCCATCCATCCTACCAAACTGAGTACCCTCTCGTCTACATGTTCTTGGCACCTACATATTATTAAGCCCTTGCCTCGTACCTCTTCAAACTTGGGAGACTAGTGTACTGGATAGGGTACTGCTCGGTCCTACATATAGAAAAAGGAAACCGAGTACCTATTCGGCCTAGTTTAACCGAATATCTTTTGTCATGATTAGAAGGTAATTAATCCAACTAAGGGTAATAATCAAGACATTATCTACTTTAAAGTAAAGGGCCGAAACTCAAGGCTGACTCAGCAGGCCCGTTAGCCCATAACAATGCCTATAAAAGGAAGGTAGGAAGTATAAGTAAAGGGTTAATTTTTTATTATTAAATAGCATTTATTGCTCAGAATTGAATTCTGACTTTAGCATCAGAGTGCCTTTTGCAGGTACCCTCCCCACGTCAGCGACAGTTATAGGACGTCACCGCTCTAGAGTAGAGACTTGAAAACTAGTGTTTCCCTAACAAAAATAACTTATAAAATAACGTAAACTAAACTTTTTTCTTAAATTAAAATTAATTTATATATCCCAACTTATTATAAAGTTAGATAAGAGAATTAAAAAAAATTAAAGAATTAAAAAAATTAAAGTACATAAGTTATTTTTAATTTATAAGAATAATTTGAATCATTTAATCTTTTAATTTTTTTTTTCTCATAAATACTTGTTAAAAAGTACATAAGTCCAAAATGGACTTCAGTGTCTGGTACTCAACTAGATAAATCGTTTGCAGACAATGTAACATATTTTCATTATGTTGCGTCTCATGTCAAAGTCAAACCTTGGTTGCTTATGTTTATGAGTGTACATATGCTGTATAAGAGAGGTGGAGTAAGTTGAGTTGATAGAGGACACAAAATGGATTAAATTGAGGCATTCTTTAACTCTGGCTGCTACTTGAAGTGGAGTTGTTCTCTATTAAAAAACATTGGAACTCGTTTGTATTTGCACGCATTGCACATAAATATAAAACATCTATATCGCGCGCGAATTCCCCAAAAAAAAATCCTGAGGTCATATTCCTTCTAGATTGGAGCACTTATTCTAGTCTTTAACAAGTTGCGACTAAACAATCAAACAATTTAGCATCTTCCAATTAAGAACTAAGAACATTATTCTAAGACACAAATAATGAAGTGGAGTTGGTTGATAATAGCAAGCCTATTTGTCAAAAGTCTCACCAGTTGTGGGGTTGGAATGGTAAGATCAAACCAAATTGTAAGAAGAGTCTCAACATAGTTATTATTCATGAGAGGTAAATTTGAAACGCATGCACTCTGTGGGCGATATTGATATATTTATTTATTGCTAGTACCATCGACGTAGGACTTACAGGAAAATTCAAATGGCACGTCCAATTATTATTATTATTATTATTATTTTATGTATTCGATTGTAAATATGAGGAATATAAGCTCCAATCTCAAAGGCTAATGGAAAGAGTACTATGTAACATGCATAGGGTTAAAGTCACTTTTGAATTTGATTCATATTTGTTAATCAAGAACGAGCACGAGTATCTGACCAACTATGAAAAGTTTTCGTTGAGGATTTAATTCGAAAGGGAGACCCTTCTAGTTTAAATGGTGTAGGGCATTGAAAGTTTGACTAAGCAAAACATGTAGTTACCCACTGCTATGAAAAACACCCTACACTTGGAATATATTAATGAAATGGGAACTTTCCTAACCACTACTTAGGCTAGACATTAACATTGCCACTCATCTCAGTTGCTTTCATGATTGTCTCGTGAGAATTGTCACCACCCGGGATCATCAGAAAATTTGTTTAGACAATATTGGATTTGATGTTATTTAAAACTTTAGTATTTGGTATTGAGTTTAAGTATTTAAAAATAATATTTTTTATTAAAAAATATTTATTGTACTTTTCTATTTTTAATATAATAAAAATTTATTTCTTTTCAATGTTTAAACGGAACCTTTTAAGTTAGCAAACAATTAGAGTTATAAAAATTCACCTGTAATTATAAAATTTGAGTTTGGCCCCAAATTTTCATGTGTATGAAAGTATGAGGTTATATACAAGCAAATTGTGCAATTTTTCAAAGTTGGTGAAATTTTTCGAAGTAGTTATTGTTGTAGGTGATCAATTTCAAGAAGGGAGATAGTTAGCCCATCCTATGGTTCAAACTTACTTTTTTTTTTACAATGTTTAAGGCCTAATTTGAATAAATATTTAGAGTAGTTATCATAGAATATTAAAATTCGTATAAATAAATAAAATTTTTCTTACAAGTTATAAACAATTTAAGTTTTGAAGTTCTCAACAATTGTGACCACATAAAACTATGAAAGAATTTTTATTATTTTTTTACAGAACTGTTTTAGAAGTTTACTAAAATTGTAGTTAGTTGCTAATTAACTGAACTTCACTATGTAAAGGGAGAATTAATGTTTAATTTTATAAAACAATATTTTACCAAAAGAATAAAATAAAATTGAATCCATGTTATACGGCAGAGGATAAAGGATGAAATATAATTAATGATTAAAAAGTTAATAATTAAAAATATAACAAATTCATTTATATATATTTAATTATGAAATTTTAATATGTTTCTTATTAACTATCATTTGTAAATTTATATATTTTTTCATTAAAATACATTTTTATGTTAGAGAGTTCAAATTCCTCAATGAAATAAATAATCTACACATAAAGGAGTGAGGCATCTCTTATGTATGATTGATAAAGATTTAAATTTGTTGAAATGGAGTAGAAATTAGGGGGGGAGGGGGGGGGGGAAGGCAAGGTTTGAATTTGATTAAAAAAATCAAATTGATAAAGAGTTTATTTAAAAATAATAATAATAATAATTTGTGTGATTAACTGATTAAATTTAAATTGTTTTGATAAAATTTGTTATATAACTAGTTAAAATATCTTAAATAAATAAAAATTTATTTAATGTAATATTAGTGTAATATTATAATCAAATATTACTTATTTTATTTATTAAATAATTTATTATAAACCATTTAATTAAATATTTACGTTTTATTTATTTATTATCCATGAAATAATTGAACAATTAAAAGAGGGGATGACATGAATCTCTTGAGTGATGAGAGAATGAGAGAGATATTTTTGCTAGGATTACAATTATTACATAAGTATAAATTATTTAAAAAATTAAAGATAAAAATATAAAAATAAAGTATCCATAACTATTAAAAGTATAAATTAATTAAATTTGCCAAACAAATCTATTAACTTGAGCAAATTACAAGTCTGGAAAACAAGGGACAAGGAAAAGGAGAAAAAGAATATTAAAATAACGATGGTATGTGCTTTGAATGGTGCAGTATTAACTAACCAAAGTTGTCCACTGGGAAAATATAGCGACGGCCAATTGATGATGAGAGATTAAGAGTCGTGTTTGAACAAAACTCCTTTAGTTTGCTTCCATCATTTTCATGCAATCGAAGATTATTGTTAGTGTCTCTCTTTATCAATAGGGTCTTTATTTTTCCTTTGAATATATTTAACCCAAATGAAGAACATAAAAGGGACACTCACAAAGCTACATCACACTACAGAGTGCTACTAAGAGACAGAACCAGCATCTTCCAATGTTTGGATTTTGACCGCCATAATATGCCGCAAAAGTCCCAAAACCGGTATTTTGAAATGACCAAAATACCCCTCTTCTTTCTCGAATTTCCTTTCCATTTGTTAATCTTGCTCAGCGTCGCAGTACCCTCCAAAGTAATTTCGCAAACGGCAAGCACCGAACAAACAATTCTACTTACCATCAAAAGCCAACTGGGGGACCCACCGTCGCTCCAGTCGTGGAAACCGTCACCGTCCTCGCCGTGTAACTGGCCGGGAATCCAGTGCACCGGCGGCGTCGTCACGGAGCTGCTCCTTCCCAATAAAAGCATCACCACCCAGAAGCTCCCTTCCGTAATCTGCGACCTCAAGAATCTGAACAAGTTGAACCTCTCCGATAACTCAATCGCCGGCGGGTTTCCGACATGGTTGTACAACTGCTCCAACCTCCGGCAACTCGACTTATCGCAGAATTACTTCGCTGGCGTGATCCCCGGCGACATTGACCGCCTCAAAACGCTCACGCTCCTCAACCTCGGCGGGAACAGCTTCTCCGGCGAAATCCCGGCTGCGATCGGGAACCTGACGGAGCTGCAAACGCTGCACCTTTTCCAGAACAACTTCAACGGAACACTCCCCAAGGAAATCGGGAACTTGTCGAATCTCGAAAATTTGGGTTTGGCTTATAACTTTAAGCTTGTGCCCAAGGAGATACCTTTGGAGTATGGAAACCTGAGGAATTTGAAACTCATGTGGATGCCACAGAGTAACTTGATTGGCGAGGTTCCAGAAAGTTTCGGGAATCTCGTGAATCTGGAACAGTTGGATTTGTCAATAAACAGTTTAACAGGTAGCATTCCTAGGAGTTTGTTCTCGCTAAGGAAGTTGAAGTTTTTGTACCTATATAGAAATAGGTTATCGGGTGTGCTACCCAGTTCGGCGCAGGCTTTGAACTTGATCCAGATTGATTTGGCTTTTAACAATTTGACGGGTTCCATACCCCAAGAATATGGAAAGTTGAAGAATTTGACGATCTTGCACTTGTATTTTAATCAGTTGTCTGGTCAGATACCCACAAGCTTAAGCCTACTTCCAAGTCTTGTGGAATTCAGGGTGTTTGGCAATAAGTTGAATGGAACATTGCCTCCAGAACTAGGCCTGTATTCGAAGCTTGAGTATTTTGAAGTTTCTGATAATCAACTGAGTGGTGGGTTGCCACAACATTTGTGTGCTGGTGGTGCTTTGCTGGGTATGATTGCTTTTTCCAATAATCTTAGTGGGAACTTGCCTGAATGGCTTGGGAATTGTTCTTCTCTTATCAGGGTTCTGCTATCAGATAACAAGTTTGCAGGGGAGGTTCCTTCCGGTTTGTGGACTCTGAGGAACCTCTCAGCCTTGGTGTTGAGCAACAACTCCTTTTCTGGTCAACTTCCAAGTAAACTATCTTCGACTATGTCAAGGCTTGATATTAGAAACAACAACTTTTCAGGTCAGATATCCTCTGGAACCTCAAATCTAGTGGTTTTTGATGCAAGAAACAACATGCTTTCGGGTGAAATCCCAAGGGAATTGACGGGTTCTCGGCTTAATACTCTCATGCTTGATGATAATCAACTTTCTGGTGCACTTCCATCTCAGATAATCTCATGGCAATCACTAAATACTTTGACACTATCAAGAAACAAACTTTCAGGCCCTATCCCCATAGCTATGGCTAGTCTTCCTAACCTGGTTTACTTGGACTTGTCTCAAAATGCCATATCAGGTGAAATCCCACCTCAATTTGACCAATTGAAGTTGATTTTTCTCAACTTGTCCTCCAACCAGCTATCCGGGAACATCCCTGATGAGTTTAATAACCTTGCATTTGGAAAGAGTTTCTTAAACAATCCTCATTTATGTGCTTACAATCCAAAACTCAACCTTTCTAACTGCTTGACCAAAACCCTGCCACCCTCTAGCAATTCGTCTTCAAAACACCTTGTCTTGATTCTTTCCATCACCATCTTTGTGTTGCTGGTCACTGCCTCCTTGATCCTCTATACGTTGAAAAGGCACAGGGGCAAAAGGCACTGCAGGCGTAAAGTTTCAACGTGGAGGCTTACCTCATTCCAGAGGCTTGATCTCACTGAAATAAACCTCTTCTCAAGTTTGACAGATAATAACCTCATAGGAAGTGGAGGGTTTGGGAAAGTTTACCGGATTGCTTCAAACCGTCCGGGTGAGTATGTTGCAGTGAAAAAGATTTGGAATTGCAAAGATGTGGATAACAAACTTGAGAAAGAATTCATGGCTGAGGTTGAAATCCTTGGCAATATTCGGCATTCCAATATAGTGAAGCTTTTATGTTGTTATTCGAGTGAGAACTCCAAACTTCTTGTTTATGAATACATGGAAAATCAAAGCCTTGATAAATGGCTTCACGGAAAGAAGAAAATATCAGCGACTGGGTTGAGTTGGCCAACGAGGTTGAAGATTGCCATAGGGGCTGCACAAGGCCTATGTTACATGCACCATGATTGCTCGCCACCCATTATCCACCGAGATGTCAAGTCCAGCAATATACTACTGGACTCAGAGTTCAGGGCTAGAATAGCAGACTTTGGACTCGCCAAGATGTTGGCAAAGCCTGGGGAGCCACACACCATGTCTGCTCTAGCAGGGTCATTTGGCTACATTCCACCAGGTAACTCTTTTTTAATTTACATTTAAATAATCATAGATATATGTTTTTAATATTTCAAGTAGTTTCTGCGTTTAATACAAGTTTACAGGTTTTTCAGCGTGTTTTCAAACTCACGTTAAATTATGCCACATTACCAACTATATCAGTTTTTAATATTGATACGGAACCCAAATGATCATTTGGCCGAGTAATCTGATTATAGGTTTCACTTGTATTGCAGAATATGCCTATTCAACTAAGATTAACGAAAAAGTGGATGTATATAGCTTTGGGGTTGTACTCCTAGAGCTTGTGACGGGAAGAGAGCCTAATAAAGGAGGTGAGCATGCAGGTAGCCTAGTTGATTGGGCGTGGCAGCATCATAGTGAAGGAAAGTGCCTTTCGGAGGCCTTCGATGAGGATATCAAAGAAACACGTTATGCAGAAGAGATGACTTGTGTCTTCAAATTAGGCCTCGTTTGCACAAGCTCGTTACCTTCGACAAGGCCTTCCGCTATAGAGATTTTGCAAGTCCTTCGTCAGTGTTGTCATTCAGGTTTTGCACGTAAACTACTAGCAACAGAGATTGATATTAGCCCTCTTCTTGCTGAAACAAGGTACATCTCTAGTTACAAGGATAGTAATGCTGTAAGCGAAAACGATGAAAGTAGCTTGTACAGCGTGTAACAAGTATTCTGCACGAAGAATAACTCAAAAGAATGGTTCCATGTATTCACTACCGTCTTCAATGACATCAGAGTACTAGTCTCAAAATATGGTATCGTACTGTTTCACTGGGGAAGTGATGCAAGTTTTGGATATGATTAACTACCCAATTTATTTTATAGGCTTTTCACATTACAACTTTATTTAATCAATAAGATTGGCAAGTAAACAGCGTTAACTCAGTATAATCTCGGCTTCAGTATGTTTACTGAAGCAAAATAAACAGCAAAGGTACGTCAAACAAAAAAATAACCATGCGAAAACACTAACGAAAGAAACCATCTCCACAAGGTAGTAGTGTTTCACTAAATTGAAAGGCCAACGAAACCCATGTGCAGAATGATCCTCCCCACCGTCTAAAACTTACAATGCAAGGATAGACAAGGAAGACTACCCTACTCTACCACCAAAATATCATTTTTTTTTTCAATTTTCTCTTCAAAATCACCTAGCCGAAATAGTTATCTGCTTACATTTACATAATGTATCGATCACATCCACATCACAAGCAAACAAGAAAGTCCCCACTCCTTTTAAATTCAAGGTAAGTAAGTATGTCAAGGGTTTATGAGAAAGTTCACAGCTCTGAAGACGAGATGAGCCCATGTTTAACACGCAAGAGGATGTGACCACATTTTTAAGCATCTCCATCATGCTGTTCATCTATGTACACAGACGATCATCGCAACACCATATACCCAAAACCCCAATCTGATTCAATGCAATCATTTATATCAGCTCCTCAATGTTCAAATGTAGCATCAGTCCCACTCACAGGATCTCAGCACAGTAACAGCCACAATATAGCAGGGTAGCACTGTGGGCGGCGATGATGCTCCCAAATAACGTGATCCACTCTAAACTCATCCTCCTACAAAACCAAAACGAAAGAGTAGCACAGAATAAGGACATTCTTATTCACACTAAGAGTTGAAATGCATGCTTTTCGCAAGCTTCTGCAAGTATTCTGACCTAGCCTTGTCTCCAATTTATACAGCACTTCTGAGCCTGACATCTGGCTATACACAATGTAGAAAATAGAAAGAATAATCATAATCAGAAATCCAAAAAAGCATTAAACAAAAATTATAAAATGAAACAAAAGGAAGGTCTGGTCTCTGAGCCTCTCTATACACAAAACAAGTCAGGTTCCTAAGCAGAGTTACTGGAAACATAGCACGTATAGTGGTGCAGGACCTGCGACCACATATTCACCAGTCAGAAAATTGACTAAGAAATTCAATTACCACGGAAATTGATAGTCAAATTATCTTGAAAGAAACAAGAAAATATACAAGATAAAAACGGTCATAGTAAGAAGACCCAACAAGATGGGGAGAGAAAAGGGCCAGACCGCATTCTGGTTGGCTATAATATGGAATCAAGCTATAACCAAAGTAAAAAAAAATCAGTCATAAAAAAATTGAAGATTAGACTCTTATTTCTTCTGAAACCCATGAAATATATAAAACTTTGGTAAATGCCATGAAAGCCACTAAGGTGAGGTGGATTAGATTATTACAAGATCAGAACATCTTTATTACTGAGAAACAAAGAGAGTTCAGAAAATTAAAAACCTTATATTCTTGGGCCACGATATTTTGAAATACTCAATTTCCAAGAAAACACCCACTCTTCAGAACTGATCTGGATCAGCCACACAAACATCACCCTGCAAAGATCCCTGACTCTCACTATCTCCCAGACTTTTCAGTTTTTTTCACTGCCATCCACAACAGTTCCTAATCCAAAAGTCTTCAAATGAGATAACTCACCTCGCAATTGAGGTTCTGGGAACTGGCACTTGGTACATAATCTGAACATTCAGCCCTTGTGATGAAATTACACGCTTTGTCTAGTTGTTGATCCATATCAACGACGCCTTCTTGACAGTTTGGCAAGCTTTTGGTAGATTCTGTTTCTGCACTTTTCAAGCAACTTAAAGGCAGATCCTGAGTTTTGTCCCCATTGATGACCCCATTCTGAAATGCATCACCAACTTCTAGTTAAGGAACTTCACATGAACCAAACAACTTTCCAAAGGTTCCTCCATTGGTTCAGCAGGCTTACCTCATTCAGAATTTCTACACTTCTTGATTTCAGCCTATCATGTGAGGAGTCAACAAAGCCAGGTTCACTAATCTGCATGTCAGTAACCTCAGTACTTAGTCCACTTCCTGGAAGTGCATCAGATGACTTAATTTCACAAATGCGGTCAGCATCCCTGGTAGTTGAACTAGCTAACCTAACCCCTTCAATACCCTCAATATTCACGTGAGCTGTACCACCTGATTTACTAGTACAACTTTCAGGAGAAACACATTCTAACCTCTGTGGGCTAATAGATGCCCGCTTCTCTGGTTTGTCTGGCTTCCTATCCATCATTTCAGGGTAATTTTTCCTCTTGATGTTTCTTTCAGAAGACCCAGATCCAGAGTAGCATTTTGTGGCATCATCACCTGGTTTTTCAGCCGGAAGGCTTATATGCCTTGGCATTCGAGTGCGTTTGTAACCATCAGGAAAAACAAATGGAGGGAGTTGCTTTCGACGAACATGAGAAACAAAAATTTCCATCCCTGGTTTCCAGTATATATACATATTTATTTCTTGTCTGAATTCATCAACCGTTCCACGTATATCAAATTGCTGCCCTTCTTGACCTCTTACTCCCTCTTTTCTTTGCAAGCCCATGAAAAATGCAGAATGTGCACAAGGTTTGGATGTGTCTATATACTCGTGTGGGTAAGGATGACACTGTAGCATCCCATTTGTATCTCGCTCTATCTACTCAGATAATTGAAAAACGTGTTAATATATGGGGGGAAAAAAGAATTTACCAAAATGTTCAGAGATTAGATATTTTCAATGAATATGAAACAGAATTGGACTAAACCCAGCCAAGCAAAGTGTTATACCAAACTATGACAAGTCTGTACCTTCAGGGTAAGTTGTCTCAACCGAGATTCTACCCAACCCTTCCATGCTAGTAAATCGTCAGCATCTGATGCAATTATGTCCACTTGTAAATAGTTTTTGTATGCTTCAAAAAAGACATATGGCTGGAAAAGTGCAATCCATTGGGCTTTATTCAGCTCAATTTCCTAAAAGGAGAAGAATCAATCAATCAATCAATTAAAATAGTAACAGAATTAATATTAAAAAAAAAGGAATAATAGACTTCTCTCACATCACAAATCTTATTGCCATAGCGGAACTGTTCCATCATAACACGAAGAGTGCTTGCTGAGACATTGTAGCTTGAATTCATGCACGGGTATGCAGGAGTAATTATCGGCATAATGTGAAATCTGTCTCGGGGATTTCTACGAGGATCCCATACAGGGAAACCCAGTTCATTTTCTTCTATAGAGCATAGCATTACAGGGTTTGGCCACCGCCACTGTGTATAGACCCTGAAGAATCGAGAAACCAACATACTAGGGATTGCATTGGGGTAAAGCTGGCAAATTCGAGCAACTAAAATAGCCCAATTTACACCACCAAGAAATCCAGTAACCTAAACAAAAAAGTTAATTAAGGCAGATATAAAAGTTAAAGTCATTGGCAGATGGGAAAAAACTATGAAGATCATAGGTGCAACCCTTACATTTGAATAAACACCACGCCTTTTAGCCCAAAACTTTAAACATCTCAATGTAGTTCGGAAGTGCTATCATTATCAAGGGTTAATGGACTACCCAATTAATAAGATGAACGGACATTAAATCTAATTTACCATTTAATTAAACTAAAGAACATGTATATTAACCTCAACATTTGGGACAAGTTTAAGAATTTGATCTGCCACCCGACAGCCATTAAGACTTCGGACAGTTGGTTCATCAACGTCATACAGCACTGAACCATGTGAGATATCTAGGTCCTGTGGATAAGCATGTTAGAAAACCAAATTGAATTGAAGTCAAGTGTAAAGAAAAGCTAGATTCTAAGATAGAAGAGTGAGAAAGTTTAAAAGCAATAGGGAACTTGGAATTTACGAAGGAAAGTGTGCTTATGTTAGGAAAGCCTTCAAATTCTCAACCAAAGACATGTGCTATTTAAATAAAATTGTCCCCCACAAAAATGTGCTCTCAGAATATATAAAGGCCCTGCTAAATGAGTAACCAAACTTACTTCTGGCACAACCAAAAGAGATATACTTGCATACAGCAAATCTATAGATATTCCCTGAAATTTGAATTTCATTACTGGGACGTGTGCATCAGGAACTGGTTGAAGTTCAGTAACTTCTTCCATTTCAGCCAGGATGTTATGCAAAATGATAAAGAAGTCTTCCTACAAAAGAGAGAGAAACTGGCTAAAAATAAAACCAAAACCTAGGATTTTACTAAATTGTGGAAAAATAACAAGCTGCAGCGTGTTACCTCTCGATTCACATACGAAGGACCAATGCACAAAGTGTCTATGTCAACTCCAGGTCCATGAACCTGCAAACGATAGGATTATTGTTACATCCCAATATTAAAAGGACAGCCACTCACAAAACAGACAAAAGAGTATTATTGAGTCATTGACAACAACATTATGGCTCATTTACTGTCTGTTAAACTTTCTGTAGAACAGAACATCATTTTGTGCTACTACAAGAATGTTCAAAATATTAAAACATTTAATGATAAGATTAGAAATGATATTCCATAGAAGTCAAGTCATCACCCATCAGTCAATTGTCAACAGTGACTGAAACATGACTATTGTTACAAACAAAGAGCTGATATAATCAAACTTCAACGCTCTCTAGACCTGGAGAAATAAACCCTAATGATTTGATGATCAGCAAGTACCAAAAAACATCAGGCCTCTCTTTCTTCAGAGGCATGTATAAACTATATTTATAAAGTGTCAAGCACAAAGGTTCCACCAGACTAATTATTTCAGACTCTTAGCTATTCCCCATAACAATAAATCCACCTTTATAATGTCTCACGTATACTATTTTTTTCTCCTTCTAATCTTCCCAATATCCAGATTTAAGTTTCTCCCGCCTTCCACTACTGTCAACCCATGCCATTGACAATTTCTACGGTGAATCAAAACAAGACGTGCACACTAAGGACTCGAGGAATTAGCAGATTGCAACTCATGCAATGCAAGCATTGAATTGAAATCCTCCATACTCGAAAGAATCGAGAGAAAATAGCAGTTGCAATGAGTCAGGAGTAGGTAACAATGGCACACTCACCCCTAGTCGATAAGAACCAAAAGTGAAAATGACAGCGTTTGCATCCTCAACCATCTGATCCGTGTAGCCACGCTGCCGCGTCAACTGCTTCACCCAGCTTTTCACAATCTACACGGCAGGTTAACTTTGTCACCATAAAATTTAAATTCAATAAATTACATCCAGCAATGGTAGCATCCCCAAGACATTGGGGTTGAAAAAAATATGAATCCTTTAAAGGCAATCTAGCGAGGTTCCAAAACATGTTTTTCAATACATAACAGTTAAAAAAACAAAATTCACAATGCATCATTGGGACCGAGAAAAATGAAACCGCGCCAAGCAATTAACGGTTGAACAACAACACAATCAAGCGGAGAAAAGCAAGATCGAAGAAGTAGATGACCTGATCAAGGCGTCGAAGAACCTCTTGTCTGCTTGCGGCTTCTTCATTGCTCTCATAAAGCTCCGAATCAAGCAAAAACTGAAGCAAAAGAAAACGAATTGGGTTTTCATTTCACACGAAGCGAGAATGCGAAAGCGTGGGGTTAAACACTTGAAGACGAGATGAACCAGAAATTAATCACCTTCTCCAATTCGAGGTTACGCTGTAAATCAGCGTCGGTGGGACCGGCAAGGGAGATAGGTTTTGTCAAGCCGTATTTGTTGGTTTGTTCTTGTTGCGGTGGCGGTGGCGGTGGCGGCGTAGAACCACCGTTGGGACTGTCGGAAACCACCATTCTGACCGCGATTCCAAGAAACCAAACACACTACTCACCTTTACTGTACATATCTCAAATCGCTAGCATCTGATTGTTTCCAGTTCAGAGATGCCCCTAATTCGAATAGGTAATAGAGTGGATTCGGAATTGGGGTTTGGGTGGGTTAAGGGGGCGTTTGGAAGTAATTATTCATGTAACTTTGAAACCGATTTTTATTACACGGAGCGGACTTGTGTTGTTTACGTTGTTGTGTCCACTCCGATCATCCCACATGTATTTCTTTTGCATTTTTATTTTCTCTCACTTCGAATACATTAATATTTCTGTTTTCTATATTTTTTTTTCTAGAAGGAAAAACAACAGATTTGTCTTGTTTTGGACTAGAACTTTCGGTTTCAGATCTCTTATCCACTGCGTTGCTTTCCCATTTCTTCTTTTCTCTCACATATTTATTTGTTTTGGAAAAAAAAATACCAATTATAACATAAGATTTTTTTAATTTGAGAAATATTAATGTCTGTAAATTAAAGAATAGAAAATATACTTGAAATTTAAAAAAGTATGTATAATTGATTTATATGAAATTTGTAAAATATATATTAAAAGAAAACATATGTGAGATTGTATAAATGTTATGCATAGTCAATTCAATAATGTACGTCTATGTGAATTTTTTAAAAAATAAACTAGCTTTTATGTTTTACAATTTTTTGTTTATATATGCATGTGAATCTTAGTTTCAAAAATTATACCTTCTATTTTATTTTATTTTCAAATTTGATTATGTTGCAAGGATAAAGTGATAAGGGAGAGGTAGCATTAACAACAATAGATTTGTAAAATAATAATAAGTAATAAAAAATTATAATAGCAATAACAATAATAATTATCATGATTAGAATGGACATAATAGTTGAATAATTATTTTAACAATTTATGACTACATTGACAATAACAGTTTATTAATAATGATGTTAACAGCAATGAAAGAAAGGTAATAGTCATTATGAGTCATTCAAAATATATAGAAGATTTGAGTTTTGTTTACAAATAATTTTTCAACCACCTTGTTTTGTTTTAAAATTTAAAGTAAAATTACTTTAAATTTTTTTAAAAAGTAATTATTTGCAACTTAGTTAAATGCATCTTATTTTGCATTTATAAATTGATTAGTGCCTGTACCAAAATCCAAAAATCACTGGGGTATCCAACTAATTTAAATCAAATCAAGCTAGGCTGAGGAGAAACTTGCATAAGTCTTGTCTAACCAAAAAAACTTCAAACTTAGGTATTGAATGAAACATTCTCATTCTCTCGCTGACATGAATAATCATAATCCTGAAGTGAAATTATTGTGGGCAACTTATTTTTTTCTTCAAAATCTTAACATTATTATATTATTAATATTTTAAATTCGAAATCCTTATTTTTTCAGAAATACGTACACGATGGGACACCGATTCAATAATAATAATAATTATTAGATATAATAATATAAATTTAATTATCATTAAACAAAAATTAAACAATTTTGTACTACAGTTTATTTTAAAAATCAAAAACTATTTTTAAAATGTAAATCAAATATACTCTTAATTTTTGGTAAAAAAAAAAAGAAAAGTAGAAATTCGATTCCATGGACCAAAACAGGGGTCGCATGGACTTTTGAACAGTATCTGGTAAGACAGCGCCGCTAGTTTTCTTGCCCCTCATTCTTCGCATACACATTACTCAAACTCTAAGAGTTTCAATCTCCACCGTCCATCTGAACGATTCGATGGTAGATAGTCACGGACGGTTCAGATGTATCTGACCTGTCAGTGCTAAGATTCTCGTAAAACCAAACTAATGGCCGAACAACTAAGCGTTCTATCTGTTTTCACACACATTCCGCTTTCTTTCTGCTTCGTCATTCACTCAAAAATCCGCACACAAAAATCTTGAAAGATAAAACAAACGCAGATATTAAGAAGATTTCCAGATAATAGCAATGGCTTCCAGCGATTCTGACTCGCAGATGAAGATCGTCCACGGCGATGCTGGTTACATACTCGAGGACGTTCCTCACTTCTCCGACTATATTCCAAATCTTCATGTATCTTTCTCACTCACTCTCTCTCTCTCTCTCTCTCTCAATTTTTCAGTGACGTTGCGAACTGCACCGCATTCACTTACGGCTTGTTTGTGTAACACTTTTTTTTTTCGCAGACATATCCAAATCCGCTGCGATCCAATCCAGCTTATTCAGTTGTGAAGTAAGTGAATCACTTTATTTGGCACTTTGATTGTAATCTGAGAATAGAATGTGTTTTGTTCGAAACGTTGATTCTTTGTTATTTTGCGTCGTCAGGCAGTATTTCGTGCACATGGACGACACTGTTCCTCAGAAGGTTCTATCTACTTCTACTTACGCTAGCGACCTGATTGTTTATTTATTTGTTTCTTAGTCTCATTAACATCAAATGCTTTTACTATGCATTCTTTTGCGTTACCCGAGCTATTGAGTATCAATTACTTTGCTATCGAATGTTTTGTTTGCGCTGTGTTTAGGGGATAAGCAGAGACAACGGTTTCTCTTTCCGTTGATTTATAATATTTAAATTAATTTTCAGTGATAGAAAGAATGAACTGAATCTCTTTTTAAAACAAAAAATATTTTTTCCAATGCAGAAGAAGGAAAAGAGAATACAGATAAAATAACTGGATTTATGTCTTGTTTATCAGCATTAACAAGGTGCACTGGGGTTTGAACTTTTACTCTCCGTAGGTTGTTGTTCACAAGGATGGTCCAAGAGGTGTACATTTTCGACGAGCAGGACCTCGGCAAAAGGTTATTTCTCTTGGTTACATATATTATTAAGACTATATGCATATTTTGATTCAAGTCACTGACACCTAATCGTATGCTGTTCAGGTATACTTTAAGTCGGATGAAGTGCACGCGTGTATTGTTACTTGTGGTGGTCTCTGCCCTGGCCTCAACACTGTCATAAGGGAAATTGTTTGTGGTCTTTCTTACATGTATGGCGTCAACAAAGTTCTTGGCATAGATGTGAGTGGTTAAATTCTGTACTGATTTGTGTTCACTGCATTGTCTGTTGCTCTGGATTACTGGATTATGTAGCATGTGATTATTGTTAGGAAGGGAAGCTTACATTGCTGTGATTTACATCTCCTTGTCCCCGACTTCTTTGTATGTGCATTTTTTTTTTCCATTCTTGTCAATCAAATAGTTCTCTGGGCAATCAATCAAGCTGACTCAAACTTGGTATACTGTCTTGGATGTTCACTGGATACTGGAATTATACCCTTGGTGCTAGTTTATAAACTTTCACTGGACTCCATATTTCCTTTTCTGGCAGGCACTACAGAAAAGACATAAATGTAGTTTAGGTTTTAACCTTTTTAACTGAGGCCCAGTTTGAATGAGCTTCTTGCTTATGGGAGCTTTTGTTTAGCCTTTTTTCAGGTAAGAACTTTGTTAAATTTATTAGTGCTTAAGAGAAGTTAAACAAGGGGAGTGGACTTCTGAAAAAGTCAAGATACATAAGTTAATTTTATGTTTAACTCATGTGAGAAGTTTGATTCATTTCATTTTCTTCTCCTATAAATATTTGTTGAGAAGTTTGTCTATCCTAACTCTAATTATATGTTTTTAGAGGCATCTAATTGTCTTTATGAGCATTTTAATGTTTTTTCAAGCAAGTTCTAGTTCTCATAGCTGCTTGCTTTGTCTTTCTTGCATTGTATCTGTAAATTAACCTTGTGTTTTCGTGAGTGTAAAATCCAATCACTTGGGCTGAAAATCTTGCAGCAAACCAATCAATGTTCATTTTAAGATCTTGATAATCTATGCAACAAGTCATGAACCCTTTTTTCTTAAGTGATTCTTGCTGTGATGTGATGCATATGTGAATGAAACATGACACTGGTGAGGGTAAGCTGACTAGCTGCTATGACAGTATTACATAATTGGGAGGTTATATATATCCTACATTTTGGCATTCACCTTCAAAAGATAGCATTGTGGATACAAAGTACAACATTATGTTTGCATGAGTCATGGGCATAATTATTGTTTTGAGAGTTCTAACAAGTAAATGCACCTGTTTATTAAGAACTTCATCTTGATATTTGATACCTGTTAAACTGAACAAATTTTTGAGTTTCATGAAGTCAATTTTCTCTTCCCCTTATTTTTTTTCCTTCTCATTTAATGTTTAACCTGAGTTGCATTTCTTGATCCATTGTCTTCTCCACTAAATTGTATCTAATGTTACAAAGGGTGGTTATAGAGGTTTTTATTCCAAAAACACCATTACTTTAACACCTAAGGTGGTCAATGACATCCATAAGCGTGGGGGTACAATTCTTGGGACATCACGAGGGGGGCATGATACTGGCAAGATAGTTGACAGCATCCAAGATCGTGGAATTAATCAGGTTTTCTAAATGTCAACTGCATTCTAATGAAGTTTCCAATGATGATAAATGCTGGAATCATAAATTCAAAATTTTGTTGTATGTACTTAATAATTGAGTAGGTTATTGTCACAGCATGGGTTTTTATTGTTAGCGTTATGTTTACAGGTATATATTATTGGAGGAGATGGAACACAGAGAGGAGCGGCTGTGATTTATGAGGTATGGCAGTTTAAATTTTTTAATAAAATAATGTTTGTTGTCTTGGTATCATTTCATTCAAGAAAAATTGCGTTTAATATATAACTTTTTAAGATTACAAAATCCACATGTGTGCACTCTGCAGTTTGTTTGCTTGTTTGTTAAATTGCTTGATTATGCTTAAAAAAACCAGTTCTCTTTTCGGCTAATCAGGTAAATTTCATTTACCTTCTTTATCTCAGTCAAGAAACATTTCATAATCTTTCATATGTTCACTCTAATTGTAAGTCCATGCAAAGAGATAGTAAAGATAAAATCATTTTAAATGATAAAAAGAATTTGATTGCATAAAATTTTAACTGCCTGATGGACCTGTTACCCTTCTTGGCATCTTTTGATTTTTTAAGTAAGCATTCGAATTTCTACATATATTTTGGTTATCATACAGGAGGTTAGAAGGCGGGGTCTGAAAGTAACAATTGCTGGAATTCCTAAAACCATAGATAATGACATCCCGGTATGCTTGTTCACAGTGTCATGATTTTTGGTTCCTCCAAAACTATAATCTTATCATTAATAAAAAATCTGAAGAGTTGATTATCTAAGTTTGTAGAAACTTCACTTGGATTGTCTTTTTCTTTAGGTTATTGACAAGTCCTTTGGTTTTGATACTGCGGTTGAAGAGGCTCAGCGTGCCATTAATGCAGCACATGTTGAATCTGAAAGTGTTGAGAATGGCATTGGTGTTGTAAAGTTAATGGGACGATATAGTGGTATGTATACTTCACATTTATGTTTAATATCTTCTAGGCAGCCAATTCAGATTATTTATATCCTGTTTTGTTGGTTGGTTCAAATGTAGATGACTAAAATGTTTCACTGTTAGCTTGCTTCAATAAATTCTGTTTGCTTTTTCTGCTACGATATGATGGATACTATGACTGCAGGTTTTATTGCAATGTATGCTACCCTCGCTAGCAGAGATGTGGACTGTTGCTTGATTCCAGAGTCACCCTTCTACCTTGAAGGAAAGGGTGGACTTTTTGAATTTATTGAGAGAAGACTGAAAGAAAATGGACATATGGTTATAGTCATAGCTGAGGGAGCAGGACAAGATCTTCTTACAGAAAGCATGCAAGCCATGAACCAGAAGGATGCTTCTGGAAACAAACTACTTCAAGATGTTGGTTTATGGATATCTCATAAGATCAAGGTATTTAACTTGTACATTAGATACTTCTTAAAACATTTATTTTTCCTCAGAAATTTGTGTAGCCTAATGCTGCTTGACACATGGTGTGAATATGGCTTTGTTGTTGTTATTTGTTATAATGCTACTTGCCTAGTTATACATTTCTGTGAGGAATTAAGTGCTTGGGGTACTCTTGCCAATTTATATATTAATTGCTTAGATGGTGCTTAGACAATATTCTTTTGATTGGTTTGGACCTTCAGGAGAAGACAGTATTGACTCCCTTAAGAGTAAAACAGTTGCCCATAACAATCTAAACTCCGCTTTTGCCTAAGAACTAAACATTTTTTTGAATTATTGAACTGTTAGAAAATATGAAAATAACTAAGAAAATCTGTGTGCCATTCCATTTGACGTACTTTTGAATTGGGTCTCTCCTGATTTTGCTGGCTCTGCACTATCATTTCCGTGCATATCCTTGCTTATCAGTAAAAATCCCTCCATTTATCATATTCCTTCCCATCTTAGCCTAGTGCTAGATGCATACTTGTATATAGTTGTATATCGTTTGTCCAGCTTTTTATATTTACAAGTCTGTGCAAGGAGTCACTAGCCAGAACAGTCAATTTGTTCGACTTTCCCTTTTAATTAAGATTCATCATGCTGTAATAGGATCATTTTGCAAAGAAGAATAAGATGGCCATCAATCTTAAATATATAGGTCAGTTTCTCTTTCTGAAATCTCTTTCTTTTTTACCCATCTATATCTTATTTAGCATCCATTTTTATTTGGGATTTGAGGACTTTTTGAAAGTTTAACAATTATATATAGAATTTTAAACTGAGTAATCTGCCAGATCCAACGTACATGATCCGGGCAATTCCAAGCAATGCATCCGACAATGTCTACTGCACACTTCTTGCTCAGAGTGCAGTTCATGGTGCAATGGCAGGATATACTGGATTTACAGTGGGGCTGGTCAATGGCAGACATACTTATATTCCATTCAATGTAAGTTATTACCTATTTGGATTCTGAATTATATCATAATTGTTGCTCTTTTTTGTTTGGGTACAATACTTTTCTATTCTTGTTTTATATCTACTGGTTGTAAATAAAGAAATCCAGAGATATCTGCTACTTAGTCACCATTATTGAAACTGGAGAATGATATTTACCGTATACATCAAGTTTGTATTATGTTTTAACCACACCTGTGGATACAAACATGCCCATTTACTTTCTATTGCTTCTCCAATTTTATATTGATGGTTTTTATTTTCCCAAGATCAGAATTGTTCTGACGATAGAGATGTTCAAATTTTGATACCCAGAGAATCACTGAGAGGCAGAACCAGGTTGTAATTACCGACAGGATGTGGGCAAGACTCCTTTCTTCAACCAACCAGCCAAGCTTTTTGAATCCCAAAGATTTTGATGAAACCAAGAAAGCAGAACAACCTCCGACTCAATTGTTAGAAGGGGACAATTGCAATGATGTTGATGAAGCCGAGGCAACAGAACCACCTCCCACTCAGTTGTTAGAAGGGAACAATTTCCATGACGAACAAGAAACAGGAAACCACGCAGACAACACTATCAAGACGGAAAAATAGATACAGAGACCTGTTTATCTACAATTGTGTTTGGTAATGTGTTATCGTTTGACCCAAACCCGAAAACCTCCAAAGCCACGAGCATTGGGAGCTGTGCTTTTTGTCCCTTTCCGCGTATTGCAAGTTGGTAGTCTTTTTTAGAAAGATTGTCCTCTTGGATAATGTAGTATTCTGAGGACTATTGTTGAATCTTTAACCTGCAGCTCACTAAGAAGAAAGAAATTATTTTCTGAAACTAGTTTGTCTGGTTGTTGTTTCTGTTTTTTACAGTCATTTGATTTTTTATACCCAGTTTTGCGAGAATGAGGCTAAAAAAAGTTTTATGTATGCTATGACGTTTGTTGAATGGTTCCACTTATGCAGGGTGTTTTTGCGCCCTCAATGTATGCGGTTCACCTAAGTTGTGACTCACAATCACGTCGTAAGCACTTTTCTAACACTTTTTTCTTCATATTTCATCTCGTTAACAGTTTGCGTTATATAGTGTGATAGCGGTGATCTCCTCTATAACAAGGGTGCTTGTGCAAGAAAAAAAACCGTCAGTTGCCCGAGTCATATCCATGGCAACAGTCATCAGAATCCAAAATAGACATGAAGAACAAACTAGTTAGAAACATTTCTTACCATGTTCACAAGCATTTTTTAAATAGTTTACGTCTTGCAGTATAATATACACCAAAGTATTTTACATTTCAAAATAATAAAATAGTAATATATCAATCATTTATTGCTTAAACACACATAATTATATTTTTTAATCTCACCATATAATTAATTACCTGTATTAAATGTACACAAGATCGCTCGATTTAAAATATGCATAGTCATGTAGGAATAGGATTAATCTCACGACAGTGAAGGTGTCTGCTGGAGAAAATCCCTCACACAAGTTGCAAGAACCACTAGGATTCACACTTAGACACCTATCACCCTCTCATTATTCATTGACGTGTTTTAAAATAGTTTACTTTATGATGTGTGGGTTTTCTTGTCCCTATTGTATAGGCGTCACTTATGTTGGGACTTATGTTGTACACACCATTTTCCTTTCCCCCTGTGGTAGGATTCCATTGTAAGATATGAGACTTGGATTTTATGTTGAAAGTTTGGGATTTTAGTGTTGGATTTACCAAGCATCGAGTTCTCCAAACAATAACGAGTAGCTTATGCGGTGCAGTTCTTTTTAATTTATTTTTTTATGAATTACTATCGTAATTTTCTTCAATTCACATGAGCACCAAGATTACGAAGTATGGTAAAATGTTATGATCCAACTGTATGGTATAAGATTATATTGAAAATCTAGGATTCTAGTGTAAGATTTATAAGGTCAGAAGCTTTTCAACTACAATTGCTAACTTTAATGGTGTGGTTTTTCTTCATCACTCTTTTATTCTTTATTAATTTTGAGTATTTCATATTTTAAAATAATAATAAATTATTTATTTGTTGCTTAGATATTATGAATTAAATATGTGATATGCACACTCACATAGAGATAAGGTTGAATTCATTATAACGAGAATGTATGCATAAGAAAAACCCTTAATTGCCCAAGCCCATACCCATTGCAACAGTCATTAGGATCCACAAATAGATAGCAGGAGACTTGTTATTTCTCAAAAGTCCTTCTCACTTTTCTTATGCATGCATTAGTAAAACTCACTACAAACCATTCTTGTCGTCACCATCATCCACAACATCTTCCTCTTCTTCTATCGTACTTTATTTCTTCTATTAGTTTCACATATGAATAGCTAAATTGTAATTTCAAAATTATCCTAATATGTGATTGTAATAAGTCATTTTTCTATAAAATCTCAACCCAGTAGAGTTGTAATTGATAACTTGATTTCAATCTCACTATGAAGGTTTGCCCCCATAGATACTTTGTATATCTATAAATATTTATATACCATAGAAATACACACTTTCATTCAAATTTAAAAACCTACCGTAGAAACACATATGTAAATGTAAATGACATAATAGATTTAGGATTTAATAAGTTTATGTAAGTGTATGCTCAAACTTCGAAGTCTATTCCAAAAATAAATCTTAATGTGTGGATACAAGTTTTTTAGGAAGTGCACAATAAGAACTTGTCAATGCCCAATATTATATGAATCCACTCATTTTGTGCATCTACAAATACTTGTACTTCTATTACATGCTCAAACTTATAGACTTATCCATGAAATATGATTTTAGGCTTTAGACCACTTGTAAATATGTATTTCGTTTTAATTCATTTTTATATAAACGAACTTTTTTAATGATAGTGAATAACTATGACTGAGTCTTTTAAGTACATTTTTTTTTCTCAAATACTTCATTTGGTCCTTTATACAACATTTTTTCTTGAAGCTTTTAATAATTATTTTTGTAAGACACTTCATAATTTGTATGAAGCATTTATTATATATTTTTCATTTACCCTTAATGAATGAAGTTGGTGAAAATATAAATTAAACTACAAAAAAGTAAATATTGATAGTGGAGTTAAATTCAACAATATTAAATAAGGGTAAAATTGTCATGATAAAATATTTTTATTTTAAAAAATCAACCAACTTCAACTATTTTTATCAACAAGACAAAAAAAAATAATTTTAATCACTTAAAGCTATATTTTCAAACTTCATATACTATCAAAGTTTCACAAAAAGAATCTTTGTTTTTTTAACAAAATTCAGGTTGGGTTCATTATACTTTTCGTCAAGTTTTGTTTAGGATTTTAGTTGTGTTTTTAACTTACAGAAACGTATAGAAATAAGCCCCACCCACACCACCAAACAGCAGAATGTTCAATATCCTTTTGTTTAATAAAACATTTATTTATTTATTTCAAATTCATTTTTTTCTTTTTTATTTGGCTCCCCCCCCCCCCCCCCAAATCCAAAAAAATTAAGGTTCTGATTATCTTAATCTTTTTATAAAATACCTTTTTTTATTCACAGTACCTTCTAAATTCTGATTGTTTTTGTTCCCCCAAAAAAGAGAAAAAAAAAAAAAACAAAAAGAAACAAAAACAGAATCAGAATAAAAAACAATGATTAGAGCTCTGCCCCTTGTCGAACAGTTATTCTGCGTAGCCTGCAGCAGGGTTTACAATCAAATAATAAGACATCTAGTAACAGTTAAGATTTCTCTCGACCAATGTTTTAAGAATATAAAATCTTCTCTTAACCAACTTCTTGAAATAGTTTGCATCATCATCTCTAGATCAAAATGTTGTCAAATACTTTGAAGAAGCTGCTATTCTGATGATTTCGACGATTAAGAAAAAAAACCAAAAGAAAAAATGATGAGGTCCCCTAGCCCCTATATACACCAGAGGGCTCCGCATTCTGGACAATCCAAGGGTGTTCAAGGACTTTGTGCAATGGTAGACGTTGAGAGGAATCCTTGACCAGCATCTGTTAATAAAAAGGACAGAGGAAATGGAGTACTCAGGCAAACTGCTAAAACAAATATCCTAGTCAAAGGCAATTCTTGAGAGAACTTCACAAATCATTAGACGTAAAACCTGACTGATGAGGTCCTTGGCAGCTGATGACACAATTGGTTTAGGAGGGAACTTGAGATCGACTTGTACTATCCTGCAAAATTGAATGTTCACAGATAAATTTATTATAAAGACACAGACAAGGGAAGTAGCACTCCTTATATTTCTTCACTGTTTACATTAGCCCCTTTTAGCGTGGGAAAATACAAAACAGAGTCCGAGCATCAATGAGAACTTATATATTCAACTGCTTTGTGCTCACCTCCTATAAGTATCAGAATGTTCTTTAGCCTCAAAAGGAGGGACTCCATATAGAAACTCATAGCACAGGACACCAAGGCTCCATATATCCACGCTTGCATCATGTTCTACACTCTCCACTGTTAAAATCTCGAAAGTGTTTAGAAGAAATATCATACATCATCCATGGAGAGAATAACAGATATTTGAAAGAGTGATTCATGCGACACATTAAGCATACCCATCTCAGGAGGAAGGTAATCCAGTGTGCCACACATGGTCCTCCGGCGATTGAACGTATGCACCGACCATCCAAAGTCTGCTATTTTCAGTTCACCCTAAAAATGAAGAGAGGTTGACATAATGAGCAAAGATCAAGAAAACAAACAGAAGGACGGAGGAGCATATATAGAAACAGCAGCCTAGTCATAGGAGATCACCTGTGCACCAATAAGAAGGTTCTCTGGTTTAATATCCCTGTGTATTACATGCTTTCCATGGCAATATATAAGGGCTCGGGCCAATGATGCAACATACTGCCTCAATCACAAAATAAACATTCACTTGTCAGAAGAATGTTCAAGTGGAGCACTTAGGCATGTAGCAATCTCTATTTTACTTAAACCAGATGTGCTATGAAAAGTTGTTTCTGTATTTTCCTGCTTCTTAATATGTTAATACAATTATGTAGAAAAAAATTACATCAGCCAATGTGAACTTTTGTAATTCACAAATCTCGAACAACAGTACATCGGGAGAGAAAAGAATGAGCACTGCTGTATGATATACTTACAGTGGCTGCACGCCTTTCACTGAAATATTTGCATTTCTGCAATTCCTTGTAAAGTTCACCTTTGGGCGCATACTCTAAAATCAAATAAACTCGTTTCTGCAATGAATTTATTTTCACAGAAAATGTAAATAACAAAGTATGTAACCCTCTTCAGCAATAAAGATATCAGCAAAATCAATTACCTGATCATAAAAGTATCCATAAAGGCGCAGGATATGGGGATGTCGGAGATGACTTTGTATTTCAACTTCTCTCCGGAGTTGATGCACAACTTGGGATTGTTGCAATTGGCTCTTAAAGAGTACTTTCAAAGCAACGATATGATTACTCTGTATACGAATCACATTTCAGTTTCAAAATAAAATTAACAAATGTAATGTAATGAAGAAGGTGAAGAAAAACCATCCCTATGAATCAACAACGATAATATATTATTACCATTTCAGATATACACAAATCAATAATGGTCATATGTAATGTAATGGTTGTCTTAAACCATCAACAATTCCCAAAAAAAAAAAAACCTTGTTAGGTAAAGACATGTCATATGGTTTGATATTGCGTTTCCAACAACACACTCTCTCATGCAAGAGCACCCTTTGGAATTCAAAGTTTAAAACGTTGATACTTGATAGTGCACAGCAGCACATGCCCCTTCCCTACCTTTTGTTGAAATTCAATGTTTCATTAGAAGAAATAGGACGGATGGCAAAGATCAAACTCTGGACCACTAGACCATAAAAAAGACTGCAATACAATGTCACCATCCAACAATACCAAAAACTTGAGCTGTTCCACCTCAAAACAGTTTTGCATTCAAATCCACAATGTGAAATTTATGAGGGAAAAAAATGCAAAATTTCCACACAAATCTTGCCAAAGCAACAAAGAATTGCTCAAAATTTTCCCCAAACAAGTGTGAAAATAAGGTAAATCTGGAAAGGAATGAAATAATCCATAGAAATTAGCACAGTTAAGAACTATCCATTAGAAAAATACTGAATAAATTGAAACACGAGAAGACAAAACTCACACTCTTTTCTCTGGCCAAATAGACGTGGCCGAATTTTCCCCTTCCAAGAGGTTTTCCAATATCGAAATCATTCAGGGTCCACCTTCTTTGCTCCACGGCCGAACCTGAAACCTCCGAAGATTCCTGAAAAAACGAAGGAAGAAACAATGAATTCCATGAAAATAAATAAATAAATAAATTTCGAGCAACAACGCTCTTCAACTATTTAGGTTTAAATTCCATAGATAATTTTTTAATAAGAAAAAACAAATCCGGTTCATGCTTGCTTCGTCAATATCAGGAGCTTAATGAACCTCAACACCGACAATTTAAATTTGAAACACAAATAATTGAATTAAACCGTAGAAAGAGAAAAAAGAAGCGTTAATTGAAGGAGAAAATGGAAAGCCTGAAAGTGTTTGTTAACAGAGGAGAAAGAAGAGAGAGAGAGAGAGAGACCTTGAGTTGTGGAGGTTGAGGTTGAGTCTCTGTAGCAATCGCCATGAGATGGGAAGAGAGAAAATTGGGAAATGAAGAAAGGTTGTGTTGTGATTGTGTTGCGTTGTTCTTCAATCTTCAATCCCCAATCTTCATTAACACACAACACCTTTCATTGTACAACGGTCGAATAACGGATAGCTGCCACGTGTTCCAATCCCGCTTCCTACGCTTTTCAAATCTTTTTTTCTTTGTCTTTTTTCTTCTATGGGCCTATGGCAGGAGCGTCCTCTCTGTCTTCCTCTCCCAATTTATCCTAATTCCAATTATTTTTCTCTCTTTCTAAGAATGTTATTTGTTTGTTTGTTGAGAAGATAAAAGTAAATACTGTTTAATAAAAATATTAATATTGAAAAATATATTTTTAAACTTTTAGTAAGTTATATCGTATATCATTAGCAATTATTTTTATGATACTTGTTAATATTTTAAAAAATTTATTAAATATAAGGTTATTTATAAATTTGGTTGTAAATTTTATTAAAAACTTAAAATAAGTTTATAAATTATTTCTATGTTTAAATAAATTATTTTAATGCTCCTTGAATATGAAGTGAAAGGAAAATTCTTCAAAATAATTTTTCAATTGGCACCATTAAAAATAATTTAAAGTTAGAAAACAAACAAGAATTAATAAAAAAAAAATTGTGCTTTTAAAACACCTCTTTTTAGAATCATTGATAAAAAAAATAAACAATTTTTTTTTCCAGGAACTAAAAATTGATTTTAAAAATTAGTTATGAAACTACTAGCCCTTTATATATATAAGTCATAGAACTATACGAAACCAAAAAAAGGAAAAATAAAAACTATTACAAAATCTAAATCGGCATGTTTTCAATGCAACTCCCTAAACTCAAATTTTAGAAGGACCAAATAATCAAATATCTTACATCAAAATATTTATATTTTATTAAAGATTTTAACAAAATATTTATAAATGCTTTTGAAGTAATGTAAAAATAAATTAAAGGTACATTTAGATAAATTGTTTAATTAAGTGTTTATTTAATAAATCATCACAAACTAAAAATATTATTTTAGATAAAGAGAAATATTAATAAATACTCTCTAATAAACTTTTAATTATTTATTAAAATTTATTAAAAATATAATAGCATAAAAGAGAAACATTTATTTAAAAGTTAAAAAAGTGAATTTCATGTTATTTTTATAATTTTTAAATAAATGCTAATTAATACTTAAAAATATGTTAAAACGAATTTGTTAAATATTTGATTTATACAGCGATTATCAATTGTAATTATGTGTCAAGTTTTTTTTATTTTTAATTTTTATTTAGTTTAATTTTGATCTAATTTGGATCTGCACTTGAATATGATAAATAAATTTATTATTAAAAAAAATTATATACACAATTTAAATCTAAAATCTTGATTAAATGATAAGCTTGAATTAACTTTCACTAATTATGTCAAATGATTTAAATCTAAAACTTTTATTAAGTGATACTACTTCAATTAACTTCTATTAATTGTGCCGAATAATTCAAATTTAAAACATTTATTAAGTGAAACTGCTTAAATTAACCTCTTTTAATTATATAATAATAAAGTGACTAACTTATATAAATGCATTTCTATGAATTTATTTTATTTTAGACTGTAGTACGTACCATTATACGCGTTACATGCATTATAATGAATTTTCAAAATTATAGAAATAAAAGAAACTAAAATTAATTAAAAAAAGGAATTAAAACATTGTCCAATGACATGTTGAATAATTCATTTGCACGTATAGTCCCTAAAAAAACTGGACTAAATGTACAACATATGATCAACCCCAATTCCCCGAAACAAAACAACATGCATATCCACCTAAGTCCGAAAATAGCCATGCAATTTCAAACAAATAGAATAACGGTGAAGAACATTTAAAGGAAAGGAAAAACAAATAATCAGGAATGAGTAGTACAAACACTCTTGTATATAATTATCAATTCTAAGGGAAATTTAACATTAGGCACAGTAATAGTTTAGGTCTATTTAAAAGGGTATAACGGTTGGGCAATAGCTTGATCACATTTACTTTAGAATACGGGCAACGAACATGTATGAAGCAGATCAAGAGTGAAAAAAAAATAATGAAGAAGCATGTAAGAAGGTTTATGATTTAAAAAAGTTTGCGAAATAGGTGCAAAAATAGGTTATGTGAGAACGAAAAAATTGTGAAAAAAAATAATAATGAAGAAGCATTTAAGAAGAAGGATTACGGTTCAAAAGAGTTTGTGAAATGGGCGTAAAAATAGATTATGCAAGAAAAAAATTTGTAAATAATTTTTTATTTTATTTTTCTTAAATCACTTGTCACTTAGACCAACTGTCATTAATGTTTAGTTATACTTTAATTTATATGTAGTTTTTTATTTTTAATCTTTTACATTTAATGTTGTTAGTTTATAAAATTATTCAAATGTGTTTCAAAACTTTATACAATATAAATAAAAATATAATCAAAAGAATAAACTATTTATTTGGATAAATTAATAAAAGATGTATAAATAGTTAAATAAAATGAGTAAAATAAAAGAATAAAATGTAATAAAACTCATTTATTTTTAAAATTATTTTTTATATTTTTATGATTTTGTATAAATTAATATCATATTATGTTATGTTTGTATTAATATTAGATTAATTTTTAGGATAAATAATTAAAAGTAAAAAAATTAAAATTAAATAACATTTTAATTCTTAAAAATATCGATATAACATTATTATGAACTAAAATATCATTTAAATAAAAAAATTAAATATAAATAATTACAGTTAAAGATGTTAAAATCATACAATGTTGAAGAATTAATATTCGTGTAACACTTTGGATAAACTTGTATATAAGTCAAAAAAATAATATAAAAAATAAATAACATCAAGATTACTTATATACTCTTGACATGAAAAAACAAATATTTATATACTCGGCATAAGATCACATATATCGAATTATCGTGAACAACCACTCTGATATACGTTGAAAATTCAATCTAATTCGTATATCCAAATAGTGAAGATGACAACATAATTAAAAAAATGAAGACATATTTAAATCTTCATTTCAAACCCGCAAAATTCTCAGCCAGGGGTAATATAGTCACAACAAGATGAAATAATAACTTAGGCATCAGTACAGTATAGCAATAACAAAATTGGTAACTTCCAATGACAACTATAATACTTTTTTTATTAAATATATTTTTATTTTCTTTTATTTGAATCACGTATAATTTTAGTTTTTTCAGTTTTTAAAATCAAGTATTTTTTTAAATTAAATCAAATTGAGACCTAAACTAATAATAATTTATTCAAAATCTTCGTAAATTAATAAATAACAACATAATATTAATATTGTTTATCATAATCAAGTTACTTTACGATCAACTAAATAATTTATTTTATTTATACATTTTATAAATATTATTTTTTATTAATTTAACTATTAAACAAGTCAATATGTTATTTTAATCATACAAATCAAATTTAAGAAAAATTAGACAAATCAAAAACTATAGAACATATTCAACTAGTTCAGTCTATAATGCAATTTTTTTTTTTATGCATGTTATCGGAAAGTTAACCATGATACATTTTCTATTTATTTTCAATAAATATTAACTTTGTTATGAAGATGATTTTAAGTCAGTAATTAAGTATTAGGTGGGCTGATAGTATGGATTTTACTTTGGTATTTTCATTTTTAGCAAGAAAATTAATAAGAATTTTTATTCTAACATAATAAATAAAATTAGAACAAATTTGTCAATTGAAAAATGATTTCAATTTCCTTTGCTTACTATGTGACTTTACACAATCCAGCATCATGAGTATCCTTAGTTACACAATTCAAACACGTGTTTTCAGTAGGTGTTTGGGAGAAAATCAATAAAATATGTAAACATTTTATTTGAAATTCTAAGTCTTCTAATAAAATGTGTCATCTAATAGCTTGGAATAAAATTTGTAAACATGAAACTCAAGGAAGATTTCAGATCAATCTAAGCAGGTTACTAATAGTTTAATACCTCCCTATATTTTTGTTGGTCGTAATGTGACTAGCTGATCCCATTCTCCAATGATAATTTATCTTTGCATACTGTTTTCTCTCTAATAGAAGCTAATAAGAAATGTGATGATTATGTATTATTTAGTTTGGTTTCAAAGTGGAAGAGATCTATCAAAATTAAACCTTTTTTTTAAGTAACTAATGTTAGACTCTTAATAGATGATGAGAGATTTAATAGGAATTTATCTAGTTCCAATATGTGTGATAAATGTTGTAATAGCCTTGAAACTATAATGCATATCTTTAGAGATTATAAATTTGCTATTGAAATATGGAACAATCTTATTATAAAAAAATATTGGGTTTCATTTTTACTTATAATTTATCTAGATGGTTAATATTTAACCTTGGTAATAATAATATAAATGAGATTAATATTTAAAACATTTAATTTGAAATTATTGTTTGACTTTTACAGTTAAATATGAATGATTGAATTTTTAATCGAAAGTCTTTAGATCATAAGAACTTTCTTTATAAATTGAATTGTCAATTTGCCTATATATATTTTCTGATCACATATGATCCTCTTTTTTTTTATACACACAACTTGTAAGCATGGGACCATGATTGGTTGATACCCTTCTCCTTTTTGTACATTTAAGTTTAATGTAGATGAATTATTTTATGACGTCAAAGTCTAGCAACTTGTGGTAGTTTAGTTACGAATTATTAAGAAAATTTTGTTGTTGCTTCATAAAAAAAAAATCAGAAAATTATTCAGCTATCAAATTTAAATTGTGAACCTTATTAATGGTCTTAGACTTATTAACAATCTTCAAATTAAATTAGATTTGAAATTAAAAATTCAACCACTAAATTCTAATATTTTCATGAATCATGTTATTTTCAATTATTATAGAAATTAAAAATTTATCTTAATTTATTATAATTGTTAGTCTCTATTGTATTTTTAGAAAAGTTAAGTGCCGTACATTTTTCAGCCAATTGAGCTTTCAAAAACTAGTTGTCTTTTTTTTGTTTGGAGTGTCTATTCAATTGAAGAATAATAAAAAAAAAACTATTTAACACATTATTATTATTTTTATTTTCTTAGACTATTTATTTAAGAACTTACAAATGTAACGGTTAAATTAAAAAAACTGGTATTTATATAAATTTATTAAATAAAATAACTTAATTTACTTATTTTTATGATATATACAATTTTAAAATTTTAATTATAAAATTTGATACTAAAATATTATTAATTGAAGCTTGCATATAAGTACGTTAAAACATTTCTTTAAATAAAAAATAAATTACACCGACACTTTTTGAACTTTAAGAAAGTTTTATGTAAAATTTTTTAATTCATATAACCTCTTTTTAATTATAAATAACCAAATATTATATTTTTTTATATATATAAACTATTTAAAGTTACGAATATTAAAGTAATGTAAAAAGTATTAGATGAAATTTTATCAAATATCATGATATATTATCTGAAATCATATTATAATTTTATTAATAATATAATATTTTAAATAAAAAATTACTAAAAATGACGCTAGGATTACAATAAAAATTGAGTGTATGTTATTGAGAAATTTTCATAGATGTTGTTAGTGTTTAATATTTGAGTGTTTTTCCTTGTTTGTTTTAATAAAAAATAGTGACGTAAGAACCTTACGCGTAAACCAGAACAGAAACGCAGAACTGGCAGAAAGACATAACCTTCCTTCAATTGTAACATGGGAGACTTAAGGAGATAAAGAAAAGAAACCGAAACAGAAATGCAGAACTGCTAGAGATAGAAGCGTTTAGCACGACGTCGTTTGTGGAATGGTTTGAGGGCGTTGCTTAAAGTGCGCTTGCTCTCCCTCGCTTAAATGTCTCAACCGCAAAATTGGAAGCCAAAATCGAAGCTCGGAACCCTAAATTAGTGACTCTATAGGGAAGCGATATAAACCGCTTGAACACTTCACGTTCTGACGATCGAAAATATGGTACGACAGTAAACTCGAGGTTCTACTCATCTTCGTATTGTCATTCATTACTGTCACAGTTTCGTTGTTCTCGCGAGTAGCTACTTGAATTTGCAGTGTTGAATTTTTCATTCTGATAAAAGGCTTTGGTTTTGCTTTGCCAGTTCTCAATTGCAGCAATCAATGATACGGACTCTAAAAGTCAGTGGGAGCCATTGGCTCCCACGAAAGAAGCTCAGGCACGTTACTTTCTTTTTATTTGATGATAAATTACAATGTTAAAGCAGTTCTTAGAGCTCTTCTTAGGCCTTAGGGTACGAAGATTAGGATTAGTGATCTCTTAATTCCTCTGTTACTCTTATATGTGCTGTTGACTCTTTTTCTTTATTATTTTTTATTGGGCGTTAATTGCCCGATTTTCTTTAGATGATTTAAATTCAAGCGCTACATTAGTATTATTCATTGGGTATCATATTTTTTCTATTATTTCAGGAATTTCATCTTTCTCAAACTTATCATGAAGGACTCCTCAAGTTACAAGCAAAAGAATATGAAAAGGCTCGCGAGCTTTTAGAATCTGTCCTTAAAGATCCTCTTATTGCTAATGCTCAGGTTTTGATTTCTTTCTAACACGTATTTTGTTCAAATTCTTGTGTCATTTTGAATTGGTAGTATGATTTATTTCTGTTGTCAGGTGGATAGAAGTGCAAGTGATGGTCATCTATTGCAACTCAGGTTTTGATCTGCACTATACTATATATTCTATAATATGTCCACTGTTCTGTCATTGTTATATTCTCTTTTAGCTCCTCTTTAAGTTGAGCAATCATAGTATCTATGGGCACGACCAATTAAAAGCTCAGAATGCATTAACATAACAATGCAGTCTGCGTAATAGGGTGTGCTAGAGTTATTTTAATATTTTCTTGAGATTTTAATTGGTACAGTGCTCATGCATGAATTAATCCTTTTCATTCTGTATTCTTTTAAGGTAACATTTGGCTCAAATATATTGCAATAAACTCCTTAACTTTTTTGAATTTTTACAAAGCTGGAGAATGTTAGTTTTAAAACTACATATCTTAGTTAAAAAAATCATACTATATTGTGTGGTATCATTTAGGTAAAAACCTATATACACTTTTCTTGTTGCAGTTTTTCATTCTTCTGTCTGTGTAAGTTGTCCATTTTCTTGCAATGCTTCTCATTCCAATGTCAGTATCAGCTTGGCATTATTGAGTGCTTTATGGCAATGATAAATTAGGTTTCTGTAACCAGTGACTGTTTTATCAGTTGACCGGTTGAATATCTAAGTTCCTCTAATGTGTTGCTAATTTGATATACACTTAAATATATATATATATATATATATACGAGTGCTACTTACACAGGTTTCTACAGATTTTTGGCATTGAAAAACCTTGCCGCTGTTTTTCTTCAGCAAGGTTCTACACATTATGAGAATGCTTTACACTGTTATCTTCAAGCGGTGGAGATTGATTCAAAAGATTCTGTTGTCTGGAACCAACTGGGAACATTGTCATGCTCAATGGGCTCACTGAGTATTTCACGTTGGGCATTTGAGCAAGGCCTCTTATGTAGCCCTAATAACTGTAAGTATCTAATATTCTTAATAAGCCATTTTCTAATGGCTACTTAATGGAGAGCTCGTTAATGTTTCTTGTCTGTGAAATTCAATTTTTGTTTACCTCTTTGGGTTATCTTTACCCTTCATGCATTCCTGTTGCGTGTCTTTTGATTTTTAACTGTCTATCAATATCTTTATGTGTGTGTGAAAATGTTTGAATAAAGAAAGCAATGACTTCTGCACTTTACAGATGCAATTTGGACTTTAGAATTGCTTTTGACATGTTTTTATCTGAAGTTAAATTGACATCTTGAGCAGTGTGAATCGCCATTCTGCCCAAAGTAACATTTTGTTGATTCTGGCTGAACAGACATTCAGCAAGAATTCTTTCTGATTCTGGTATCTTCGGCTTGGCATTTTGCAAATATGTCCTCATTCATAGCAGTTGAATATTAATATAAATTATTTTTTAAGCTATTTTTTGCAGAAGTAATTTTTATCTAATATTATCTAATCATAAGTAGAAAAATGCATCCCACATGAGGCTGCCACAAATATGAGGTGCCAGGAAGATTTGACACGTTAGTTAACCTTTTACCCATCTGATGTGAGCATTGTAACTAAAGGTTGAAATCTTATTGTTGTGACTTGTTACCAAGCTCACCCTTATCCATACAGAACTAGTTCTTTCAAAATCACTTTAAATAATCATTTTCAACAATAATGCTCATCCTTTAAAATTATTTTACTTTTCTTTTCAATATTAATTCTATGTCAATTAGCAAACATGCTCATGCTGTATGCATACATATGAACTCCCCCAATCTGTCTGCAGGGAATTGCATGGAGAAGCTTTTGGAAGTTCTTATTGCAATTGGTGATGAGGTTGCTTGCCTTTCTGTTGCTGAGTTGATTTTGAGGCATTGGCCATCACATTCTCGTGCTTTGCATGTTAGAAATACCATTGAAGAATCAGAACCGTTGCCATTTGCTCCTAGAGGCATAGACAAATTAGAACCTAAACATATGCGGCTCAAATTTCCTGACAAGAGAAAAGCTACTAATGAGAAAGTAGACGAGGATGTTGCATTCAAAAAGCTGAAACAGAATAAAGAACTGCATCTGACAGAAGCTTCCTGGGTGGCTCTTACTGATGCTCTTCTGGAAATCTTATCGCCACAAAGTTCTGAGATAAATCCTGAAAAAGCTTGCTGTTCTCCTGATATTATGCTAAACATAAACTTACCTTCTAGCTCTGAAGCTGTTATGAATACTATGGAAATGAAAGGGTCCAGTGGTGAAAGTAGTGCTTTTAGTGATGGTAGCATAGAACGGTCAAGTAATTTTAAAGAGAAAGAAGCAAATATCCAAGAAGAACAACCACATGAAAGACGGAGTTCTCGACTTGAAAGGCTCCGAAGTCGTAAACCAGGGAAAGAAGAATCTGATTCTTCCTGTGGCAAGGACCGTGCCAAGGTTGTTATTCAATATCTAGAGCCATTTATTGCTGGTGGATTGGGGGGTCGAGGTACTATTCATCGTGATACCACAACACTATCCTGTTTAGGAAATTCTGAATATAATAATGTTTCTGCATTTTTAAAAGAAACATCAAACAATTATGGTGCTTACCATATGGCGCACTTGCTTTTGGAAGAGGTTGCTAGACAGGGCCTCACATATCAGGATGCTTTAGTCAAATTTCTAGAGTTAGAAAAGCTGACAAGGCACTGGGGAAAGGAGAGAACTGCTGAATGTAATATTTTTCTTGCTGAGCTGTATTATGACTTTGGATCATGCTCCCCCAATGGTTCTAAACAATTAGAATTTATTTCAGAAACATCTTATCATCTTTGTAAGATCATAGAATCTGTAGCTCTAGATTATCCTTTTCACTTGACCCATGCCTTGAATAAAGGTTGTTTTCTGATTGATAGTATCCAAGAGACCAGTGGAACAACAATAGATACCGCTACTGAGAGCAATTATTCAAATTTAGATAGCTCATTCCTGAGGAAAAACAGGTCCTTCTGGGCTCGATTCTTCTGGTTAAGTGGGAGATTGTCTATTTTTGATGGCAACAGGGCAAAAGCTTGTGAAGAATTTTGTATTGCGTTGTCACTTTTGGCGAAGAGTGAAAACATGGAAGATTCTCTATGTTCAGTGCCCCGACAACATTGCAAGGCTGTAAAAGAGCTAAACATTGATAGAGTTCTTTATGAAATTAATATATTGAAGGTCAATTTCTTGATGGAAAAGTCTATCATTAAGATGATGGAAGAAGGAAATTTTTTGGAATGTGTATCCTTGCTTTCTCCCCTTCTGTTCTCCACACAGGATGTCTACCCTGATTCATTCTCTTCATCCATGGCAGAGAAAAAAGATGAAAAGAGAAGTTCCATTGAACTCAGGGCTCTAGATGTTCTAATAGAAGCATGTCAAAAGGCAAGGCCAATGGATGTAGAGATGTATTTCAATTGCCATTATAGAAAGCTGAAAATACTTATGGCAATGATGGGTTTGAATAAATGTATTACGTCATTCAAATATTCTGATCAAACACTTGGTTTAAGTGCATCTCCTAATTTTGATACTGATTCAAAGGAAAGTTCTAGCAAACACTGTAGTCACTTGGTTGCAGAGGAAGTGAAGGCACTCTCTGACTGTATCTCACAAGTGAAAAAAGTTATTGATCATCGTGGAGATTCTGTAAGTAATACCATTCCCAGTAGTTTTGGATTCTAAGCTGTCATAGCCATGGGCATATTCATTTTAAAAGAAACCACATTCCTGTTCATCTTTGAAGTTTGTAAACTACATATGCCCTTATTTCTCCTTCTTGAACATAATTCAAATAAATCAGTAATTATAATTTACCTACTAGTTATCAATTATTTTGCTGTTAATAATTTGCCCTAATAATGAACATACAAATATAGTAATTACCCCTTTGGTATGTGTCATCAGCTTGGTAAAAAAGAAATTGTCCATTGGAATTATAGAACAGTTTCATCCTCCTAACATTACGTTTGCTTGCTTATGGATATTTTAAGCTGACAGATTTCTAATAGAATTCAAGGAAATTGACGGGCTCTATGTTTTTTATATGTGGTGTTTTGGGATTTTGTCCTAATTTTTTCCCCATGTTTTAGAGGATGTTGTTTTCTCAAATTATTATTTTTCTGCCAAATTATGATACAAAGATACCATACAGGTATTGTATATGATTTGTATCTGATACAGTGAGATGTCTTTTTTAAAAAAAATATGATACGATATGTATATAAATATATATAAAAAATTCGCAAAATATAATAAATAAATATTGTAATTAGGAAAAATAAACTAACATATTTCTTAAACATTAGAATCTTGCTGAAGTGAGCTCCCAGCTACAACATGGCTATTGACTAAAAGAATGAAGTGTGGGACATTAAGCTACTTGATGTTGGCTGTTGGGTGAGAGCTACCAAAGTGTTTTGGTATCCTTTGTTCTGGTCGTGTGTACAGTGTGTTGTGATCTCCTCTGTTTTAGAGAGTCCTCACTCCCAACTATTATTGTTTTTCCATTTATTTGTTACAAATAATAAGTGAGAGTTTCAAAATAAAGATGAACAGTCATTTGATTGTGCATCCTTTAAGTATATCGGAACTTCAAGGATCAAGTATTGAAGAGTGCTGAAGACGTATTGAGATTTTTTTCTTATTTTAAAAATAGTTTCAATACCGCTTGGATATGTATCAATAGAGTATCAAAGCATATTGGTATAGGATATGTATTTGATACTGATATGAGATGAAAAATGGAGTATTGGTGTTTCATAACTATCAAACAAGAAAAAAGAAAGGAACGAAAAGTTCCATGTTTGGAGCTTCGTTTCCTGTTACCTCCCTACTGTTTTCATTGATTATGTTAAAAGAAGTAGTTGTCCAATATTTTTGATCTGGCTAGGTTTCTGGAACCTTTTGCCATAAATAAATGGAAAGGGATTTTAAACTTTGCTTAGCCCACAGGATTATCAATTATCCAAATTATCAACTTGCTTTTTTCACTCTGTATTTGGGGTTGATAGTGATTGGTTGTATAGTGGTATTTTTTGACTGATTTGCTTATCCTGCAAGGTTTAGAGTTGGCTTAATTTTTATTTTGTACCTGCTTTAGTTGAAATGGAAACCCATTTGTTTTACTTTGATCTTTTAAAGTCAAACTCATGAGCTTGGATTGTACTGCACCTGCAGTAGTCAGAATAGGAGTACTACTTGTGGAATTTTGCTGATTTGTAGGCCTCACATGGCTCTTTTCCTGATATATATCATATATGTGATGTGTGGCTTTAGTTTGGAGACAGTGGCCCAATTGTTCATTCACTGTTGTGTGGCTACATTCCTTGGGAATAAATTGTTTGATGCGCTGGGTCAATCTTGAATGTCCATTTTTCACTTTGCAACAATTCTCTATGATTCATTTTAGATCTTTTGAAATACCACGTGATATGCTTTGGATTAGGTTCCAGTTATGGCTTCTCTCTAGTGTGCTCATGGTTGTTTGAAATTACATTTCTGATGTTTAGAGAGGTTAGGCTGTCCTGCTGCATTCTTGATTTTCTCTGTTTCTGTTATCTTTTCTTTTTATGTTATGAAGGATATCTTGTTGTCCTGCTTGTTGTACTTTTCTCTCCATTAATTCCTTTTTTATCAATAAAAAATATAATAGACGTAGCCTCACTTTAGGTAAATTTCTAGATAAACATTTATAGGAGAAAAAAAATAAAGAAATAAAATAAATAATACTTATCTTAAATTTATGCACCTTAAGTTTTAGAGAAATTAAATGAGAGTTTCTAGATAAGTAGGAGTATAAGTTGATTTTTAACTTATAGGGGAAGTTTAATTCATTTTACTTTATCCAAAATTCCAAACCAGGTCATAATCTGTGAGATTGTTGACATGGGTTTATGTAATTTGTTTTACTTACAAAACCTTTTGTTTCCTCTCTATGTTACTATAGAATGTCATTTGTGGTGAAAGCATTTGTGTTCTCATGCTTGCAGGATGGCCTTGCTGTTCCATCGAGTAGCATTTGTCAAATGCACTCTCTGTTGTTGTTAATCATGAGCTATGTTGCCAGCATAGTTGTCTGCAACAAAGCCTCAGCACAAGAAATTTCTGATCAAGCTGAAAGCATCTGTTTCATTGATGCATCAATTGTTTTCTGCAAACTCCAGCATCTTGATCCAACCACACCTATCAAAACTCAAGTGAGCTATCTCCTTCTAGGAAGAATTTTACCTTTTAAGTGATTTGGTTGTTTAAGTGATTTTTCTAATTTTTTTAATTGAAAACCTCTACATTTCTTTCCTGCATTCTTAACTCAGGTTGATTTAATTGTCGCAATGCATGACTTGCTTGCTGAGTATGGGCTTTGTTGTGTGGGTGAAGGCGGAAAAGGTGAAGAAAGAACATTTCTTAGGTTTGCAATAAAGCATCTCTTGGCCTTGGATATGAAGCTTAAATCCAGCTTTAACCATAAGGAATCAATGCGATGTGAAGAAGTGTCCAAAAACAGTCTTGTCAATGTTTCTGTTGAAGAATCAAAATCTGATATGTTAGATATCCGGATGGATTGGACCAAAATTGATGAAATTAGTTCTGTGAAAAAGGATGTTTCTGAAGGAGTAATATCCAAAGGGGTTTCATCTTGCCATGTCCATGATAAAGACAGTAGGGAAGTAGAGTGTGAAAATCATGGAGGTGCCATGATTGACAGTAAGTTAATTAAGGGTGAAAGTTCAAGCAGTCAACTGATTGAATGTGGAAATGAACTTTCTGAAGAAGAAAGGGAGGAACTTGAGTCTAAAATTGACAATGCTTTAGATCAGTGCTTTTTCTGTTTATATGGTTTAAATCTAAGATCTGATTCATCTTATGAAGATGATCTAGTGATGCACAAAAATACAAGCCGAGGAGACTATCAAAGCAAGGAACAATGTGCTGATGTTTTCAAGTATGTTCTTCCCTATGCAAAGGCATCTTCTGTGAGTACTCTCTCTCCCTAATTTGTATAATTCGGTTTGTCACAGAAAATTGTACAGAATTTCTGTTTGTGATTATGTTTTGCTAAAAGTTTTGTATGTATCAGAGGACTGGACTGGTCAAACTTCGGAGAGTTTTAAGAGCTATTAGGAAGCACTTTCTGCAGCCACCTGAAGATCTCTTGGCTGGAAACCCTATTGATAAGTTCCTAGATGATCCTAATCTATGTGAAGATAAACTCTCAGAGGAGGCTGGGTCTGATGGATTTCTTGAAACTATTACTAAGATCATGTTTCCTGATGTGGGTGGCCTTGCACAGTATAATGCAACATTATTGAAGAGGTATACATTGGACAGTACTGTAGTCTGTAGGTGCTTCATTTTAAATTTATTCTATTCTTAACTGGTCTCTACTGATTTATATTTAGTGGCTACAATATACCACAATATTCCATGTTTTTAGTTTCTTAAAGTTCTCTCAAAGTATAATTGACTTTCAGGTCTGAGCCATATTTGGAGGTTTACTGTAACTTGTATTATTTCTTGGCTCTGTCTGAGGAAATGAGTGCAACTGATAAATGGCCTGGATTTGTGCTGACTAAGGAAGGGGAAGAATTTGTTGAACAAAATGCAAAGCTCTTCAAATATGATCTCATGTACAATCCTCTGCGCTTTGAAAGCTGGCAGCGACTTGGGAATATTTATGATGAGGTAAGTTAAAAGTGTTATTTGCCTTATTAAATTCTTAATGCTGTGAAATTTACATATAAACAATGATGTCTTAATTTCTAAATATTTTGTCAAGTTTTAGAAATCTTTCTTTGTTGCACTGAGCTAGGAAGTAGATTTGTTGCTAAATGATGGTAGCAAGCACATTAATGTAGTAGGATGGAGGAAGACTACTACTTTATCTGAGAGAGTGGAAACAAGCCGAAGGAGGAGTAGACGGTGCCTACTAATGAGTTTAGCTTTGGCAAAGACATCTACTCAGCAGGTTTTACCTCTATTAATATATTTACTTCTTTTGAAATGTTTTGTGCATTGTGAATTATTAATACAGTGCCATTCATTGTTTATTCTAGTTACTTGGATATGTTAAATGTCTGATAATATTTAAGGCTAATAAAATGTGCAATAAAAATCTAACTTTGTGCTGCAATGTTCAAGATTTATGTTATTATGGAACCATTAACTTTACTTGAATTCATACACTAGGATTCTTGATGCTGGTCATCATTGCGTTGGTAGAAATATTGGTTATATATTTAACTCTTTTTTGTATTTGTTGTATTTCCAGTGTGAGATACATGAGTTATTGGCATTGGTATACTACGACAGCCTGCAAAATGTCGTCCCATTTTATGATCAAAGATCTGTTTTGCCCTTAAAGGATGCGGCCTGGATGATGTTTTGTGAGAACTCAATGAAACATTTTAAGAAAGCCTTCACGCTTAAGTATATCTTTTTTCTTCTGTAGTCTTTTTTTTTTCCTGCTCTTCTCTAGTTTTAATATGATGTTTATAAACTGTTTTGATTCTTTGTACAGGCAGGATTGGTTACATGCATTTTACTTGGGTAAACTCAGTGAAAAACTTGGGTATTCACATGAAATAGCATTATCATATTACAACAAAGCCATTGCTTTGAACATATCAGCTGTTGATCCTGTCTATAGGATGCATGCCTCACGGTTGAAGTTATTATTTAAGTGTGGAAAACAGAATTTGGAGATTTTGAAGGTATTTTCCTCTTTTCTGAACACTGAACTATATTTTGGTATTATTTTAAGAAAAATATTACCATAAGCCTTTAGGGATAATTTTAAGCAACCAAAATTGGTAAATTTTTATTGGAAAAAAAAGAAGCATTTATCACATGAAATAAATGTTTTCTTTCCCAAGAAAAACCTTATGCTTTAAATTACTTAAAATCAGTCCTAAGGATTGAGGTTAACAATCTGTTATTTGTTTTATTTGTCTTTGCTGTTGCCCAATTATTCTGATTGCATTAACTGTCATATATCCTTTTTTTTTTTTCCCTGTCCTTTATAGTTGCAGTTAATTCTAAGGTTAACCTTCAATACTTTAATGGACAAGATAGTTTGGGCACTCGATCTATATTCTTAACTATTGTTTGGTCCACAACAGGTTCTTTCAGCAAACTCCTTTAATCAATCTCTAAAAGAAGCTGTCACAAGTATCCTTGGTGATTTGGGTTGCTTATCATTTAACACAAAGGAGATATGTACTCATGCCAATTTTGTGGAAACAAAGCATGAAGAGCTACTCAAATTGGATAAAGTATGGTCCATGATTTACAATGACTGCCTTTCTGCTCTTGAAACTTGTGTAGAGGGCGATCTCAAACATTTTCATAAGGCCAGATACATGCTGGCTCAAGGGCTGTATAAAAGAGGCGAGAACGGTGATATAGAGAGGGCAAAAGATCATTTATCTTTCTGCTTCAAATCTTCACGCTCATCATTTACAATAAATATGTGGGAAATTGATAGCATGGTCAAAAAAGGAAGGTACAATTTTGTTCTTATCCTTTCATTTTTTAATTTTGGTTATCTTGATTGAACTTGAATGAAATGAAATTGTCACTAACAATTGATGGGTCATATTATGACAATTTCCAAGAATGCATAATACTACGGTAGTATTAATTAGTGTCATAACAAGAACATTGAAGATTTGAAAGATATGTTCTCTTGGAACCTCTTGGGGGTTTCACTCCTTAATAAAGTAATATTTGATGGATTGTTATCTATGCTATGTGGGAGGAATGTAACAACAGTATGTACATACTAAGAATAACCTGTTTTGCATTTAATGATATCAGGCGCAAGGCACCAGGTTCTGCTTGTAACAAAAAAGCCCTTGAGGTTAACTTACCAGAAAGTTCTCGAAAATTTATTACTTGCATTCGAAAGTATGTGCTATTTTATCTCAAACTATTGGAGGAGACTGGAGATAGATGTATTCTTGAACGTGCGTATGTTTCTCTTCGAGGAGATAAACGGGTAAATCCCAAAAAATCTGATTTACATGTCAGCAAATGATTACTGCTACATGCTTCATTTGTTCTCATGGAGGCACTTGTTCTTTATAACTGTTCTTTGCTCTTGATTAATTTGAATCATTGATGATTTTAACTTGTTGCCTTTTAGATAGTAAGACTAAGATTGGGTAGTTAATTGTGGGGATGAAAATTTATCTTTGGAGATATGAATTTAAGGTTTATGCAGGCATAAGGGAAGGAATTCCCTTCATGACTAGAGCAGAGTCTGTCTTGATTTGTATGATTAGGCCTAGTTTGGATTAAATTTATCAATAACCACTCTCAAAAAAGAAAATAAAGATAAAATAAAGGAAACTTCTTTGATAATTTAAAGTCACGTGCATTTTGCTTTTTTTATAACCTCTTTTATTAACTTTTTTAAAAGCTGAGATGTATGACTTTATTTTAAATTTTATTTATTTTACTTCCATATTTCTTTTCCTATAAGTATTTTAGGATCCCAATTGCAAGTATGAAACTTGGATTCCACATTGGAAGTATATAATTCTAATGTGAGGTTTATAAGGCCTTGGGTTCTCTAACTAAAGTGGCTAGCTTATGTGGTGTGATTCTTCCAAGGTTCTCATCAGAGTACTTATTGAGAAATTTATTCAAATTGAGCCTTACCATCAGATTTATCAGGGATAAAAGAACCAATACTAATCCAAGACTTGTCCTCCCTTCTCTTCGCAATTTTTTTTTTTTTTTAATATCTGCTTTTATATGAAAATAATTTTTAGACTGATTAACTAGTTAATCCAAACCTAAGTGAATTGACTTCACATCTGTAGAAAAATTTGGAAGTTCCTGTTGCCAATTAATTTAACTATGCATTCATCAAAAACATTAATTGAATGGCTCTCATTATTTGCTCCTTCCTCTCCTAAACACCTCTAATGTGTTTCTTTAGCGGCCTTTGAATCTTTACTATTTGTCTTTAATACATAATATTTAGCATTCCTATATTGTTTAGAATTTAGTAATATTATATGTTAGTCCCCTGTCAACTATAACCTGCATCATCGCTTCTGTGACTGTCATTTTTGCATACCCTTTCCTCTTATCTGATAGTATTGTAAACTTTATTTGTTGTCTTTCCCTTTCATGACAAATGCAGTTTTCATTATGCATTGAAGATCTTGTACCTGTGGCTATTGGAAGGTATCTAAAAGCCCTGATTTCAACTATGTGCCATTGTCAGACTACTGCCTCTGGTTCAGTGAGCTGTTCTGACAATATGCTGGAGAAAATGTTTGCATTGTTCATGGAGCAAGGGAGCTTATGGCCAGAAATATGCAGCTTGCATGAAATTGAGGGCCCCAATATGTCAGAGAATATCATATATGGGTAATAAGATTTAAACAAATAGCGACATTTTTTTTCAATTTCTGTATTCTCTGAACTTCTTTAGATATAATATAATGTGTTTTCCATTTGTTTTTCAATGGTAAAAACTAACTCGAATCCTCTAATCTTTGCAGATATCTTCATGAATACATTGTATTATTGGAGAAAATTGGAAAATTGGAAACTCTTGAAGCAATAAATGAGAAGATTCGGAAACGTTTCAAGAATCCTAAGTTCTCGAATAGTAATTGTGGAAAAGTTTGCAGGCATGCTTCTGTTGCTTGGTGCCGATCTCTTATATATAATTTGGCACAAATAACTCCGTTATCATGTGGATTCTCAAATGGGATTCAGGTCCTTAATTTAACCGATGGTGGTATGGATAATAGCCAGTTGCTCTGTATTGATTTGCAGCCAAATGAATTATGGAGTACAGCTTTCGAAGATTCAACTCATTTGGAAAAAATTGAAACAAAATGGAGCGGCATTTTAGCAAGAATAAAGAATATAATAATCAAGAAAGCATCTGATGAAAATTTGGAAACTGCAAACACTTTGCTCAGAGCTTGCTATAACTTTTACCGAGAGAGTTCTTCTGTTGTGCTTACCTCTGGTCTCAACTTTTATTTGATTCCATCTCAATTAGTAACAGAGACACTGCTTAACCCACCCTCAACTGGGATTGAGCCACTTGATCTGAGCATACCAAGGAAGCTTCTATTGTGGGCCTATGTGCTATTGCATGGACGTTGTGCGAATATCTCTGTTGTTGTAAAGCACTGTGAAGAAATTTCAAAGGTATGCTAAACGCTAACTGAAGTTCTTTGCTGTACCAGAACATCTAATGGCGAAAACAAACCCAGATAGCATCTTTGAGAAAGGTGCTTCACACTCAAATCTTTTTTAATTGACCTTAGCTTTTCTCCTTTGAGCTTTATAAGTTCGGAGTGTATCTCCACATGACAAGTGAGTTGCAAGCTATCAGATAGGAGTACATCTCCACATGACAATTCAAGCATAAGGGATTAATTGCATTACAAAATCTGTAAAATTTTTGTGGCAAAGTTAAATTGAGGATTAATAAAGTTTCTTCCTTTTATCAGCTGACCATCAATTATAACCTATGGTTCTGTTATGCAGTCAAAGGTGAAAAGAGGAAGTGGAATGTCACCTGCGTTTTCAAACACGCCTGCCCCTAGTCTTCCAGGTTATCTACCTCCTCAATAATTACTAGGTCTTATTAGCCTGGAAAGAAAATTCTATACAAAAATTGAAGGGTAATGATGTTTAACAATACTTGCTGGTTGTAGGTAGTGGTAAAAACGGACCAACTTCTGCCGGAGGCATTGACGTTGATTCTAGCAGCAATACCACTAATCTTTTAAATTCCTCCGATGAGATTCAGAAGAATCTCTTTGCTTCTCCCCACTTGCACCAATGTACCACTAACGATGCAGAAAGAAGCAATTTGATAACACATGAAGTAGATATAGAGGGAGATTGACTTCGTCCACATGGGACGAATTTTATTATTGCAGGGGCAGCTGCCGGCTTCTTCACAGTGAAAGCTTATAGATGTAATGACATCATATATACGGCTTGTAAATCCTATTTTAGTGATAAAATGTAAATAGGGTAGGGTTCTATTTGAGACCTACGAGGGGAGGGGACAATTTGTATTTCATAGCAGGATGGCTGTACATAGTTGTACTTTGAACTTGTGAGGGGATGAAGTTGTGTCATTTTAGTTGAGAGGTGATGAATTTGAACACGATTTTAACTATTTCAGCAAGAATTATTTCTGATTTTCCTTTTATGAGGTAATTTGGAAATTTTGTATCAACACAATAATAGCTTTGTCATAACTTGCCAAAGGACATTTTCGTGAAGGTTATTTTTAGAAAACAATGAAACTGCTGAATATAATTTAAAATATAAAGTTTCAATAAATATACCCAATAAAAATGAATTTTTTAAAACGAGGTAAGTATTAAAATTAAATTGTTTAAATTGCCATTATTGTATTCACCTTTATAAGAAATAACTGGAGATAGCGAAGGGATACTTTCATTTGAATGTTTAGACAATTCCTTAGAAAGTTCTATTAAGCAACCCTATTATAGGCGGTGTGGAATTTGAATTGAACCCAAAAAGAAAAAGAAAAGTGGTAAAACTACACTATAGTAAATAAATCGTCAAAACTTTATCATGATTGTACAAATAAAATTATATGTTATTTGTAGATTCATTAAAGCATATTAAACAAAAAACCGTGTTAATTACAAAGTAGCTCGCCGGCTCAGCTTTCTACAAGCGCTTCAATAATTCATTCGTAAACAAGTAAAGTCGTGTCCAAAGCAGCGAATACTGACTCAATTATTTATTTGCATTTGTGGGTATCAGATGTTAAAAAAGAAGAAATCCTTGCCAAAACAGTAGTAAAAATAAAATACCGTAAAATGGAAAAACGAAGGTGTGTATTGCCATTTCATCAAAAGAAAAACGAAGCGACATGATTTAACTAAACAGTGTATACGAGTCCTGAATGCATAATGTTCTTTTAATAGGCGTGTATTGCCATTTCAACGTCTTTTAGCACGGTCAGTTTTTTATAATTCTATGTTAATAATTAAGAGTTGACACTCCTTGTTCTAAAAATTGTCGGATTGAGGGACACAGAGAAAGTGAACTTATAATTCAATTCTTGAAATTGCACAGTAATTTTAATTTCTTAATTTTCAATAAAAGACTAATGTCAAATTGCTAAACAAATTAAAATAATTGACATTTTTTCAAAAAGACTAAACAATTTTGTAAAATCAAGAACAGCAATAATATTTTAGCCTAAAAATAATCAAAACTTTACTGAAAATAATCAAACCCTACACTGACAATTTTAACAAAATCTCATTGATTGCAACAAGATATGAACCTACTTCACGAACAAACAATAACAATTAACTAATTTAATACCACAAAAAAGGTACATTTGGGGTGTTCGGGGGAAGGAGGTTGTTGAGGAATAAAACGCTTCAAGCTCAGATCTTATACCCCAAGACGCTCAAATTTCTCCGCCGACTTTACTTGAAGCGGTTCGCCAATTGAATATAATTAAAAAAAAATAGGGATGAGTTAAAGAGTTGTCAACAACATAATATTCTGAAGAATACTTAGTTACTTGATATTTACACCGTAGGGAAATTCAAGGTGAAAATGATTTCATTTCTTAAAAAAACTACTGGACATTAGGTGTTACAGTAATGAATGCCTCTACAACTTCTACTTTCGATTTCTGTAGCTCTATTCCTCCCCACCTCGAGTTATCCTACCATCTCTATGTCAATCTTTGACCTATTCTAGATGACCGTACTCAAACTGAACATGTGATGGATTGAGAGAAGAGGGGGAAAGGGGGAAAAAGTTAATGTTGAATATATGCTGTGAAACATACCATCATGACTGCCAGAACAGCTCAAAATCGTTACTATACAAGGAACGGTCTTGAATTTCCAGATTGGCAACATGCCAATTGATGAGTTGAGACTGGAATAATTTACACAAAACCAATCCAGCTGGAAAAATCCACCATTCACTTTCGTCCCTGCATCTCCAAACAGTTGAGAAATAAATAACTAGTCAGATGTTCCCAAATAAGCAGCTCTTATTGAAACTAAGAATACCCTTACATGATACTCCATGGCTGAAAGCTGGGCTGTCTTTTACTGGAAGATGATTGAGAATTGTAATGTATATATCCGCAAAGAAATGCAACAACCTAAGGACAAGAAAATAAAATCCCCAATTAAAGTAAAAATGTGTATATATATAATCCATATTACTATTTTCCACCCTTATAAATGGAGAGTCTATCAGCCTTATAAATAAATAAAAGGATCAAATATCGCCAATCAGCTGAAATTTGATAGATAACTCACAACATTTATGAAGGATGTAAGGTTCCACAGAGCATAAAGACGTGCAAGGCCTGCAGAACGCCTTGGTCCATGACTAAAAAGAGCATTAATTCCGACAGGAAATGGGAGAAGAATGCCGAAAGGTAATATAAACAACACAAGGAAGACATCCACCAAAGAAATTGAATACAACTGAAGCAGGGTAAGTAATACTAAACTAAAATCTCCTAGAAGCAACATTGAGATTACTAAACCAACAAGATCCTGCAGTCAATACATAAAGGGAAAGGGTAAAAAAAGTCAGTTATCAAATGCAAGCACAAGAAACCGCAATTTTGTCCAGCAAGTCAGTAAAAACTATCAATACAAAATACCTGATGCCCAACAGGTTTTGTATTCTGAAGTATAAAAGAGAGAAGATAAAAGATATCTCTCTTCTCGTCAATCATCTGCAAATTGTTTACATCCAAAGCAGCTCCATTCGTCCTACGCCTCATATAATTGTCCTCAATTCTTCCACCAGAGCTTAAATGAGCTCTGTTTCTTGTAAGCCCCAAAGGATGTTCCTTTTTAACACTCTGGATCCTGGAAACAAAAAATCACACAAAAACAAAGAAAAAATAGAGTATCATGCATAACAAACCACACCACAAATTTTCCTAAAACATAATTAGAACCATTATTTTTTAAAGTTTCTCATAAAGATGATAAAAAGTATGGTAGCATGCCATGGGTATAAAGGATTACCGTAATCTCTCCTCAGTTCTTAGAGTTCCATCAGTACTTTCTCCAGGGGCTGGACACCGTTCTTCCTCAAGAGCATAAACCACAAGCCCATAGTGGCAATAGCCACTACTAGTAGCCTGAAACCAGGCAAGATCAACGCGGACACCATGGACACTCAATGCATGATTGGCATGAGTCTCAAGCCATCTGAGGACAGGTCGAAATGTTACTCTTAGTCGTCCACGGCGAACTAACCGCAATTGTGCATTCAGCCCAGCAACCAATCTATACCAGGTTGTAGGTTGCACTGACTGCAAACAACATTAATAGTAATCTTTTAATTAAATTACCTAAGAATGGAACAAAAAGTAACAAGGCATACATTTAAGTGAATCTGTCCATAAAATTGAGTTACCCAAAATCGATGAACAAACCTGACTCATAAGGCTTGTAAGGATATTATCATTGTGAAGGGAGAATGGAGCCATATAACTTCCATCACCTCCAAAAAGCAACGACATTGGGAACCTTTCATGTAATCGAGGAGGAAGGTCTGTCCTCTTTTCATCCCCACCAAGAAAGAAGTCCACATATGCCAGCATCAGGTCAGAAGTTGCATTTACCTATATTATTTTACAGGTTAATGAAAATTCTGAAATACCATCGAACACTCATGAGTTGTTTATACACTGATTTCAATTAATGAAAAGTAAAAAACATATCTAAAATATTTTATTCCTAAAGAAACAACTCTTCAATTCAAAATTACAACAAAAATATGAAGCCTATATATGATCCTGACATCAAGATTGACAGCAAAATATGATGAAAATTTCATCTCCCAACAGCTATCAACATGCCCAAAAACTGCATTAATGACCTCATCCAGTCTATTAATGAAACATAAGTGATGATGATATGATCAACAGTAACACAATAAACTAGCTGGCATCTGATATGACAGATCACAGGTGGGTTAACTAAAAAAATACAATTAACCAGGTCTGAAATTAAAAATTAAAACAAACCATTCAGTCAGCATCTATCCAGTCATACATATTTACCAAACATAACATTTACATTTCACCATATGAATGCACATTAGAACAGGATCAGGAGATGCACCTAAACCAACATGATTCAATACAATTCAATTGAATATCAAAATACTTCATTGTTCAAAGGTTCAACAAGTAAATGAACAGTTCAAACCTTGATCCCTTCATATAAGGCACGTGATCGGCAAGAACGAAGGCAAGCATGGTCATACTCTGATCGAACAAACTCACGCAAACGTTGCAACTTCAATCTCCTGCGCCATTGTTGCCAGGACCAAGCAAGTGGGTAAGCAAGAACAGAAAGAACACTATATATTGCTCCCTCCCACCATTGATAGGCTGCTATAGCATTAATCTCATCCACAAATGTATTGAATGCACTCTCATAACTGCATGTAAGGTGTTGGAAGATCTCCACCTCAGTATCATAACCAATAACATAACTATAAAAAGGCCACGATCCTAGTTGGAACCATGGGATCTATAATGATCAAACAGAAGAATGAAGAACGTTTTGCTTACACAATATCCTGTATATGTTCCGAAGGTGTATGTGGCAGATGCCAGGGCTCACTGAAAGTATTTGGTCCCATAAAGTACATTCTGTGAACATGGCTCTGGGACTCCTCGACCCTGTTTGTTTCCAAGACCTAGGCATTTACAGCAACACATCACCGTCAGGTCATTAAAAAAAAAAGTGGGGAAAAAATAAATAGCTACTGTTAAGAGGCATACTTAATTCAGAAATATCAAAATAAGAAGCAAAAAAGGAACCACATGGTTTGAGGAAAACCTCATTTAATGACTCCAGGAAAGGGAAGGAGTGATCTATTTGAGAACCATGTTGAGTAGGTGCTGGGCCCGGTAATTCATCAACCCCAACAAATTTCATTCTTGCGACACTAAGCACCAATGCTAACAAGATCAAGAGACCAATAAGGAAAAGACCAAATAACCAAGGTCCACCAAATGTGTAAATTAACTCTTCAAGAGCTGTATAACATTCAGGCATGTGATATCTGTCTGAAACGCATTGGTAAGGGCAAGGTGTTTCAGTAATTCCACCTGCACAAAAGACAAGATGATAAATTATGCAGTGATACACCAGATAGGTAATAAGATGGATATCTTTTAGAAGACACTTCTAAGCATGAAGGGAGCCAACGTTACCCACGGAACCCCAAAAACAGATACATAGGATGAATGAAGGACAGGAATACAAGTCCTTCAGCTTTCACAACATAAAATTCCAAACTACATAATCTTGCATGCCTGTTTACATTATCATCCATTAAATTATAAAATCTACCTCGGACTGAAATATACACAGCACGGTGAGGAAGCTCATTAACAGGACAATGGTGACAAAGTGATTTATCAGATCCAGTAACATTTTTGTAAGTGCCAGCTGGACATTCCTGGAGGCAAGCAAGTAGGATAAAAGCCTATGAGTAGAAAATCTGGAAGTAGAAGCATCAGTTAGTCATCAAAGATTGGAAAGCAAAAAAGCTGCAAAAGAACATGAGAATGAGATGAAGAGGGTAAAGAAAGATCCTATTAATTTGAGTAAACTTCCTCTAATCCAGTGTGGTCAAAAGCAGTGGCCAACCTAGGTGCAGAGGTAGGTGGGATTCCAGTCAAATGGCTCACCAGTCCCAAGATAGAGTAGTCTCACCAATGTGAGTCTGATGTAGCCAGATTAGACTAGGCTAAGGCAAATCATGAAGCATAAAAAGCTTGCAACTATGACATTACAAAAAAAATGTTTTCATCTTTTAGCACTTCTAGCCAATGCACATGCAATTAGAAGTTGCACTGGATTCTACAGAGGCAAGCTGGAGCTACAAAACTAAATACCATCCATGTTTTGTTGGATCCAAATTTATCATTCTCATAAAAAAAATTCTCACCAGATACATCAAGAAGCTGTAGTGTGACTATCTATGTGTTTTTGGCTTTTCAAGCTTCTATTAATAATTCCCCTTCTACTCCTAACATTGTGCACAGAACAGTAGTCATGTGATGCCTAACCACATTTTTGAATATTTTATGATGAAACTGAGAAAAAGTTTACATTCCAATGTCCAGGAAGGGGAAGGAATGGTAAGCAGAATCATGAATTGGTTCCATCCCACACTCCCTAACCCAGGGAGAAAGAAAAATAGAGGTATTAGATTGAATGGAGAGAAATAGATTCCACTAGGTTCCATTTGATTCCATTTGACAAACATTCCAAACGATGGTAACAAATGTTATTCCTTTTCATTCCATAAATCGAAACATAGCCTTAATTTGATAACAGCCATGAGCATTCTCCCTATTGTCACACTTCATGTCACTAGAACCGCATGTCTATGTCTCTTTGGCATTTTATAGTGGCACTCAGCTCCATTGGGAAACTTCAACTATTATACCCAATCTTCAGTATAGGTCCCCCAAATAAAGGAAGGCCAAGTTCCCTTTAGATGCATCAGTATATCAATGTCAAAAATGAGTGCAATGAGTGCCACTGAATTATCCTCCACACACCTTTAGCCATTGGATGTTGCATTCAAGTATGCTGTAACTTGACATATTAACATCCTTTCAAGTATAATATCCCCAAAAATTTTAAGTGAACTATCCTTGATTATATCAGAAGCACATCAGTCAGAAATACAATCAACATGCCAGACACTCATCAACTAGCCACTGTATTGAGGCTGAAATAAAATAATGCACAACCTATATAGTGATGATGACCATGGGTGCGGTAGTATTATTCCTCCACATGCATTTAACCATTAAAAGTAATATAACTAGACAAACTACTTGGACACATGGAATAAATTCACATATTGAGCAAATATGGAAACTCATGATCACAAAGGTAGCAAGAACACATTAATAAATATGGAAATATAACAGAATAAGAGGAAGTGGAAAGTAAATATACCTCACAAAATGTACCATAAAGCCCTTTGGGGCAAGCCTTCCCAGTTATTGTCCCATTTGCTCCAGAGCCACCCTGACCCTTACCCTTTCCTCCCCTATCATAATCACATAAAATTATAAAGTTCTGAATTTGCCATCATAACATGAGTGAAAAGCAAGGGCAGAGATGGAAATGAAAGAGTGCAAAAATGGAAAACAACGTCACATGTAATCATAGAGGGAATCATTACCATTAGCATGCACAAGCTAAATCTTTTTTGGGGACTAAAATATACAAGCTAGAAGTTACAAGTTCATAACACCAACACAAAGAATATGCAAAGAACAGTTCTAGCTACAACTCCCGCACCCAAGAAAATGAAGCACGTTAGCCAAAAAGGATTAACAGAAAAAGCTTGCCACAGATTCATAAATGTCAAACATTTCAGGATTTGGAATGAGTGATGACCACTTCGAGTGACCTACACCAGAGAAGCTTTTATTTTAAGTTTCTGGTTTAAAGGGTTTGACATGCCAACTATGTTGATTAAGTATACGCAAACTACAAGATCATACAGTTTAAGCATACATTCTTCACCATATATGCACTATAAAAGACACAACAACTGCTTTCTTGCACATTGACTGCACCCATCCAAATTAAGCTCATACAGAATAAAAGCAAATATAGTAGAATTGAAGCAAAAGCTTGTAATAGATGTACCTGGTCTGAATGCCTCCTTTCACAATAGCAATTGGCTGATAAACATCTCCAGTGGGAATGTCCGCCCAATGAAAATGAATTCTTCCACCACCTCCACCACCACCTCCATTAGAACTGCTATATCCCCCTACACTGGAAAGCACAGCTGATTCACCGATGCCAAGTGTATGGAGAAACAATAGTATAGTGCCACCAGATGCACCCCCAGGACCGCCCGTTAAATTATCAAAAATAGCAAATTTTCCGTTTCTGATTGCTGGTTCAAAATTCCCTCCATCAGCATTTACCAAACCCTGAATTGACAAACTCGACAATGGGTGCTCCAATGATCCGACTACTGCTCAACAGATACAACACAAACATAAATTAAAGAAGAAATCCTGTTGTAATCATTGTCTTCCATTATTCATAAAGAATGGATTAACTGATCCAAACATAAGCTTACCTATGATCCCACCCCCAGCTGTGGTAACGGTCAAGCTGCCATTTCCACTTCCACTACCAAGTTCACAGGGAAGGTCTGCATTCCCATATGAAATGCCACCTTCAACACAATTATCATCATAACAAGCATCCCCACCATTACCACCATGCCCACCTCCACTGCCAATACCATTACTTAGAATATTTCCACGGCCCAACCCACCAGTACAGCCTGCAAAATTTTTTTTTTTCAGCATAATCAATACAGGGAATGCAGCTATTTGAATCAAAAGGTGACAAGAACCTCACATGTAAAGAAACATACCCATTCCAGAGGCAGATATTATTCCAGAAGATTCAACAGTTATTGTCCTAGCCCTGTGGAAATGAACAACAGAACCTTTTATAAGGCCTTCAACAAGGATGTCCTCAACTCTGCAGATCTAGAAAGGCAACATACAGAATTTTTAAGTTTCAACTATATATATATTAGCATAACCAAATGCTAATCCATCAATACTTTAAAAAGTACCTGAAGGGTGAATGACAAGGATGCATTCACATTGCAATCTTCAGGGGGATGAAGTAATTCAGAAGGGCAATTTTGGTTGTCACAGTAAAGCTTTGGTGTGCTGTCAATAATCAGAGTATGGAAATTTAGCAGAACTAGAAACAAAAGCATAGAATGAGAAATCAACTCAATGATTTCACAACATCCAAACATACACATCATCAGTTGTTGCATTCTCCAATGGACCACGCAAGACAGATCCCGGCCCAACCTATAAAGAATGTCAAAAGTAAACTCAATTTGTAGAGGTAGGACCAACTAATGCTTAACCAAAACACCAGCACATACACTATTATTCACCATTGGCTAATGCCAAAAACAATCAAGTTACCAAAATGACTTCATTTAAAAGATTAATTAACAAGAACCAGACCCAAAGTATTGGGAGAACCAGGAACATCAGAAGAGTGTAATTAAGCCACCAAAATAATAAGCAGAAAGGACAAAAAAAGCACCCTAAAAGTATGCAGAAAATCTATTAAGCACCAAATATAGCCCAAGATCCAGACAAGATGGAAATAGAGCCAATATCCATACTTAGTAACCATTATGATCTTTCCTCTGGCAGTTTCCACTTTCACCAAATTTTGAGCAAAAACACAAACAATCAGTTTCTTTGGATAACTTATAGAAGTATTGGAATGCAAAAAAGAAGTTAAAATTTTTGTCTGGGCTATTTGATCGACTATTTAACTTTAGATCTGCACATGATAGGATTGTCTCCATGGCATCTCTTTGATGTTCAGCTCATGGTTTCTAAATCCATAAATATTCAGAGAATTGAAGAGCTTCACCATATTATATTGTAGTGAATTATGTTTATGACCAGAAGGAAAGCTTCTTTGTATTATTTCATTACACTAAAAAGAACCAAAAGGTATTCACAATTAACTAGTATTAGGATATACAATATTGTACTAGATCATTTCCTAAATAAATAAAAGAGCAGAAAAAAAAATAGCACCCAGTCAACTACTAAGCTACAGAAAAATGCTCTACAGCTAACTACTAAAAATAAAAAAGAATAAGAAAAATATTTAAACTAATATGAAAAGACTGATGGGGGAAAAACTAATCTAATGAAAAAGAAAGCAGATCTCCAAATTCATTACTGAAGACCAATTGTATGGGAAAATTAAGTGTTCAATGACTACAAATTATCAGTGGTAAAAACAAAACAATGTCTCACATGAATACTATAAAATAAGGACAAAACCAAACGCTGTGCTTCAATCCAATCTCCTGGTCCTGATAAATTAAGCAGACCTTGTCCATGAACTCCAAGGTTTGCATTAGAATGTATCACAGAAGATCCCTGTTAATAAAACCTGATGTGGTCAAATGTGATGAAGATAACACGTGCAAAAATATTGTCCAGCCAAGGAGTTGATAAATACCCTGAGAACAATCAAATTACTAGCCTCAAGTAAAGAAGTTGCCACGTTTATATCTTCCCCCCCATCTATGAGCATTTGTGAGTTCCACATCAAGAACATTTTTACAGACATGCGTAGAGCACCATATACCTGTCATACAAGTTAAGTGTAAAGCATCAGAAATAGCATTGGATCATTACTCATAGCAGTATAAAAAATTTGAGCATCCTTTGTCTGACGTGCTCATTTATGTTTAGTAGTTGGTTCAAAGATACAATAGAACTAGGACACAACAATGTATCAATAAACAAGATATACTATATAAACACTCAGAGATTCCAACTACCTTCATCACAGAATCACTCATCAACAGTTCTTCAGCCAATAACTCAAACTCTGAAGTAGCATAGTGTCGCAGCCCAAAGCTCAACACCCCACCCTGCAAGATACTTATCTGTCCTTGCACCTAATAATGAATACCAAACAAAAAGATAGTTGAACAGATGCCTTCACATGCAACGATCTTTTACAAAACAGATTAAAAAAAAAACATATATCAAAATATGAAAGGAAGACACGGAGGAAACTTACCATTTTCTTTTTTGGATAAAAGAATTCATTAAAAAGGAAAGGAAAGACAGTAACGGAAAGAAGAAACCTTTGATCCAAAAAATAAGACTGAAAGGCATCCTCTAAGAAGCAACCAACCAAGAATATTAACAGGTACCCAATTTCCTATCCCTTTGTGTCTCTAATCAAGACATCACCCCTTTCCCCAAATACATTAGAAGAAAATTTATATATTTTTAAATCACATTAACATCAAGAAAGCTCAAAAAAGCTAAGGTTGAGGGAAACGGAAAATATGAATTTCAAATGACACAGTTAGCTGCTGTACAAGCCAATATAAGCAACATATATCAAGTAAATGAATTAAATACAAATGAAAACACACACATCAACAAGTTAATGCCTTTGGTGCTTCATTCCTTTAGAGGTTGTTTGGGAAGGGAGATTTTGGAGGGGAAGACAAATTTTATATCTTAAATAAATATATTTAAAATTAATATTTATTCAAAATAAAAGATATAAATTAATATATTGACATAAACTTAATATATTAATCATGAATTTATCATCATGAGTGATATAATTATTTTAATTTAAGATTAAAAAATATGTCCTCCCTTCCCCTCCAAAAAACTCCCTCCCAAACATACCCTTAATCTTCAACAAATTTTACCGTGGGAGTTACTCATTCTAGCTTGGCAGTTAATTAAGAATATCCAAACCTACAACTGGATAGTTGTTTCAGCAGTTGGCTTTTTAGAAGGAGTGAACTTTGGCAAGAAGAATATCAAATGCTAAAACCTATGTCTCGTTCAGCACATTAAATGAAAGAGGGATAATCAGAATTTAGCAGAAACATAGTGGGCCAAACGAGGTAGAAGTAGAACAATTCTCCTTACAAATGCTCCCAGTTCAATCAAATGATTTAATAGCCTAATTTTTTAAAAATTCTTCAAATGTTTCATTAGATATGCTAGTAAGTGTTTGTACGCTAACCTTTTGAGTTTACTAATGAATTTAAAAAACTGATCTAAAAATTTTGAGAAAAGAAGCAAAATCAAAATGGGAAAGGGAAAAAAAAAGGTTTCAGAGACATGGAGCAAGTAAAAGGGGTTGATTAACCAAAATCAGTATTGGGATCATCCAACTAATTTATAGATCTGACAAACCTGTACACGACTCCAAAGCAGTGGAACTGTGGCCCTAGCCTTATTTCGGACATAAACATTAGTCCAAAGGGGTTGATTAGGAAACTCCAACAGAAGTGTCTCTGTATCAGTTGTCTTGTTATAGTTATCAACTATAAGGCTTCGAGGGACTGCATCATAAAGAGTCCCAGCAGCACCTGCATTTTCAGGACAGCCAAGGCTACTACCACCTGACATAAGAAATGTGCACTGCAGTCAACATAACTGATGATAAGTTTGGAGTCAAAACTCACAACAAGCTAAACACGAAAATATGGTCATATCATGAGAATTTCAAATCATCTCCCGTAGGCCAAAGGGGTGGGCTCATTATTAATGACCTCCTGCCCTACCTACCACAGTTGTCAAAATAGGATATCAGATAGCCTAGAGAGTAGATCATCAAATCCTATTTGCTCAACTCGAGCAAGTTAATTGACTTAATTCTAGTGAGAAACCGAAGATTAATTTCAATATGCTGGAAAAAAAACAACAGTTCACTTCCAAACATTTGCCTTATTATCCAGAAACAAACCAAAGACTGAGTGTCATTCAACTGCAATCAGGTGCTGCCTACATTACCCTATATATTATAAGTGCTTAAGCACATGAGTACTTAATTTGCAGGGAAGGACTTATGCAAAGTATATTTTCACAAACAGCTAACCAGTGCATAAACTAAAATATCCTCACCATGCACATAAATTTTGGGCTCATCATGCCTACTGAACACATCAACAGAAACTCTGCCACCTCCACCACCAGCAAAACCATTACCTCCACAAGCACTTATCATCCCATTACCAGTCCTGCTCTTTTAAAAAAAAAAAAAAAGATCAATGGAAAAGGATAAAAACTAGATTCATGAAATTGAAACATCAATTGCAATCAAGCATGAGACTAATTTAAAGCGTTCCATTGTTGGTTGTATACATCTAGACATGTGAATATAGAGATTAGGGAGAAAAGATCCTTAGTGTACATTTTATGCGCATACAATCTCCACCTGAATATTAGTTTTAGGCTTCAGTAAAGGATTTCCGCATAATATATAGACTTATATCATCACATTCGTTGTGATAATGATGATGAGTTGCTAATGTTACACTACTACATGCACAACCACATCTCAAAGGCAACAACACCGAAACATAAATATTTGTTAACAAAAAACATCAGTGACAGGATTTCAAAGAAAAGAATGCAGTAACTTGTACCACTCATGTCCCTTGCATAACCAGGGAACATACGGTGTTAATTTATAAAAAGTTAACCAAATATGCCTCAACGACAAACACCCTAACTTTACAAAAACTCTGTTGATATATATCACGCATAAATTGGAAGGAAACATATAGAGAGAGTAAAGGCTAAATTAAATATTTGGAGGGAGGAAAAAAACCAACGAATACAGCAAGAATGAGGAATTTTTATTCAACAAGATTATGCTCATGTTAACCAAATAAGATAAAAAGTAAATAAATAAAAACAATTACATTCTGTAAGCCTTGATGTAGATGCTGCCTCCAGAGCCACCTCCCCCTAGGGTCCCTCCATCACCCCCATCAGCCAAAACAGTTGCATTCATCTCAACAAGTTTATGAATAGTCATTCTCACAAGCCCGCCACCCAACCCACCATAGTCGCTCTCCTTACTCGTCGACCCTCCCCGGCTCCCAAAACTATACGGGTTCTGCAGCGAAGCCCAGGAATAGGCATCCCCTCCCCAAACATCCTCCGGAAGCTTCGTCGTGTCCACCAGACAGCAGGCACCCCTCCCGCCATGGCCCCCACCACCCCCCTCAACCCCTTGGGGGGTCCCACTCGTCTGCGGAGGAGGCTGTCCCGCCATCCCTGTCGTGTTAACCACCGAATCATTCCCAAAACCACCATTCTCTGCCTCCAACTCAAAAGCTCCGGTGACAATCGACGAGCTGTTACCTAAACTAAAATTGCCGGTAACATTAACGGTAATCATGCACCCGGGAATCGCACAATGAAACCTCACCCCAGGTAGGATGTTAAAATTTCCCTTCCCTGCTATATACACGTCGCGATTCAGGTTCACATCGTTCACAATCTTGCACGTCGAGTCCAGGGACCCAACCCCACCGAGATCGTCCACGCACGACACCGACGGCGGATGCGGCGGTGGAGGTGGCGGAGCCGGCGGCGAATAATCTTGATGAAAGAGATTCCAATTCAAATCAGTTACCGAAAAATCGCGCTCCAACTCGTCGCTCGTTGATTCGACGCACGCGCACTGCCTCTCGAAGACGACGACTGCGAGCGCGAAGATTGCGAAGAATCGGAGGCGCCGGAAACGAAATCGAGCCATTCACCGGCGGCAACAGAAGTCATCACATTGAAGGAACAGAGATTCGGATTTCTGAACTAAAATTTGATTCAGATACCAATGCCATGACCCATCGCGGTCACCATCAAGAAGAGAAAGAGAGGGAAAACAAAAAGAAAAGAAAAAAACCCTAGTCCGTGCGTGCGTACGGAAATTCAATCTCACTGAAAACCCTAGAAATCTCACGGAGACGGGCGGGGAGAAAGATCGAAGGGAATTAGAGAGAAGAAAGACAACGGAGAAGAGCGAGCTTTATTTAATTCTGGGGGTAAAGGAAAAGGGTGTGCTTAAATACGGTGAGGTTCATGTGAACCCTGGTGATTTGTATGAATCATATCTCGTAGTCTTGCACTTGGGTGAATCTTATTGGGCGCATCTAGGAAACTATTGAGGACACTACCGTTGTGAATACTTTCTTGCTTTACCGAACCTCACGCCGCTTTAAAGGAGCGTCAGAAACACACTCCTAATTAATGAAAATAATTAACGGACGAAACCCATGTGGAATGTGGAAGTGAAAAGCGACAAGAAGGGTAGGTTATGGTCTGCGTGGACATACGCGCGTGCGCGTGGGCAAATACGAGGAGAAGAGGGGGAGAGCGACGGCGCCACCGTGGAGTGGGGCTAAGCTGTGACGAATGAGGTTCGGACAGCGGTGAGGGTTTGTTGATGTATGAATGAAGGGTTTGTAGGCGGTGTCAGCGCGATATTGTTCGGCGGAGCGTTTTAGCATGCAATAGCCACAGCGTCACTTTAAAATTATTGAAGGATAAAGGTACACGCGTATTCTTTGGGGCTTGCCACCCCACTCCGGAACACAACAAGCTTCCTCGTCTCCCAGCTCCAATGGTTCAAAGGTTGGGAACAACCTTTACTTCCTTCCTATTAAGAATGTATATTAATACCCTTTTATTTTATCTTTTTTTTCTAATTTTAATCGTTCATAATGTAGTTTTTTAAAAAATAGATAAATAATTTGTCTGTGTATAATTATTAAAAAATTTAGATTTATACAAAATTATGTTTACTAAATTATAATTTCATTACGAAAAATCATCATTATATTGTATTTGTGTTGAAATGTTCTATTCTTAATATTTATTTCATCCTCAAACGTTATATATTCAACACATTATTGAGAATTTTTTAAAAATATTTTAATAATATATTTAATCAACAAAAATATATAAATGATTTAAAAATTCAATTAAAGACACATTATTTTTCAAGTTAAACAAATTAATTTTTAATTGTTTACAAATATTTGGATATTTAAAATTGATAAAATTTATGTAAATAGTGAATATTTTTATACTCAATAGAAATTTATTAATATTTTATGTTGAAAATCACTGCAATGATTGAGAAAAACAAATATGTTAACAAACAAGTTAAATTTTTATTACTATAATTTAATATTGGTGTTAATTGTTATGTATAGAAAATTATATGTTAAAATATATAAAATAGCTCATGTTACTAGATATAGCTAATATTGTACTGTAAAATAATTAGTACAAATGACATGAATAAAAAAAATAAAATTTAAAAACTAAAATCAAATTAAGATCAGTTTTGAAGACTATAAATATATTAAAGTTTTTTCTTTTAATGTGAATTACTTTATTGCTATTCAATATGTTTTATGTTTTAGAATTTTTATTATTCATTATTATATTTATTTTTTATCTTATTTCTGTTTAAAGTAATTTTAAAAAATTAACACAAAATTTTACTTCATTCCAAACTTCAAATTATTAAATAAATATTTAACTAAATTGTATATTTAATTATACTGTTACTAAAATAATAAAACAGTACTACCTAAGAATATAGAAGCATCTTGTCAAATAATAGTAATAAGATTTATATTATTCAAACGGTAATTAATGTTTTTTAAATTTGTATTTTTACGACCCTTCTGCTCTTCAAATCAATAATAATAATAATTATTGTCCGAAATAATTATTCTTTTCAATTCAACAATTATTCAATGATGATGACATGCAACCTTAAGATCCCCCTAATCAACCTGTTTCTCTAGTAGTTAAACTATGTGTATCTTTGATTTAACTTATATTCAAAAAGTAATCATCTCGTTTTTGTTTTTTATTTAATTAAAATTACTATTTTTATAAACAATTCATATCAAATGTGTATTATTTTAATGAAAATATATCTGGCAGATGTTTTTTGTTTTCATTTCCGATCACATTAAAATATCATCTCAAATCGTGGTAGCCATCAACGTGTATTGTTTCGTGAGTTGAGTATTCACGTTTTTCAAAATTATATAATTCATAGTTTATTTATTTATTTATAAAAATTATTTTTTATGTAACAAAACTTGAGTACTCACTTTCAAGAGTGAAAACTTTTTTCAAACTATTTTCTGTAGAACTTCTTCTGTATTAAGTGTTTTTTTTTTCTCTGACTTTTTATCGCTTAAATGTAAATTATGTTATGAATATCAAATCATTTACTTACTAATATAATCTTTTAAAATTAATTATCAAACACTAACTCACGTTTTTTATCAGTGATTTTCTTATGACGTTTATCTCTTTAATATGTCCTTACATAACAAATAAAATGCTTATTCTTGACAGTGAAAATATCGCTTATTACACTTTATTATTATTATTCTTCAATTATTCTTTTATATATGTTTTATTTCAACTCTTGGTTTTAAATGTTATTTAGATTAAAAAATACACTTACATTGCACAAAAAAAATATTAGCATGTGATAAAAAAATAAAAAATTTGGCCCTTTCTCACATATTTTGTTTGGAAATGCTTTCGACCAAAGCAATTGTTGTTTTGATAACAATTAAACATTATGTGTGTCTAATATTTGTTATGGTCAACTTTGTTTAAAAATTTGCTCTGTGCAATTGATGGAAACTACAATTTGGTACATGCATGCAGTTTTAATTTTTGTTTGGTCTATTGCCAACGTCTTGGTTGTAATCCTTATGGTCACTTTCAACATACAATGCAGCAACTATTGGGATGCACACTTGTTTTCTAAAATTCTTAGTTTTTCTTTTCCCATTAATTTAGGGCTTTCATCATCATAATAGTTGATGCTTTGGGATGCTAGAGGCAGCCTTTCTACTCTATTCTTGTGAGTTGCAATAACATTTTTAATCAACAGCAACTACTAACCATCCCCTTCTAATTAGCTGAAACAAACTTTGTCATGCTATGTTAATACTAAGCAAACAATGTAGTTACTGCTTCTGCACCTGTGGCTGATGACTTGTAATTTAATTAGTAAGGTAGGTGTTAAAAATTTTGAGGTTTTAAACAAAATTATTAGAGGGACTCAGTATAATATAAAATTTTATATTATTTTTTAATAATTTAAACTACAAAATCATTCTACAAAATTCTACAGTTAAAGAAATATAATTTTTTACTTTTAATGGTTAATATTTATCTCTCAAAATAATTACCAAATCATTATTTTTATAAAATGAGTAACAAATAACCCGAGTAACATTTGTAATAATGTTTAAAAATGTCATAGTCTTATTCACAAATCAATAATAAATAATATAATAAATTTACATTTGAAATTTTTAAATTAATAATAATTTTTAAAAATTTATTGCGAAATATAAAAGCTTAGAAGATTGAAAGCCTAAAGCAGCTGCCTCATTTGTCACGAGGCAACCATGACACTGGTACCAAAGCCACTCATCATCTAAGCTAATGCACAAACCACATTACAGAGCCCTCAGAACCTCTTGAAAATGAAATCATAGAAAGATCCTCTAACAAAACCTATTTCCATATCTAAAAGTTCAAAATTTGACACCATAAAGCTCACTTGGTGAACATGACAACTATAGACAAATTATTATTAAAAAGACAGTAAAAATAAAATTTAAAACTAAAAGCATTCTCAAGTCATAATAACAATAACAATTACAAACCAAAAAAAATGTGCCTAAATATCTATTGAGGAAGTTGGAGCCTTTACTGAAAAAAAAAGTTTAATATGATAAATTTATAAAAAATAAATAAAATATTTTTCATAAATTAAAAATAACTGCAAAAAAATATACAAATCTGGGTAGCCTACCGAGGCTACTCAACATTGTAGAACACTTATAGTTTTGGGTACGTGAATGAACATGTTTTTGTCAAGAGTCACTCGAAATAACAATGATATCCCTTGTCTCCAAACGTTTATAACTTCAATGAGTATCTTGCCCATTAAATTGAATTGTTGGGGCAAAGTATAAAAGCTATTATTGGGAGATTGTTTAAATAGTCGTATTAAATCCATTTCTGTTCTATTTTCTCAATGTTAGTTGTAGTTCTATTCTTTTGTCGCTCCATGTTATTATGTCATTTTTGTTCTATGTTTGTAGTTAGATGATGGTAGTTGACGATATGTGATTGTTTCCAATATAAGTTGTTGTCAGCAAAAATGGTAAAAACAAGTTCATGGATTTTTATCATTGAACTCAACGAATGAGTGAAGGTAAAAAAAAATAAAAAAGAAAACTTATGTATAAGGTTAACACAAAAATAATTAACAATTCTAAGATTAAACTTTAAATATTTTAAATTTTTAGAATTTATAATAATATATAGTATTATATACTATTAGGAATAGAAACAGCCCAAACAACTTGACAGGCCTGCGGCCTAAGTTACTTTAGATTTAACCTAATTTAACTTATTTAATTAAAAATAAATAAAATTTTAATTTTTTTAAAAGTTTATTTAAGTAAATAGGTCAACTTAAGTTATTTATAAAGCATATTATGCCTGACCTGTTTGTATATATATATATATATAATATTATTATTATTATTCAAAAATATTCTCAATTTTGAGTGTAAATATTTGTTTACAACCTATTTATTGTATGTTTACTAGTCTAGATCTATTTAGACTTGTTTGTTGGCCTTAGTTTAATCACTTATTAAAAGTTTTATTTGCAGCAAACTTTGTTAACATGCTTTAAGTTAGGTCAAGCTATCTAAATAGACAAAATCAAACTAAAAATAAAGTCTTTGACATATAATAATTATAATTATATATGCTATTAGTCTAACCTGATTTGACCTGATTCTATACCTGTATACCATGATTATAATTTATTTAGCATAAGTTAATATTTTATATTATTGAATTAGTCTAAGCGTTGTTTATTTACAAATGAGTAGTTTGTTTAAAATTATAAAAAAATAAAAAATATGATAATATTTTATAGTAACAATAAATAAATCAAAACTTTTCATGTATCAGACGAGTATGATTGCTAGTAATCTGTAAATCAATAGCACATAAATGTTCACATAATTATCAATTTATGAGCATTGTCATCAAAGTTTACGCAACAAGCGATTTTTTCTTGAATTAAAATGAAATGTTTGCAAAAATAATATATTGTGATTGGCCTTGTATTCTAGAAGTCATCCAATCACATCAGTATACCACTTACTCACCAGTAAAAGAAAAGCCACATGTTTGTGTGATTTTGTTTAATTTTTTGAAAATAACAATTCATGGCATGATATAAAAATTTCATACTAAATTTTAAAAGCACTATTTATTTAATTATTATATTTTAAATTAATAAATTAAAATTTAAAAATATCTTTTATTAGAGAATCATTTTCTCAACAAATTAATTATAAAAATAAACACGAACTACAACGGAGTATATGTCGGTGCCCTCAAACACGCTATAAAAGCAGATAATACTTTTGAATGTTTTGATCTTAATACAGCCAAAAGAATAAATATAT